GTATTTAAAAAATAAAAAAAGATCTTCTTTAAAATTAGTTTGAAAACAAATGTAAAACCTAAAAAATAATTTTGTATGAAGATTAAAACAAAATTTTAGTTTAAAGTTTACTAAATAAAATTACAATTTTTGAAAACATTTGTTATAATTATTCTCTCAAAAAAATAATTAGACCCGATTCAAAGACAAAACAGAAAATTAAATGAATAAATAAATAATAAAAAAAAAAAAAAACATGTGAAAGTGAAAAGTGTACAGGAAAAATAAGGGGCTGCGAAGCAGCCCCATAAGCCCCTAGTTTTAATTTATTTCGGTTTAAACTGCAGGGATCTCGCATCGTCATTCTATAAAGTCTATGGCTCTCATGAAAAGTTTTGTTCAAAAATTTATTTCAAAAAGGAAAGCAGAGGGAGGAATAGCAGGGTGTCTAGTTTTTAGTTTTCATTCTGGGAAATCCTGATTTTTCCTGATTTTTGACAGCTAAATCCTGATTTCATAATTTTTCTAAATCTCATTTTTTGCGAAGAAACATTAAAATTTCTGCATAAGCGTATGGGAAAGCATAAGAAATCCGATCGGACAGCCGACTTTTATCGAATCCTGATTTTACAACCGATTTTTCCTCAAATCCTGATTAAATCGGGATTAAATCCTGATTGACCTCAAATCCAGATAGAATCGGAAAAATCGAGAAAATTCTGATGATCCTATACCTCCTGAATAGAATAAAAAATAAATAGAATACCATCTCTAATTTTCAGGCACTGTAAAATTTTCCGTGTACATTTTAAAAGCATCTGGTAACTTCGAACTATCTGAGGGAGGAAGTGTGGTTTTATCCGGAAAAATTAGCATCCCGGAAAATATTGAGGACGAGCAGTTAACTCTTGACGAGCCCGCTGATGATAAAACAGACACTCTCCTTAATGCGAATGATTTTTACAAGTACGCCCGTCTCAGAGGCTATGACTACGGTGGAATGTTCCTAGGAGTTACGGAGTGTGACATGAATGGTAAGCACACTGGCATCTACGATACATAATATGTTCTTGAGGTAATTCGATTCCAGGAAACCTGTATGACGCTGGCCAATAAATAGATCAAGTTTATTTTTCTTAATAAACTCACTGTCTAGAAGTTTTATATTTTACATCACAACGCACAGGATTTTTAAAAAATCAAGTATGAAAATAAGAAAATTTAATTCGAAAAATATTTTTATATGTTAAAACACAAAGTTCCGAATCTTTGGACGTTAACTTTGAGAGAACCAACGAACCGATTTGCCTAATCTTTTTCTTTAATGAGAGCCCCTGAGCTGTAAATGTGCAGGCTGTAATTGGTTTTTCGATTTTCTTAAATTTTATTACTTTTATCGACGAGTAAAGTTCAGCTGTTTGGAGCGGTCATCCGGTCGATGCCTGCTTGCCCGTCGTTACGCCCCCCCCCCTCTACGCTTTCAGCCATCCCTCCTGCCATGTTCCTTTGGCTATCATCATTATTAAATAGATTCAACTAATTGCTAAAAGTAAAGTATACCTCATATCGTAATTTTTGAGGGGAAAAATAAAACTAACACTGATAGGAGGTAAAAATAGGGCCGCAAAGCGGCCCATTGATGGCGCGGGGCGCCTTTAGGGGGTTGGACCGCGTAGCGGTCAGGGGCATAGCCTCCTGGTATTTGACTACTTGCCTAGGCATTTGACAAAATGCCTAATTTTACTATTTGCCTGCGACATATCGATTGCAGTGTTTGAAAATGTCTTTCCTCCCCCCCCCTCCCCTTGGCACCAAGTTTTACGAAAATCCGACGAGCAGGAACCGAGATAGCGTTTTAGGCCACGCCCGCCACCTTGGTTTTTCGAATTTTCGAAATTAGATGGGAGTCGATGTATCAATTTAGGCTACGTCCGCCGTCTTAAATTTTCAAATTCAGAAAATTTAACTTGAAACGTATGATACCCAAAATCTAAGTTCAGATTCGGCTTCCTCGTGAAAAATCGATGCTATTTCATGTATCATATCGACGGTGAAACTACCAAACCACGTATCTCGTTTGCGGTGTTTAAACATCTACGCTCGCATTTTATTTTTTTGAAGTCGACCAAATCAATATCATTCCTTGAAATTTTCACAGAATTTTCTCCGCACGAAGAGGAAAAATCACAGAAATTTTCAAGACTGGACGTTAAGTAGTTTTTCATTTAAAAAATAAAGTATGACAGGAAGTCTGCGACGTCGCAAACCGAGATACGTGGTTTGATAGTTTCACCGTCGATATGTTACCAAAGCATAAAGAAAAGAGGGTAATCGTAGGCGTAAAGATTCTATCAAAGCCGGCCGGTATGCGGCAGTAGGCACAGAATTCAAACGTTTGAGCTACACCGCCAGACGCCGGCGCCAAGCATTTGGTTCGTCCGTTTCCGAGAAAACAAATTTCTTCTTACTCATCAGCTGACCCACTCCGAATCACCCATGTTGCCACGTCGGACTGAAATGTTAGAATCTACACGCCTACGCTAATCTCTTTCCTTCATGATATGGTGACATAAGATACATGAAATTGCATCGATTTTTCACGAGGAAGCCGAATCTGAGCTTAGATTTCGGATATTATGCGTTTTAAGTCAAATTTTCCTTTATCTATTTTAAATCACTCAGGAAAATTTGCGGAAACTCATTAGAATAACAGTGTGTATTCTTTCTATACTACACATCATTCCAATAGTATCAATTTCTCAGTAATAAAATATATTGGAATTTTCAGGGGTCAAAGGTAAAGTTGCGTGGGCCGATGATTGGATCACCTACTTGGGCAGCATATTTCAATTTTTTGCTTTTGGCATGAACTCCAGTAAACTTCACGTGATAACAAGGATTCAACGCGTTTCGATTAACCCTATGTTGCATTTCCGATATTTGAGTTCCATCCCAGAAAAGGATAAAACTATTCCGGTATTCAATTTTGCCGATATTGGAGTGATACAGTCGTGTGGAACTGAAATTAGAGGCTTAAAAGTCAGCTTGGTGCCCAGGAAACAGAAAATTGGTCTCGTGAAGAAGGAAAAATATCTTTTCGTTCCGTACATTATTGACAAGGTATGTACGGGCGGAGAAACCATTTTAGAACTATTCGTTATTAATTTGAGAATTTATCTTAATTTTGCAAAAAGATTTGAGAATAATGAGGCGCTACACCGAGCAGCGTTCTTTTCATTTTAAGAACATATTTTAACACGAACTATCGCTACCTTTCAAACTCTGAGACGCAATGGTGGGATCTAAAATACTTTTGTCTCGCTGAACTTTCATCTGGCATATTTTATGGCGGAATACTAAGTATTTAGAAGGAATCATATAATTCACCATTGAAGTTACACCAAGAGTTCAGGTATGGCTTAGAATCCCAGAGGTTTTGTTCTCTGTCAAAAATGTTTTCCCAGACATACACCAGTCGCACCGTTACTGCGGTGGTTGATTGTAGCATATCTCTATATCTATCTCTTTTCGATTGAAACAAAAAGAGTCCGGCAATTAAGCATCGTCAAAATTTGCAGACTTAACAAAAATGTTCTTTATGTGCGATGTTTTTCTTTTTCTAGAAAAAATTAATGTACTTGCATTCAGTTAGGTTTTAATTCAAATGAATGCCTGTATTGACGACGAGATATTTTGGCATAAATGAGTCAAAACAGATTGTGATTCAATCTTCAACCTTTTCTCAGTTAAAAGTGTAATTTTTCATCTCTAAACACCCACCACTACACTCTTTAAACAAATTCATCGTCGAGTTTGTAGCAAATACCTTCGAACATAAGTACAGCTACACGACATTTTCTTTTAGATACTCCGAAAGTAAGGTATACATTTATTTTAAAACAATGTCTTTCAAGAACAGTTCTGAAAGACGCGCATTGCGCAATGTGCACGTGGGTGAAAAAAATCCTAAAATTTATCCTCATCGTAATCTTAATTCTTAAACATATTATGTTTGTTATGTTAAATGATTCAGTTTTCATTCAATCTTAATGAACACTCCTTTTCCTTTTTTTAAGCAGATGAATGTTTTTTTATAAGCAGAGCAGTGTTCAAATTAAGATGAAATGATCATGATATGGTCACTCAGGTATGAATGAACTTACTAATATCCCTTTTCAGACTGATTTAATGATTAACGAATATAATGCGTTAACGTCAATTTTGCAAACGGTGATAGAAAACAGCGACTGTCCGACTAAAATGAAGGTTATCGAACTGGCCGTGGCCCAATCGTCAGACGCTTTCTTGTCTACCAAGGTTAAAAAAATCCTTGAGGAGAAATTCCGCCATGTAAGTAATCTTTCGGCTTAGCTCTATGCGTAATTTTTGTGTTTTGAATGATGTACGTAAGAACTTTTACCTCGTGCTCCTGGCAAGTCATCGACAGAAAAAACAAAAATCTTGATTGACATGATGCATGACAAGAAGCATTCTAACTCGTCAGAAATAGCTCATAAAACTCAGTATTCAGTATGTATGTGACTTTCTTTAATTTGACTATTCGCCTAGGCATTTCGTAAATGTCTGATTTGACTATTAGCCTTCGACTTATGTATCTTTTAGTTTACGGATAAAGACCAAGTCATACTACTTTGTTTCTTAGTCACGTGGCTTCGTCTGTCTTTGATTTACAAAAGATCTTTCGATATTTCTCTCTTAAATTGTATAGTCCAAGCTTCACCCCTCCATATCGATGGCCAAAGTGCGAAACCAACGAAGCTCCAAGCTCCTTAGCGGTGTTTCAAAAGTTTCTCTTCTATATACTTTGTTTTTCAAAAGAGAAACAAGCCAACTGTAAAGTTTGAAATTGAGACAGAATATTATCCTAAGAGAGAGGGAAAATCACATTGCCTATCGAAACGGTTCAATGTAACATCAAATATAAAAACCAAAATTTAAATAAAATTTCCACATTAAAATATTGTTTGCGTACTTATATTTTTTTGTAGGATTAAAAAAAAAAAAAAAACTTTTAGACTAGTTTAAAACTTTCACTGAACGCTGCATGCACAATGATTTACGAGTTCTATACATGTACATACATATGTACATATGTATGTCATGTATGTATAGCAGCTGGAACATTTTGAATGCGTTGTTGATTCAGTCATCATTTCAGAATTTTCATTCAGCAGGCTGGCGTAACCGTCATATCGAATCAAGGCGAAGTATCTGAACGAATTCTTAAGCCTTTGGGTACTAGAATGATCGAAACGAATACAAATGTAATTGTCGACCAAAATTGTCACTTGGTGGTTGCAAAGAACTGTCTCGATAACCAAAATGTCCTTTCAAATATGTTAGCAATTGTTCAAGAAGGGAACTTCATATTACTTGAACAGCACAAGCACCTGGACGAGAATGCCGTCAATGAGATCGGCCTGGATGTAATTTCGATTGTTAAGACGTGCAAAACGACCTATGCCCTCCTTAGATCTGTGAGTATTCTGTCATTAAACTGTTCTAGAAATCAATAATTACAATTACAGTACAAGCTTACCTATTTTTTCCGTCATTGTTTAAATATGCATGTATGCAGCAACTATACAAAGAGCGTTAAACAAGAAAGTACCACTTCGTTCACATAATTTTCAACCTCTTTAATGCTGAACAGGGCCGGATTTACCTACTTGCCACCCGTGCCGTGGGCCGCCTGCATTTTGCCGCCCCCTTCTCATTCGTTTTGAAACATCAATAAAAACCATCAAATGAACGTGCCAGCGGGGGAGGGGTGCATAAGACGCGTTTACTTGTGTTGAACACATTTTTTGGGAAAGCCCTGTCAACACTACTAGCAAAAGTTCACGGAACTTTCAGCGAAAGTTAAGTCTCGTAAACCTCTCTCTGTGTGGACAAGGCCTTCCATTCATAAGAAATGAACGAAAAAATGATGAAAGAACAAACATAAATGTGGAGTAATGATTTTAACTTCCGCCGCCGCGCCGCGCAGACCGCACCGTGTTTGGCGCAATGCGTGAAGTATTCCAACAGTCTTGTAGGCGCTATGCGTTTCAAGGTGATTGCACTGTGTTTGCTGCAATGCGTGAAGTATTTGTGCAGTCATGTAGGGGCTAATATGTGTTACATGCCGATTGCCGAGCCGCGGGCTTCTTCTTTTCATCTCAAGTCACGAGTTCCTCTCTAAGTCGCGGCGTTCCAGGCCAAAAGTGCGTGTTTGGTTTCTCTCTGAACTCGACTAATTAAAGGTGCTGTCTCTTGTATCGCTGAAAGGCGACAAAAGGAGAAATTACTATACTCTTAGAAAATTAGAGATTTTGTCGCCTTTTCTCGTTAGTAATTTTTTTTTTCTAAATTCGAATTTTCTATACCTACATTTAAAAGGATTTCAAAATTTGCCGCTCCCTATAGATTTGCCGCCCTGGGCCACGGCCCATGTGCTCACCCCCTTAATCCGGCCCTGATGCTGAAGGCTGCCAAATTATTAGTTTATTACTGCGTAAATGTTAAGTTTTTCTAAGAATTGCCAATTTTTTATGAACTTAATCAATTTTTTTTTATTATCATTTATTGGTAACTTCCAAAACAGAATTACAACCATTTTCTTATAAAATAGAATACATTTGAGTGATCAGAAGAACGAGTGATCTGATAAAATTATACGATAGAATCCGACAAAAACTATAAATACGATATTATCGGGAGAGGATATCCAAGCTAAGGGTCAAATACCCTACACTGGAAAAAAAACCACATTGGATCTAGAGTCCAGACTCTTGAAAACATTGACAAGAAAAAATACTCTTGATTCAATCAGATTTTTGCTTAAATCAAAAGGAAATCCGCTCAAATTAAGAGGCTTGGTTCTTGATTCAAGTAAAAATCCGACTGAATCAAGAGTATTTTTTCTTGTCGATGTTTTTAAGAGTCTGGACTCTAGATCCAATGTGTTTTTTTTTTTCCAGTGTAGCATAGGAAAAGGGCCGGGCCGCTCCCCTGCGCCGCGCCGTCGTCTCCAAGATTTACCAAGTTGTAGTCCAAACCTCCAACTGATAAGTTTGTTACATCACCATCGTCTGTGTCCATCCGGAAATGTTTGATGTGAAACGATTCGGATCCACGTCTGGATTCGTGCAAAAAATCGAGACTCGAAAAACGCATCCACTGAAAAATATTACTTTTAATTAATGACCCTCAAAATGAATAGAATATGTTTGAACACAAAGGTACGGTTGTTTGTGAAGAAATTATCATGCACCCCACACACATACACCCTCCCTCACTAGCCCTCACCTTCCCTCACCCCCACTCACACAATAAAAAAAATATAATTATAATTTGTCCCTTCTCCATTTTCAGCCCGTAGAAATTCATATGCCAATTGTAATCACTATCACGAGACAATTTTCATGGGTGAATGAATTAAAAGCTGCCCTAGTAGAGGCAGAAATAGAGGAAAAGGAGTTGATTTTGCTAGTTGAGAATGAGGCTTTGAGTGGAATCGTTGGATTGCTGAACTGTCTCAAACAAGAGTACAGCAATGTAAATATTCGGTAAGTTTCGTTCCATTGAACTCACATTTACATCTTACTTTTAACGTTCTAGTCTATTTCATAATTTCAGTTTTGAGTTCACATTCGGGAAAGATAATTTGTATAATACGTAGATGCTCTGAATCTATTACATTTTGGTCTCCCCGGAGGATAGTAAATTGGAAATTTGGCATCCATAGACAATCTATAGACATGCTAATTGACAAATACTGCCGCTATCGTGTGTGCAAATCGTAACGCCTTCAGTTTTTTGCATATGCAATATGGACATCCATCGGATACGAATGGTTGCATCAAGGCGCTGACATCGACACGCCTTCTTGTCAATCGTAGATCTAATATATTTGAGGAAAGTAAAATGTCGCATTTTAGAAAAACATGAAAAAGGAGTGATTCTGAATTCAACTAGTAATAGATTCAAAAATTCAAAGTAAAGAAAAAATATTTTGAAGGTCAAAATATCCATTAAACTTGATCCTTGACATTGACTCTAATGAAGGACCTAAACTCCAAACCTCATTTCCTCGGTGCAAGTTTGATGCAACTCGGTGTTTTTTTGTCAAACGAGGTTCAATATTGATCAATAAACAATATAATTCGATGTAATCGAAATTCATTTGCAGTACTAGAACTACTTGCAGTAAGGAAGAACGCAGTATGAACATCCAAGAGTTGCCAAATTTCTCCGAATAAAACCTTCATTTTTCAGGAAAGTTGTGCATAATTTTCCTTGCAATTTTCAGATATTTTAGACTAAATTGCGAGCAATATTGTCTGAAAATTTTAAGGAAAAATATTCTTATTTTCCCAGTAAATTAAATTCTCACTGAAAGAAATATGGCAACGTTTAAAGGCTCATACGGCGTTTTTCCTTAGCACGGAAGAGCAGCTCTAAACTTGGGCTCATTTAATTTCTTGGTCTCGCTTCCAGTTGTGTGTTTATCCAAGAGGAGGCCGCACCGAAATTTTCTTTGACGACGCACTTTTGTTACACCCAACTCAAGAAAGGACTCATTCATAACGTCTACAAAAATCATCAATGGGGATGCTATCGTTACATCTCGCTTGACAGTGACTCCGGGACGGCAACCGTCAAAGTGGAGCATGCATACATGCAAGCGTTAGTCTTAGGAGATCTGTCTAGTCTCAAGTGGGTCCAAGGACCGTCATCTTCTTGTAGGTTAGTTATTTGTTATACCCCTTCACTTCATCAAGTTTTCATGAAATATGCCTCAAGGAAATATGTCTTCTTATCGGCGTTTTGCGTTTGTCGTAGAGCGCCTTAGCGCGCCGTAAAAGCGGCTCATACATACATACATCGGCGTTTTGCAGGGAAGGACAAGATGAACGGTGCAAAAAGAAATTGTTATATCGATAAATAAAGTTAAATAGTAGGTAATTATTCCGATGCGAATTTGCTGCTCGTACTTTACTCAATAATGAAAGCCAATTCCTAATTCTTAAAATTCCCTAAAGATTGTCCTCGCTTACACTAAAATATTCACAAAAATTTTAAAGATATGTTTTGGTTACATTTTTCATAAAAAAAGAAACAAAAAAACTAAGGAATGAAACACAATCCAAAATTTTGCAACGTTCATATGGAGATACGCATTTAATTTGTGTATTTAAGCTTAAAATTAAACATGATACACATGGTATACATCGTAACTATAGCCTACCGCCCCCTCCCTCCCTCCCCCCCCAAAAAAAAAAAAAAAAAAAAAAAAAAAAAATTTCTCATGATTCTTGTGACTTTGGTCATTGGAATGCATGCCAAATTTAATGCGAGATCATGTGAATGATGTCCATCCTCATTAAAATTACTTCCTCTGTTCCCATATACCTAATCCTTCCCTCTCCCTTTTTTCCACCATGCAATTTCTTACTTACCTATTACCTAGATAATTACATGTATCAGTTAATTTACATAGAAATTCAACCACAAATCTATATTTATTTCCAGACTGAAGCCGAACGTAAACTCCGAGCTTTGCCACGTTTATTATGCTCCACTAAACTTCCGTGATATCATGCTGGCCTCAGGGAAGTTACCCCCGGACGCTTTACCTGGAAATCTAGCCGAGGAAGAATGCATTCTGGGTCTGGAGTTCGCGGGTCGAGACTCGAAGGGACGTCGCGTTATGGGTATGGTCCCTGCGCAAGGCTTGGCCACCATGGTGGTCGTTGACCGGACTTTGCTATGGGAGGTCCCAGAAAAATGGAGCCTTGAAGAGGCTTCGACAATACCCGTCATCTACTCCACTGTAAGTAAAAACCCCTTTAAAACTGCAAATGAACTTAAAGAAAAATTAAATAAAGTAGCTGCTTCAGATTGCTGTGTTCGCCTGCGCACACGGCCGGATTAAGGGGGTGGCCACATGGGCCGCGGCCCATGTAAAATGTAGGGGTCGGCAAATTTTGCAATCTTTTTGAATGTATGTATCAAAAAAAGAGAGAAAAAAATCGGATTCAGAAAATAAATTACAAACGATAAAAGACGAAAAAATCTATCATTCCATCAGAGTAAAAGTATGGAAATTTCTAATTTTTTCGTCTCTCGGTGATACAAGAGACAACACTTTCAATTATTCGAGTTAAGAGAGGAACCAAACACGCAATTTGACCTGGAACGGAGCGGCGCGGCGGTCAGCATGAAACGCATAGCGCCTACAAGACTGCATGAATACTTCACGCATTGCGTCAAACACACTGCGGTCAGCAGCAGTCGGCGTGAAAAGCATAGCGCCTACAAAACAGCATGAATACTTCACGCATTGCGCCAACAAAGTGCGGTCGGCGCGGCGGTGGAAGTTAAAATTTTTAACCACATTTATGTTTGTTCTTTCATAATTTTTTCGTTCGTTTTTTATAAATGGAAGGCCTTGTCCAAACAGGGATGGGTTTACGGAACTGAACTTTTGTTATAGTGTTGACAGGGCTTTCACAAAAAATGTACCCAACACGAGTAAACGCGTCTCATAGACCCCTCCCCCAACGGCACGTTCACTTGATGGTTTTTATAGATCGTAATCGACGAATCACACGGGTGATATTATATTAATATCGATTGGTTCAATATGTAACCACAGCCTCAAAAGTCAACTTATAAATCATAGGTAACGGGTCTTATGTGATCGAATTCTTGCTCGCTGGCAATGAAAAGTGAATTTCTCATTTTCAGCTTTTCCTAATTAAATCCTAAAATTTTTGCTTGAGATTTATGTTCTATTGTTTTGAATCAAACGATACATCGAATACGATCTATTGATGTTTCAAAACAACTGAGAAGGGGGCGGAAAAATACGGGATTTCGTTTCACCTTTTCGTTCAACTTTCCATCCAATTGGCGCCGACAATTGGTGACGTCACATTTTAGTTTCCATTCAATTTTCTATCAAATTGTCGTTTTCTCTCGTCAGTATCACACTATCCAACTTTTCATTCGTCAAGTTGCATCCAAGAGTTGGATGAGAAGTTTGATAGTGTGAATTGGGCTTTAGGGTGGGTAATCGAGATAACTTGGCGTGACAGGTCTACCTTAGACACAGTACCTGCTCATATCATGCATATTTTTCCACTTCTAAGTGCGTTTTAAAGTTTACTACGCAACATGTTACAATTACATCGTATTTTCAGGTTTACTATGCTTTGATTATCAGAGGGCGTTTGAAGCCGGGTGACTCCATACTCATCCATGCAGGTGCAGATGGTTTTGGTCAAGCTGCCATCTCTGTCGCGTTGCACATGGGGTGCAGCGTTTTCACCACTGTTGGATCGGTGGAAGAACGGGTGTACTTGAAACAAACGTTTCCAACGGTAATTGACTCAACAAAATTCATTTATGGTGTAATTTAGGTCCAAAATTGTATTACCACCCAAGAGTCCTCAGCAGCAACTTACCAAATATATTTGTCATTGAGTGGCTTACTTTGCACATTCTCGTGTAGAAGAACAAATCGGAGCGCCTTCACAATTTGCGGTACCTTTGACGTCACCTTTGTCGATTGACCTAAGGCCTAACTAAAGCCGCATCATTTTTTTTAATTTTCTTTCTTCAAGACGAATTAACAGAGAGAGGGAAAATATTCTGCTAAGGTGGTGACTCGTTCATAACATACATTGAATCGGACTAGGATCTGTATGCCAATTCTAGCCATTTTGATTGAACATTTCGGTACTCTTCGAATGGGCTTTTAAATTACTCTGATTATCCGTAAGTGGCTTAGATTAGCATCAGGAGGTTCCCTGATTTAGCATTAAAATAAAATCCTAACGTGGATAATTAATTCCAACTTACTTGTGGATTAGTTACTTCTTACAAAATTTGAGGTAATGATTGTATTTTTGGTCCAGTTGGCTGATAGCAATTTCGCAAACTCGCGAAACTCGAATTTTGAACAACACCTTATGACTGCGACAAAAGGTCGTGGAGTTGACCTCGTCTTAAATTCACTTCCTGGAGAGCTGCTGCTTGCTTCTGTGCGATGTCTTGCCAAAAATGGTAGATTCTGCGAAATCGGGAAACTGAACTTCTCCAACAATACACCTTTGGGTAATTTACAAAAAACTATATTTGTAAGTAGATCGTAGACATGGTCGCCGGACAAAGAGCTGATAGATAGTGAGAATTAAAACCCAAAGAGACGATTTCTTGATTAAATTTTTATGAGAAATATGTTAAATATGCTCTCAGTGCCAAAAACTAAATTGTAAGTGAGATATGAACGCTTGCAAATGACATTAAAAGTATTGAATTGAAAATTCTTGGTTGTTAAAATACCAATATTAACGCAATTCAAATCGGTCATTGAAATCAAACTTACACCTCCGACAAATAACTTTCGGACCTTGGTTTTTTGGCAGACGGACACTTAAGTGTCCGTCTGCCAAAAATCGTCTGCCCGTATTACAATTGTAATACGGGCAAAAACAGAAGACGTTCATGCTTAACCCATGAATTGGACGTAAAAATTTGCAATATGTTTTTTGTTTTAATTGTTCTTGGTCTACGCGAAAGCTTGACGAGGAGACGCATAATGCGGGACAGTGCTACATTTTCTACCTTTTGAGTGGTCCATTGGTTGCAAAAAACTAGTCGTGAGAAAAAATTAAAAATTTTTCTGGTAGGACATTTCAGGTTGAGTCATGAATAATATAATTAATCAATATAATAAAATAATTAATTGTTATAAATGTTTGTTCCATTCGTAAATTTTAAGCAATCTTGTTGGTTCAGCTGCGCGTGTAACTGAACTTGTACGTGACACCCTTATGGTGATCCTGTGTGCTGAACGTATGCTTTAAAATTTTCTGTAGGCTTGTCTCTGTTCTCCAATAATGTATCGTTCCATGGAATTCTCCTTGACTCCTTATTCGATGACAGCGGGGAGAGTTGCGATGTTGTCAAGCTGGTGAGCGATGGATTCAAAAATGGCGCCGTTCGGCCTCTTCCGGTCACCCTCTTTGATGATACTGAAGTTGAGCAAGCTTTCCGGTAATAATTTTCACTTGCTATCATGATTTGTAAGTGTGTTTGACTGTCAGGAGTCTACTCCCAAAGCAATCAAAATACGATGAGCTCTAAATTTTTGAAGCTTGCAGTTCAAGAAGTAAAAAATTATGATCAAAACGCACCAAAATTCTGTCTAATTATCTTGATTTTACGGTAATGCACGGCAGTTTGCCGCAAATCGCGGTCGTGCGCAAATGCCGCATATCAGCTCAAAATCAAGATACTTGGACGGAATCTTTAAAATTAATTTACATCAACTTTCACGAATCGAATTTTCTCCCAAATTCAGCATAAAGTACCAATTGATACAAATGGCATTGCATGAAAATAGTATATGTCCAACATTTCAGTTGTTCGGCACGCTTTTCCAGCATAATCATGTTGGAATTTTCTTCTTGTCTTTTTTTTCGTTATTCCTTCTCTCATAATTTCGAGTGTTACTTTAAGGGCTACGTGATCGAACACAGCCAAAGATAGGAAAGGCATAATCGGGCCTCGTATTTTTAAGCGTTCTCCTAAATTCGAGTGACAGCTCACAGCAGCATAGAGCGGATGATCATTGCGAGTTCACGCCTCGCGCCAGCGCGCCTTCAATTTTGCAGATGCAACACGGACATCCATCCAGTGCGAATAGTTGTATCTCTGCGCCGTCATCAACTCGGGACCTTTCCCTCATGAAATAGTATGTTTCCAAAATTTCAGTTATTCGGCACACTTTTCTAGCATATTCATGTTGGGTTTGTCTTCTCTTTTAGACTAGCAACCGGTGAGCATATTGGTAAAGTTGTATTAAAAATCCGTGACGAAGAATCGAGAGCATCGCGACTTGCTACTCCAAAATATGTTTCTGCGATCCCTCGTACTTACTTTAAAGCTGAGAAGTCTTATTTACTTGTCGGTAAGTATTCAGTTAGTCTGTTTAAGAATCAGGGTAAGAAATGAATCAACAAAGCACAGCCTCACTGGGGGAAAAAAAACACATTGGATCTAGAGTCCAAACTTTTAAAAACATCGACAAGAAAAAATACTCTTGATTCAATCAGATTTAAGCTTAAATAAAGAACCAATAGCCTCTTAATTTGAGCGGATTTCCTTTTGATTTAAGCTTAAATCTGATTGAATCAAGAGTATGTTTTCTTGTCAATGTTTTCAAGAGTCTGGACTCTAGATCCAACGTGTTTTTTTTTTTCCAGTGCTGGTATTAAATTGAGTTCAAATCAAAACAATGAATATTACGTCCACACCATCAGACTTACAATTATATTCTAAGTTGTCTTGATGGCTCATAGTGAAGTTAAGAATCAGTTTTTTATGGAGCTGCATTTTGAGTTTTTACATCTCAACTTTAAATATTAGAAAACCACGTTGTCCAGCCCCTGGGGACGCTGCGCGCCCCAAAAGACCCGCTTCGCGGCCAGCGAAATCGTCGAAATCGCCCGTTGGGGGTTAATGAGCATATAATATTAATTGAATAACAAAAAGATTTTCCAACGAAAAATTTCCCACCAAATAATATTTTTAATGACTTTCTCCTTACACTGAATTCAGATTCCCATTGGAATTCGACCTGTGGGCCGTCTTACTCTCCTTCCTCACCCCGTCCAGCGAGCGTTTTATAAATGATTTGTTTAGAATAGAGGATTTGTAAAAAGTCAATTTAGTGCGTCTGTCAAATAAGTGCTTACTTCATTTTGTTTTGTTTGGAAAAGTTGAAATTCTTTTATATTATTTAATAAATTTAAAAAGTCCCAGACTAGGTCACGTTTAAATTGAAATGGCAGTCGCGCCCTGTTGATGATCCAACGGGTCGAAACGCGCGTCGGACAGTAATTTTGCTGTAATTTCGCTGACTAGTGAGTTTTAAATTTTAAATTTTATTTCATTTTCTTTTGTATTGTTTTATTTTTTACGTAACTCGGCTGTATCCGCTTGATACTTTTTTCAGGTGGTCTTGGAGGGTTTGGCTTAGAATTAACCAATTGGCTGATCGGTCGTGGAGCAACCAAGGTTGTTTTGACCTCTCGAAGAGGTGTATACAGTGGCTATCAATCTCTTTGCGTCCGCAAGTGGAAATCACGGGGAATAAGTGTTCTCATATCTACAATAGACTGCTCATCTGTGGCAGGAGCCACTAAGAATATAGAGAAAACCTTAAGATTAGGTCCAGTTGGTGGAATATTTAATTTGGCCGCCGTGAGTATGCATAACCTATCACACGATCATTATCCCTTCTAATCTGTATGATTAAATTAAATCATTTATAGATGCATTTTATCAGAAATCCTTTGCTGTCCATTCCCAAAAATTGCTACCGTTTACCCTCATTCAATTTCGTTCAAAATTTCATCATGTTTCAAATAATGAGCAATCCTGCGCAATCCAGTCTGAATATTTCTAAGGTTTTCTAAAGTCATAAATTTCTTCTAAAGTTTCTTTTTTAATACGAATGTATCTTCCAATTTATACGATAACCATTTCATTTGCTTTTATTTTCTAGGTGATAGATGATGCCCTCATGCAAAATCAAACTCCCGCTACCTTTGAAAAAATTGCTGCACCAAAGATAAATGGAACCAAAAACCTAGATAACGTTTCCAGGAAGTTGTGTCCTCAGTTAGACCACTTCGTCGTTTTTTCTTCATGTACTTCCGGCCGTGGCAATCCAGGTCAGACAAATTATGGGTATGCAAATTCTGCAATGGAGAGAATTTGTGAGGCTAGACATGAGGCTGGTCTACCCGGCGTAAGTATAACCGTCATTTTTCCTGATATAATATAATGTACCTAATGTTCTTTCAAAAAATTATTTTTGAGGTAATACAACGGATTGACTGTACTGAGTTTCGCATCATTCCAACAGATTTACTTGTCCTCGTGCCCCTTCACATTCATGTGATACCGCGCGTGCAACACCTCTTTGTCGGAATAATTGCTTCAGTTGCCTTGGAAACAAAAATACTTTCATCCAAAAATCAAGTCACCGCGCATATTTCAAACTATTTACTTTTTTCGTCTATGCAACGTTGCAGTATTTTTAAACTATTTATTTTATTTGATAAAATTGATCAAGATAACTCTGTAAAAGTTGGATTGATTTTTGTTCGGCAGAAAAAAAACATTTCCTGAAAACATGGGTAACAAAGATTGGTTTCTGTCACAAGGAAAATAACTTTTATGATTGTTACTGTTCGATCAGTATCTCAGATCAATCTCATCGATGAAAATTATGAATGAAAAAAAAATGGAATATCTTATTGTAAAAATAAATTTTTATAATGATGAGCCACGCTTCGTTTTAGCAAAATCGTGGAATTTCAACCTTTTTTTTCAAATTGATCAATCTTTATCGAGCTTCCTGGTTTTATAATTTAATTTATCCTCTTCTTATTTTTTTAATATCGGAGCTGGCTATTCAGTGGGGACCAATTGGGGACGTAGGTCTCTTATTCGACTCTCTCGGCCGTGAAAAATTTACCGTAATTGCAGGACTTTCACCTCAGAGGATGTCCTCCTGTCTTGCTGTATTAGATTACTTCTTACAACAATCTCATCCTGTTGTGGCATCATCAATCCCAACAGTAAAAAACGAGGCCGCCTCCAGGAACAACAGGCTTCCTCTAATAAACGCAATTGCAAACGCTATCGGTAAGGTTTACTCATCCAATGTTCATCTTTTACTTCGAACGAAAATGAGATCTTGAATTTTTATTGTTTATTCGTGTATTCAGTCTAGAAAAGTATTGATTTTTTTTGAACGCATACATCAGAACAAATGATCATTGAAAGAACTTTTAAGGAAATATTGAAAGGAAAAATAAATAAATTTTGATAAAATAATGAAAATTTGCAGTTCTATTTTTCCTCTTTGAGCCATTTTAAGGAAGAATTGAGAACCACTGAAGTGAGACTCTCGTAGCCTGCGGGTGAGGGTGGATCAAAAGTCGGAACCTCTTTGCTCATCCTTTTTTTAGTTTTGACCGCACATGTGAGCAAAAAATACTGAGTTCAAAAATACCCCGCTGAACCTAAATTAAAATCAACTGGTTGGCTTTAAGAATATGATTCCTTCAACAAAATTGTGTTATTTATCTCCCTTAAATGGTTCAAAGAAATTAAAAGACTTTAATGCAAATAAGTCATATTTAAGTTTAAGGAATGAATCGTCATGCCACCTTCAAAAGAACGTAACTAAATAAATCAATATTGCCAAATTTCCCCCCGCAAATCGCATTTTTACTAGGAGAATCTTGGGCATTTCTAACTAAACAAACATTTCACTAATTAATCTTCTGACCTCATACAAAAAACAGGAAAATTTTAGACAAAAATTGCACAGGTACATTCTTGTAAAAAATTAAATTTCTTGAGTGAATTTTGCAACCTTGGAATGGAGCAGCTACGTTCCGACGTGTGGGAGATTACGAAATATCTGGAATGATCGCATTTTGATTCGTTTTATCCTGGATACAAAATGACAGGAATCATGATAAGACGTCCAGTTACTCATTTTTTTTCACATTTCAAGAATTTATCACTATTTTTAAGATCAAAAAATAAACATCCATCGCAAGTCTTTCTTTCCTCCACGTTTAGGAGACTGCTCCGAAGACATTTAAAGACGGAGCGCTAGAAGAAAAAATTGGCCTCCGGCCAATTTATGCGCGGCGCTTCGCGCCGCGTACCGGCGCTACGCGCCGGCATTTGGGGGGCTTCGCCCCCCCCATCCGCTTAGCGGATTGGTGCGGAGACCGCACGGGACTTTCTCGCTCGAGCCGGCGCTTCGCGCCGGCATAGTCACTTTTACTCGAATATTTAGAAAAATACTGCCAATTTTACAAAATCATAAAGTTTGATCGGAATTTTGATCACAGGATAATAGTTATGACATTTTTATTCAAACCACTGAACTTTATTGTAAATGTCTTCGCGATATGTGATGAATTCATATATTCGGACTCGACTTGTTGATTTTATGAGGCATCTTCAATTAAATATGTAATTGATTAACAAAGTCTCCTGTCAAAGATGGCAATCCGTAAAAATCTTAGCTTTTCTACGATTCATTAGGATCCATTAGATTCATTGACATCATACTTCAGATACGATTTTATATTATAATCTCTCCTTAAGCACGGTCAAAAGCCATCAAATATCTACTTGAATGGGTAGAATGACTATTCGATGTTCAAATAGTCTTAAAACTAAACGGTTTTCGCTTAGCATCTCCCAAATTTTAAATTTGGCGGGCGAATCTACCTGCTGGAAGGTTCACCACTTGCCCGCCAGGAGCGCCATCTCCTTACCGCGTATTCCCGTAGTTCAAAGCGAAAACAATAGAGAGCGCTGCGCGCGATCTCCTTGCCGCTGTCGACGAACGTCAACAAACAGGATATAACAATTATAACCTCCTTTATTAACAAGCGTTAAATCAGTCATATTTGTGCCGCATTATTATATTATATTTGTGCTTAGTACCTCGTAAAAAGGAACCGCAAAAGATGGAATCTGCCGGGATTCTAAATTCATTAACAACAAACATATTAGTTTTTAATAAAGATCTAAGTGTCAGTTCTTGGCGTTAGCTTGATGATTCATTGTACCTTTGTAATGTGAGTATGTACCTAATTAGTTGTCTAATTTTGCTTTGTGTATACCTACGGAGTAATTTTGGAAATAGTATATGATGCATTATATAATGCATTTGAATTCCTAGGTTTCACCTGACTCAAAGCGTTTGCTGCTATTATCTAGAAGCGTTCCGACTCATTTATCAGAGAATTGAGCGTCTCCTATCGGCCCCTCTGCAATTATGAGATTAGTCCAAGAATCCTTTAGGAACTTAAATTAATGACTCAGATGGTGCTTTTGAGCCAACTTTCAAAGAATTAAAGGCATTTTTTTCAAAATCTACAGTCCATGAGCTCTCCGTGTGACCGAAGTGCTCTCCTCGCTACATGACGCGCAACCCTTCAATTTTTAGTTTAGTCCAAAGACCTCATAGGAACTTACATTATTGAACCAGGTGGTGCTCTTATGCCAACTTTCGAAGAAATGAAAGGCATTTTTTTTTTCAAATTTACAGTCTTTGAAAATGAGTTGTTTGTGGAATGTCGCGGAGCAAAGTGCCCTACTTTTGGGCCTCGTAATCCCTTGAATTTTGAGTTTAGTCCAAAGATCTTTTAGGATCTTAAATTATTGACCCAGGTGATGTGCTTGATGCCCAATTTTAAAGAATTAAAGGCATTTTTTAAAATTTACAGTCCCTCAAAATGAGCTTTCCGTGTGATTTTGCTAAAAATGGACAATTGAGCGTAGCCCCCCCAAATTTTAGCGTACCTCAAAATCGTTGGACGTGCATAAGGAGACCATAGATATGGTGTCCTGTGCCAATTTTGAATGAAATCGAACAGATAGATTCTGAGATATCGCTGTACACAGATTTGGGGGACGCCACACGGACGGACACACATTTTTTCAAGTATGGTTATTTTTACTCCTGGGACCTTCAAACGTCTAGAAATGATGAAATTTCAACTTTTTTTCTTTTTTTTTTCTTGGAGGATGACAATACTTCCTCTCTACCCTATGGGAGCGAGAAAGTAAAAACTAAAGCCACCTCTCTGATTGCCTAGAGGATTGGCGGCAAAATTAATCGGGACAAGTTTGAAATTCAAATAAAGTGCGATAACGGAATAATATTGCGTGAACACATGTATCTAGGTTGATTTCTTTCTCAAATTCACTTAACCACATGTATTTTCTTAACTTCCGATTAATTATAGCCCGTCATCGACCGATTAATCCCATTCGGGAGTAACGATCATCTAGGACTGTAAGGTGTAGGCCTGTTTGAACCGGCGCGGCGGGACCACCATGAGCAACAAAAAAACAAACTTTATTCGAGATCCTTGCTTGTTGCCGAGCCAAAGTAGGTTTTTTATAAAAAGTCACCTACCCAACTTTATTTATTTGTTCGTTTTAGGCTTTTAAAACGAGTTTAGAGCAAGAATAAGCACAAATTAAGAGGACAAGTTCAAATCAAATTTCCGTATGCCGCCATGAATTCGCGCGCTTATTTACACACTCACACAAGCACAGAACGCCAGGGCGCGGCTTCACTTCTCCCCCGTGTTATTAGATACGAGTGCTCCGTCTTTGTGCCTTTGGACTACTCCTTTAATGAATACAAAGTTTATACAAGAACAAAAAAAATTCAAAATTTACAACCTCACCATTAACTACGATGCCAAAAAACATTACTAACAATTCATTATTTCTCACCATACCTACTGTTATTATTTTGATTGTTGTTTTAGGCATACTGGATCTGAAAGCAGTCAATACTAACGCATCTCTGGCTGAAATGGGATTGGACTCTCTGATGGAATTTGAAGTAAAAAATATTCTCGAGTACAAATACTCAGTGGTAATGCGCGCTCAAGAAATTCGCAAACTCACTTTTGCGAAATTGCTTGAGCTCCAGAACGACAGCTCCTCACAATCCGTTCTTTCGCAGACGAAAGAATGTAACTCCATTCCAAGATTGCCAAATTGACTCAAACTAAATTATTATTTCACTAGAACGTACCTGTGCAATTTTCGTCCATAATTTTACTAATATTCGCACGAGATCAGATATAAAATTGGTGAAATTTTCAGTTAAGAACTCCGAAGATTCTCCTATTAAAATGCAATTTGCGAAGGGAACTTTGGCAACAATGAAATGCAGTTACATTATTTCGTTGCGAGAACGACGAATCAATGCACGTGCATCCGTGTTAACGCCCTCACCAGCATCTTTGTAATTATTATATACGAGTATGTTTTCTCCCTTTATCTAGAAAGAGTAGTTTCTTCTCACTCGTTTAAAAATTCGACGCAGTCAGTGAGAGTGATATCATGAGTTTTTTTTGATAGTGCGATAACCTTTCTCCGTTTGGACGATTAAGCTACCTCAAAGGGAAAATGTTTGCTTTTAATTAATGACACGCTAGGTGTTAAAAGCCAAAGTTGCTTGGGTACCATTAAAAAAAAGCCATAATTACTACTACTACTAGTGAAAAAAAACCCACAAAGAAGTGGCCTGAACTGTATGAAACAAGGTGGAGAAATGGTGCTGGGTCCACACCATTTCATGGGGAAAACAAAGCGAAGAAATTCCAAAAAGTAAATGGTGATTAATTTAGAAAAAATGGTCATTAAAATTAAAATTTAATGGTGTCAGCACCAACTCCACATTGCTACTATTACTAGTTTATGAACTTTACACCTGTATTATTCGTCGCAGTGCACTATTTCTTTATTTTTAGTATATTGAATGTAAAGAATTGTCTAGTTTTATATTTGAAAACATTGTAATAAAAAAAATTTAAGTTAAAAGTTGTTGAAGTTCATTTCTCACCCACGATCCACTTCATACTTTTCTCAGATCATGGCTACATGCATGGAAAAGTGACAGTTTTAGAATAATTAAACAGTGCAACTGTAAGGTAAAGTGGTGGCGAGGCGTGAGTGATCGACTTTCGATATTTGAAGCTGTGGTAATGAATCGATTATTAAGGTGTTTGTTGTTAACACCCTGATGTTTATTGCTTCTTTTCCATAGGTTTAAGTGACAGATCAATCAATATATCGAAAATGACGCCACGCCGCTGAGGTAAAGAGTACTGCTGGCCATTGGCAATGGGGGCACCTTTTTACTTGCCCTACTCATCAGCTCGCACATCTTTTCCTCTATACTACCGTGCTAAGGAGAAATGCCGTATGAACATCAGGGCCGGATTAAGGGGGTGGCCACATGGGCCGCGGCCCATGGCGGCAAAATGGGGGGGGGCGGCAAATNGCTGGCCATTGGCAATGGGGGCACCTTTTTACTTGCCCTACTCATCAGCTCGCACATCTTTTCCTCTATACTACCGTGCTAAGGAGAAATGCCGTATGAACATCAGGGCCGGATTAAGGGGGTGGCCACATGGGCCGCGGCCCATGGCGGCAAAATGGGGGGGGGGCGGCAAATTTTGCAATTTTTTTAAATGCAGGCACAAAAAATCGGATTCAGAAAAAAATTAGAAATAAGAAAAGGTGACAAAATCTCTCATTTCCTGAGAGTTCATTAATTTCTAATTTTGCCGTATTTCGGTGATACAAAAGACTGCGCACCTTTAATTAGTTGATTTAAGAGAGAAACCAAACACGTAATTTGGCCTGGAGCGGCGCGGCGCAAAGAGAAATGATGACGAGGACTTGAGATGAAAAGGAGAAGCCCTCGACGCGGCGGTCGGCATGTAACGCATATTAGCGCCTACGAGACTGAATAAATACTTCACGCATTGCGTCAAACACAGTACGGTCAACAGCGGTCGGCGCGGCGTGAAACGCACATTGCCTACAAGACTACATGAATACTTCACGCATTGCGCCAAACAGTGTGGTCAGTGCGGCACGCACGCGCACGGCGGCGGAAGTTAAAATTATTAAACCACATTTATGTTTGTTCTTTCTTAATTTTTTAGTTAAATTCTTACAAATGAAAGGCCTTGTCCCGCACAGAGATAGGTTTACGGAACTGAACTTTCGCGCGAAGTTCCGTGAACTTTTGCTAGCAGTGTTGACTGGGCTTACGCAAAAAATTTTTCCAACACGAGTGAACGCGTCTTATGCACCCTTCTCCCTCCGGCACGTTCACTTGATGGTTTTTATTGATGTTTCAAAACGAATGAAAAGAGGGCGGCAAAATACAGGCGGCCCATGGGCGGCAAGTAGGTAAATCCGGCCATGATGAACATTCGAGAGTTGCCGAATTACTCCGGATAAAACACGTATTTTTGAGGAAAGTTATGCATATTTGTCCTTAAAATTGTCAGATATTCCAGATTAAATTTCAAACAAAACTTTCCATAAATTTGAAGATAAATATTCTCAAATGTTCCCAGTAATTTTTTTTTGTTTTGTTTTGGAGGAAATGCTGCAACGCCTGAAGGTTCATACGCCATTTTTCCTTGGCTCGGCAGTATAATTCTATGCCGTTGAGAAAATATGAATTGGCCTGGGTCATATTCACATGTATAATTTTCTCATTTAGCTCACAATTGTTGGTACACCATTGAAAACTGTTTACACTCTCACACAGGAAGAAAAATATTGACCAAAATTTTGGTTAAACATGGGAAATTAAACACGAATTAACAGATGCTGTTGGTTGATTTTGTGTGAGTTAGTTTTCCCTGTGTCAAATGGACAAAATCCTTGGGCATAAGTAGGTAATCAAATCTTTGAGTTGAAAATTTACGACCCCGTTAAAAATCAGGCGCCGGCCGCCGGGATCGATCCTGGATCACATCGAGAATTGTCTTTTGCGCTACATAACCACCGCCCGTTCTTACCTCTGAATACGATGGAGAGAGAAAAACGTACATTAGTTCAGTGGGCCACAGACCGCATCTACAGATGTCTCAGAGTAACCTAGAGCGTCGAGAGATCGATTAAACACCAAATAGCGATGAGCAATCAAGTCCTTTGGGTTGATCTGACGCAGAAACAAGTAACACAAAGGAGGCAACGCTAACTTCAACCGTGCAGATTTTGCCTGCAAGACAAAATAAGTTGCACGACGTCAACAAAATTATAATGATATTTGTCTCTTTTTGCCAAATACAGACCAGGCTCCAAAATGGCCTCAGGCCGCAGAGGTGTTGGCCAGTGCCAAACAGTGACTAAACTTCTCCAACTGTCACTTTCGTCCACGGCCTTGGAGACATGTTCGCAAGTAAATAGCGACGCCATACACAGGATGAAAGTTAAGAGCCATCTTTGCTTCTCCGCATATTTGCATTACTACTAGTGAATGCAGAGTTAAGTGTTAGTGCTACGCTTCGCTAAACCGAAAAGTTGTTAAATTTGATCGAGCCACCATCTTGTGTATCTTCTACCTTGCTAATATCACAGAAAATGTTGTCCTGGTTTACTTTCATTTTTCTTCAATTCAAATAACTTAATAATTTCTTAACTTTAAATAAACCTCGCCTTATTTATTTTACATACATTTTGTGAAAACGTCTGTCCCAGAAGTATTCACAAGGTATTAATCTGTGAGTTCACTCAAAAAATATTTTTAGAAATTTAGGTGTGTTATGTTTATCGCGAGTAATTAGCGGAAAAGAGTATTTAGCGAGCTTTGGTTAGTCAGAGGTAAAACGTTGAGGAAGAGAAACATTGTTTCGGCAACTTCACCACGAAAAGATTCGGTATAGATGCGTCTAATTGGAGTCATATGCGTTAAAAATCAGTGTGAAGGTGCTTAAGCATGTTTTGTCCGTGAGTCTGGTTTCGTGGCGTAGAAAATGTACACGGATTTCTACACAGAGAACCCGAGGGAGGAATAGGTATGTTTTTCCTTTTTTCATATTATATCTGAAGTGAATTTGCGTTTTGCTCATGAGCCTTTGCGACTTAAGAATCAATTTTTTGGACCCGTAAATTCGTAGAGAGCGACGTAATTAATCCCTATTAAATTAATTCATACGGCAAGTGCGCAATATGCCACCAGTTACAAAGAGCGGAATGAAACGATCAAAAACAATGGCACCTCCACGCGATTGGAATTGACGAACACAATAATGACACTGTCTCCTGTGGAATATGAAACCCGTCCGGCAAACGGACAAAACTAACGTTGCTGCAACGTTGCCGCAACATTATTTTTGACAGTTACATTGTGACAACGTTTTCGCAACTACTTCAGGCAACCACTTGCCGGGCGGGAAGTTTTATTCCTAGTGACGGGTCCAAGCATTAAATTTTAGACGTACTCAGATGAAGTAGCTTTAATTTATAGGGGGCTTCTGTACAGATAGAATTATCACGGTCGAAGTGCGTGCATTCTATGTTTACTCTGTTTCATGCTCAAGTGAACGACGCAAGTGGTTAACATCTTGTAACATCTTAATTGTTCTGTATACTCATTTTCAGTTTCTTCGAGTTTCTTTAAATATTGGGCCACAGCCCAACAAAAGAAGAAAACACAAAAGAAGCAACGTTCTTTTGTTATGATTAGTCAAACTGTTAATGTATGTGCTGTCGGAATTTGTCAGTTGATTCTCTTCTCTGGTTATCAAGCTTTATCGGATCTTCAGGTTGGCTATTTTTTTTTACCTACGGGTTTCTTTCTCATTCATTACTTATGAGTTTAAGTTATTACTTATTTTCTTAGCATCGCGCAAGTGTTCCATATTTACTTAAATTTGTTTCTTAGATCCCTTGCGCATGCGCAAGGGATCGACGCAAGTGGCTAACATCTTGTATATCTTAACTACTGGGTTTATTAAGCGTGCCAGTAGGGCTCGCTTTTTGAAATCACTCGGATGTACCATCGAAGAAAAAATCTGGACAAAATTACAAAAAAATGTTCTTTTGCATGGGAATTCCTTGTAAGAATTTTGACCTGAAGGCAAGAGTCGAATAGCAGTCGTACTCCATAGAATACACGATGTACCTGAATGAGTTTAAATTGTTTTGTTCATCTGACAACAATGTCAGTGTCAGCTGATAAAATGTATATTTTCTCATAAGAGGTTAATAAAAGTTTTCAGTCAGTCTTTGACATCTACCGAGAATTGTTTTGGTATTNCCCCCCCCCCCCGGCCTCTGGTTTCTTTTCTTTCTATGAAAAAATAAGACTGCGGCTAAGTACGTTTTTCAATTATTCATTCAACTTCTCATTTTACCGGGTACATTTTCTCGATAGCAGTACGAAAATACTTGATCCCTATTTTATATTTGGTCAAAGCACGCTGAAACGTGTATCTTAATTGCATTCCTGATTTGGTTTGTCAATAATTATTGTCCTCGTCGCAAAAATAAAATTAATACTCTTTAATTCATTGAAATTCCTTTTTTAATTTTTAATTTATTCGTCTTTGTATTTTTTTTAGAAAACACTGTTAGTAAGCGCACACGATGACAACCCTAATTTCAACGTCGATGGCTACACTCTCTCTGGAGTTCTATATACATCTTTCGCCATCAGTGCATGTCTCGTTCCTTCGGTTATTTCATACATTGGCGCCAGGTTGACGATGTTTTTTGGAGCTGCCTGCTATGTGTGAGTGCAATTCTGCCTGCATCCAACGATAGGGAAGGGGGACTATATGTAGCATAAAATTTGCAAAATTTCGAGTAAATGTCAAAAAATAACACCTGCTGACACAATTGGAACACTCTCTTTTAAATTTTCCTGTTTCAAAATGGAGATGTTGCACGTGTGAGGAATTTGCGATTTGACCATTAATGTTCATGTGAAAGTTCGCGAGAAACACTATGGTGCCACTGATTATCTCTGAAATCAACTCCCAAGCTCAAAAAAGCTCTCAAGTTGATGCCACAATGGAGGGGATATCCCACGCTATCCTGAGAGTCCACGTCTAGGTACATCAAGACAAACTCTCCATGCAAAGGTAGGGAGCAAATACATTGTCAGGGCTGCCACTTTATTTGGGGACTCTAAAACTTAAAACACGGCAACCCTGCTAATGTATTTGCTCCCTATCTTCGCGTGGAGAGTTTGTCTTGATGTAGACGTGGACTCTCAGGATAGCGTGGGGTATCCTCTCCATTTTGGCCTCAACTTGAGAGCTGTTTTTGAGCTTGGGAGTTGATTTCAGAGAAAACCAGTGGCATCATCGTGTTTCTCGCGGGCTTTTACATTATAATCAATAGTCAAATCGCAATTCCTCACATAACATCTCCTGCAACATCTCCATTAAAGGGTGCATTGTTGAAATGACTTGAAGAGCAGTGGCGAAGCGTGCATGATCGATTATCGATATTTTCCCATTTGAAGCTGTCGTAAAGGATCGCTTAGTAAGATTTCCGTTACGAACAACATGTTAATCGATCATTTACGTATAGGTTTAAATAGCAGATCAATCGATATGTCGCAAAACACGCCATGCCACTGTTGAAAAGGCAATGAAATTGTTCCAAAATCTAATAAGCGTTAAGGTACTATTTGGTCTATTGAGGAGGACAAATCCAACTTTGCAAGGTACATCGACGGGGTGTGTTGGCAATCACATACCTCGGTTTGCCACTTCACAGACTTCCTGTCATACTTCATTTTTTAAACGGGAAACTACTCCACGACATTTCTTTAAAACTGCCAGGGCCAGATTAAGGGGGCGGCCACATGGTCCGCGGCCCATGGCGGCAAATCTATGGGGGGCGGCAAATCTATGGGGGGCGGCAAATTTTGAATTTTTTTTAAATATAAGTATAGAAAATTCGAATTTAGAAAAAAAAATCACAAACGAGAAAAGGCGACAAAATCTCTAATTTTCTGATAGTATAGTGATTTTAAGCGCTCAGCCGATAGGCAGCGCTTTTTGATTTCGACTTGCCTCTAGAGTACTAGTATACTAGTGCTAATTGGTTTAAATGGCGCGCCAGCTCATCGATGTGTAGGCTTTTTGGTGGGGTCCAGTTTTAAAATAAATAAAGCTGTGAAAACCGTATTTTACGCTTTTAACGTAATGCGCGGGTAGTTTCGATCGTTTGTCTATAAGAAAATTCCTTAGCGGTAGAGTAATTCTTATCGAAATTGATCGTTGAAAATAAATGAAGCCTAAAAGACACGCGCCTGATGAGCTCAACGGTGACTATCATTTTCGGGAAACGAAAAAACGCGTTTACGGTTTCCTTGGTAACCTTTGTTTGCTATCAGCTGATGTTTTATTTCCATCACCCAGCAAAGTCGACGGAGTTTATACTTCCTTTCTTCACTGAATACATTGACTAACACCTGAGCGCTTTTCTAATACGACAGTATTAAAACTTTCCCGCTTGTTTACCTACTTTTGTCGTCTTTCAGTGATAAGACAGCACCTTTAATTAGTCGAGTTAAGAGAGAAACCAAACACGCAATTTGGCCTGGTACGGCACGACTTAGAAAGAAACGATGGCAAGGACTTGAGATGAAAAGGAGAAGCCTTTGGCGCGGCGATCGGCATGTAGCACATATTAGCCCCTACATGACTGCACAAATACTTCACGCATTGCGGCAAACACAATGCGATCAGCGTGAAACGCATAGCGCCTACAAGATTGCGTCAAACACAGTACGTTCAGCAGCGGTCGGCGTGAAACTCATAGCGCCTACAAGACTGTCGGAAAATTTCACGCATTGCGCCAAACACGGTGAGGTCTGCGCGGCGCGGCGGTGGAAGTTAAAATCATTAATCCACATTTATGTTCGTTCTTTCAAATATTTTCGTTCATTTCTTATGAATGGAAGGCCTTGTCTACACAGAGATAGGTTTACGAGACTTAACTTTCGCGCAATGTTCCGTGAACTTTTGCTAGTGGTATTGACAGGGCTTTCCCAAAAAATGTGTTCAACACAAATAAACGCGTCTTATGCACCCCTCCCCCGCTGGCACGTTCATTTGGAGGTTTTTATTGATGTTTCAAAACGAATGAGAAGAGGGCGGCAAAATACAGGCGGCCCATGGGCGGCAAGTGGGTAAATCCGGCCCTGGAAACTGCCGTGATTTTTCTTCTCTGTTCGAGGAAAATTCTGCAAAAACTTCAAGGAATGATGTCACTTTGTTCTCCTTCAAAACAATAACATAAAGGCGGAGATTTTAAGACAACGCGAACGAGATATGTGATTGCAGACTTACGCCGTCGATACGGAGGAGAGGAGAAAATACAGAGAAAAACAGATTGACTGCGCACAAATACGTGCATGCAATTTTACTATCGTAGAGGAGACTTCCGCATAGATGCGAACCCAAATGTTTTTTTAGAGTCTATTTGTTTTCTTTTATCGGAAAATTTTCATCTCAACCATGCACAATGTAATGTGTTCCTTCCAATCAACCTCTAACTATGTGCCTTTCGATCCTTCAGGGCCACACCCGTTGCAATTCTTTTGGAAAATACATGGCTACTTTACGCATCAGGAGCACTCAATGGAATCGGAGCCGGTTTTATATGGACCGCCGCTTCGAATTACCTAGTTCTCAACTCTACGGAACTAACGCTAGCACGGAACATGGCTCTGTTTTGGTTCTTCTATCAATGCGGGTGAGCAAATGATCTTATCACTTGTCGAATGCGAAGTCTATCATCGATCAATCATTTTTTTGCCGTGATATTGGTATCTCCCTCCAAGATTTTTAGTTGAATTATTTGGAAGAATTTAATCTTAATCAGTCCACTACATCGAATTCTTTTTTACAAAAACGAAACCAAATTTCGTAAATATATGCTCTTTAGACGAAAAAAGAAATTCACAAATTAATGGAGAAAAATCCCCTCTCCCATCACATTCACGTTATTTAAAGATGGAACATAAGTCGTGTAGTGTATCAAAAGTGGTTGTAAGACCATGATATTTACCGAACATTTGCTCTGGAAGAGAACAAACGGTTTTGCAATCAATGTTGAAAGCTAAATCGCCATACATTGATAGTTGAAGTGCGAAACCACATATCTCCGTTTGCAACGTCGCAGACTGCCTGTCATACTTCATTCTTTCTTAGGAAAACTATAGTCAACGTAATATCTTGACATCTCCGATGATTTTTGTTCTCTTTAAACGGAATATTCTGTAAAAATGTTGGGCTATAAAGTTGGTTCTCTGCGCCCTCGAAAAAATAAAATAAAAGTGGAAATTTTGAAACACCGTAACGTAGATGCGTGGTTTTGCACTTTAGCCATCGATAGCGATGTTTTCCTCATTTTCCACTCCGAAAAAAGTTACATTCCATATTCGATCAATTAAACCCATTACCAATGAATCAACTGTTCATATTTTTATAGGCAGTTCCCGGGCAATCTGTTCACGTATTTTGCATTCAGACACTCAACAGTGAAAGTAGATGAAGCTACACGTAGACTGGTCTTGTATGTTTTGACCGGTATGATGGCTACGGGAGTTTTCGCGTATCTGCTGCTCAGAGAAGTGCCCAAAAGTGAAAAAGAACCAGACGCCGATACGCCTTTGCAAGCGTTGAAGAAGACTTGGAGCATAGCTTTATCAAAGAAAACGGCTGTTCTTCTTTTGGCCTATGGATATTGTGGTACCGAAATAAGATCATACTTTTGATTAAATTTCGTCTTGTTTTGAGGCCTCGATGTACGATCAAATTCCCGAACCAAGTGCTATCAAAGTGTCGGGAGGCATCAGTCTTAAAATTGTTACTTTGCCTAATTTTCAAATGAAAACCTAGCAGAAATATTGCATGGGGCAAGAAATGATGAATAGTGGCACTCCATTCTGATCAAAATATAACGGCAAGTACAATTTTGATCAAAGAGAACTCTTGAATGGTGACCATCCGTCATTTTACTGGTCTACTTTGATCGGAATTGGTTAGGAATTTGATCGTGTATCGAGACCTTTATATGCAAGGGCCGGATTTTGTTTTTCGGTACTTAAATGGAGACTTCAGCAATTTAGTTACAGCTTTATCGCAGTGTTTCCAAATCTCATCTGCTATTTTAATTTTTTGAAAGGAAACCAAACTACATCTCCACGCGAAAATTGTTGCACTTTTTTTGCCTATATGAAGGTTACTTCCACAAAATTAATTTAGACAAAAATATTGATTGGTCAACCCTTCCAAAATACTGAATTAGGTGATGAGATTTTAAAACACTCCATGTAGATGTGACTGCTTTGCTTAGCTCTGTTCAAATATGATTAGAGTAAGTTGAAACTGCGCTCATGTCCATTCCACAGCTTTTGATCGGTCGGTGGTGCAGAATCAGTCCATCAACAAATGATGTATTTTGGTGCAAAATAAACTAACAAAATTCAACACTGCGGTAGCTTAAATAAGGTTATCTATCAATTTTTTGACGATGTCACACCCGCATTTTTAACCGGCAAAAAAAAAGAAAAAAATTGGAAAGAAGTAAATGTACAACAAAAATGTCAAGCAAATTGTCTCTTTTCAATTTTCCTTTTTTTTGCCGGTTGAAAATTCGGATGTGACACCGCAAAACATCGCACCGGAAAACAACAAAATCGAATCTCGAGTGCAGGGCTTATTGTTTTTATCCAGTTAAACTAATGTAGCTCTACATGCAAGAAATATTTGACGCTGCTACGTTTGTATAGACTTGCCTGTGAGGCCTTTTTACTTTTTTGTGTACTCTATTGGGACCCTTACACAATAAAAAATGTCTGTGAGCAGAGCTACGATTATTTATGTTTTTTTTTCTTCTTTTTTTTCTTTTTTTTTTTCTTGGAGCAATCATGATTAACTGTCCGGGTGGTTGAACTAAATCACCGTAATAGTGCAAACTTCCTGTTTCGTTCACAATGAAATCATATCAATTGAGGGTATAGTAGCTCACTCATGCATAATATACTGATCGATACGCGGATTGCATTTTGCAAAAAGGAACAAAGAGCATTCAAATGTTGTTAAGATTGTGCAAATTACACGCTTCGCTAAAAATTACTGAAATCACGCAAAAAATTAAATTTTCTAAGGTAATTTTTGTGTTGAATTCTAAGTTTATCGGGGTAAAGATAAAACTTGTTTAGATGATCAGATCATACTTGCCAGGTGGAGAAAGTTGTACAATTTTAAGGACATTGTAATGCTCCTGGTTCCTATTTGTAAAATGCAATCCACGTGTGGTTTGTGACTTTTCCACGTGCACTTCGGGTTAGGTTAGGAGCTGTTTGATTTTCAGAGTTTTTATTTCTGAATTTCCAGGATTGCATTTGGCGTTCATCTTCGGTATCTACGGATCTAGCATTGGTTTTACTTTACAAATCGGAGAGGGTGTTAAAAGACTCGTGCCTTTGGCTGCAATTTTGGTTGGATGCGGGGAAGTATCAGGTAGCTAATTTTTCTATGTAAAATTTTCTGATGTTTTTAAATGTTGAAAACTCCACTGTTTCATGACAAATGGTGAACAAAATTAAAATGCGTTCATTTTCATGCAATATATTGAAGAAAATTAAAAGACCTTCATTGTCATGTAATATATTGAAAATATTTACTAAAGCAAATACTAATTGTAAGTAAAAGAATGAAGTAGATGAAAATGAACAACAGGGTAAATTAAAGATCGGTTATTCCATGCAAAACTATTTTTTTAAGTTTCAGAGGTATTTGAGACGATACTTAAGTCACGAAAGTACAGAATTGTGTGATAATAATATGGCTTTTACTCTACATGATGTATGTGCTAACCTACTTATTTCCCTTTTTCAGGTGGGATACTGGGGCAAATTTTTGGAAACGTGAACGTTTATCGTATCAATTTATTTTTCGTTTTGGCTGTGATAATCAACTGCATCTTTTATCTAGTAGTATTTTTGAGCTTACCATCTGACGCAAATTTTGGAAATACGTTTCAGAAATCTATCATTGAACCAAAGTAAGCATTTTTTAATTGTTGAATTCTTTGGTCGAACAGTGCAATATTTATTAATGAAGTGTCAGGATTTTAGTGACAATTTTCTGTTCCCTGCGTAAAGGAATAATAATGTTTTTTATATACATTCATATGCAAAACTGGCAAGACTTAGCGTGCTCTGAATGGCGATTTTCAAAAATATCTGTTTTTCTATCAATGTTGGTCCCAGAAATCAATATAATTAAAAAAAAATAATTGGTGATTTGATTCCATTTTACTTGTTTAAAGCTGTAAGTATGTCTCTGAATAGTGGACGGAAAACTCTGTTGGGAAGGTACTGTTACTTTTAACTGGTCTGTAAAATATATTCAATAAGATACGATGTAGTGAAATGCAACAAAATAGAGCACTTTTGGTCATTTGAGGCTGTGTCACCCCCGAAACAAAATGAATAATTGAGAACTTAAGGTTTCGTCTTCATTTTATCTTTGAGTACCTGATTCGTGTTTTATTTTTTACCTATGATGAATTTTTCTCAATTTATGGAATGTAATGTTTATTTTTTACATTAAATTCGGGAAAGAGTGAATATTAAAACTTTGAACTGTTTTTTTTTTTTTTTTTTTTTTTTTTTTTTTTTTTTTTTTTTAAATTTGTAGCAAACAGACATTGAAACGTTTTGCACGAAATCGCATTAAGTCGCACTTTCAAAAAAAGAGTAAGGATTAGTTATAAATTCAACTAGTCACAAATTATCCATAGGCGGACCCAGGGGAGGGGCATGAGGGGTGTGCAACCCTCATTCGCCCAGAGTAAAGGGGAAGAAAAAGAGAGGGGAGAAAGAAGAAAGGAACATAGGAAAAGAGAAGGAAAGACGCTCCCATTTGAAAATCAATAATGACAAAATTTACTCAAACTGCATATTAGATGCTTCAAAAATTCCAAAATTTCATAAAGGATGCCCCCGGACCCCTTTTCCGCCCCCCCCCTCCACGTTCACGGTCAGTGGATCCGCCTATCATTCTGTTAAACAATTTTTAGTCGAGGAAAAATATTTTGTACTAAGAAATATTCGTTGAACTATGCGCGTAATATTGAGTCTCGTGGAAGAATAACATTAAAAACCCATTTTTTGCGGTTCAAACTTGATGCGACTGGGGGAGTTCCTATTCCGTCCAATTAGTTGGCTTGTAAAAACCTTTTAATTTTTTTCCTCTTATAACAGCCAGTTAAAAATAGGGAAGAAGCTATCGCCTAAAATAATTTTAGCCGTATTGATTTAACAATCAACCTTTAAATTTTTCAGGCCATGGGTCTTGTTATTGGCAAGTTATTTCTTCGGTGTAGGCGACAGTTTTCTAAACGTCCAGCTATACACATTGGTAGGATCGCTTCATCCGAGAGATAGTGCTCCCGCATTTAGCGTCTTCAAAATCTTACGGGTAAGTATCCCAACTTGCATTATTTTTAAGAAACTAGAGGGCTTCGCGGCCCAACCCCTTCGTAGATTCCGTCAAATTATGATGAGAACATCACTTAATTTTTTTTTTTATATAAATTATTGTTGTAATTTTCATTAATACTACTAAAGTTCCTTTAGATGCTTATCCATTCAAATCATTCATTAACAGTTCAGATAAAAACTTACCTTCAGTAATGGCATAGTTTCCCAAATTTAGTGATGTAGGTGTTTTCGCTTGATTTAATTTGAGAAAGCATGCTGCAAATAATCATTAAAAATTTTCAAAAAAGCCCCGGAAAATTAAGTTTACTCTGTTTGTAATTGTAGAAATTATTTTTTGCGTGATTTCAGACTGTATTCACTGCCTCCAGCTACTACTACAGCAGCTATCTACCATTGTCGACTCAGTTGTTGATTTTAGCGATTATAGGAATTTCGGGAATGATCACTTTCAATATTATAAACGTCACTCATGAGCGCAAGAAAGCAGCAGACAAATGTTAATATGTTTTTTCTTGGTCGTGTTTTTATTTATAAGTAAGAACTTGTACTAAAATTGATGTAATCTCGTTGTACTGTGTTTCCAGAAGAATATAATTTTTCCAGTTCCTTGATATTTGCAGTTTCTTTCTAAGATTTGTAATCCATTGTTAAAAATCCCGAAGTCCAGTGGCTGTCAAAGTTGCATACTCAATAAATTGAAGGCGTTTTAGCGTGCATCGCATTCTCGGCGACGCGACGAAACTTCAACCTCAGCGCATCATTGTCGAAAAACCGTACGTGGACTTGTAGCTCCCAGCTGTCGTGCTAAGGAGGAACGCCATATGCGCTTCCAGGCGTTTTCCATATCTCCTTCGATGAACAACAAATTGACTGGAAAAATTTTGAATATTTGTCTTCAAATTTTCAGACAGTTTTGCTTGTAATTTAATTTAATATATCTGACAGTTTTCTCGGAAAAGATACAAAGCTTTTCCTCAAAAATACATGTTTCATACAGTAAAAAATGGCAACTCTTGAATGTTCATACGGCGTTTCCCGTCACAGCACGGCAGTATATAATCAACTCTACTTCTATGATCGCTTTTAAATGATCGGGCGTGAATTTGCCGATTGCATTATGCATTTGTAAGGCCGCACAAGGTTAAACTAGGGCTCTGATATTGCACTGTTACATGGCTGCACTGTGGCAAATTTTGGAATGCTTTCCAACGCAAACCTCATTCTGGAGTCTATGTAGAAGGAGGATTGATACGGACGAAGAGTGAAATTCGCCCCCGAAGAGTGAACGACAATCCACAAAAGAAGCACATCCCAAGTGAAAGTGTAGGTCATGCTTTAGACGCTATACAGACTCCGACGTGAAATTTACACCATAAATCTTTCCAATATTTTCAACAGTGTGCTTGAACTTGAAAAAATTAAAAATTAATTAATTTCAAATATTGCATGGCTCATCTTAAAGAAGTAGTGTCTCAATTCTTCTTGCATCGGAAGAATCCTCTTGAAATATTTCATTGCCGGCGCCGACACTACCTCAAAAGCGAATTCTCCTACCGTAAAAATGCCAAGTATGTGAAGTGAATAGTGAAAAATGTAGATGGCAAACCACGTGCCCTACTTCTCGTGCCTACTTGTAGAAATGCTTCCTGACAGGTTTTTATTTAATTTTTTATTTATTTATTTATTTTTTTTAAGCGTGCCAGTAGGGCTCGCTTTTTGAAATCACTCGGATGTACCATGGTACAGCACACAGATCAACCAATGCTATTCAACGGGTCGTCCAAATACTTTTTTCCTCGCACCCGTTTCTTTGTCTTTGAACCATTACACTGTCAAGCCCTGATGGTCTTTTACCAAAAAATCTAATGAACTGCTAATTGGAAACCCTTGAGAACATTTTTCTGTCAAAACCGTATTATTCAATTTGACAGAAACCTCATAGGAGCTTTCTTACGCTCGGAGGACTCAACTCTAGAACCTTCTTTCCCGCCAAAACTCTATAGCCAATGAGCGTCTTGCACTGTAAGTGCAATCTGTGATGAGCCTCGTGACTCATTATACTATGTACTAACCATGGCCCCTGCCGAAATCCACTTAAACCACTGCAGTTATCTCCCGATATAGCTTTGGGTGTCCGGTTTCGAGCAAGGCAATAAAAGACGGCGAGGCGATTAACCGATTAACCATTCACCGTGATGCCAGGATCCACCAAATTTTCTCAAAAATTGTTTTCCGTCTATTTAGCGAGTTTTTCTTTACTTTCCGTTGAAGAACAAATAAAAAGAGACCTCATTTGTACAAATCGGCCGAATAGGAGAGAAGTTACAGTTCGAAATCCAAAGAGATTAACTGAACGCGATTTCGATGCACGGCAGTTCGCCCAAATCACGGTCGTGCGCAAATGCCGCATATTAGCTTAAAATCAAGATAATTGGATGACGGAATCTTTAAAATTAATTTACATTCAACGTTCATGAATCAATATTTTCTCCCAAATTTAGCAAAAAGTACCAATTGATGCAAAAAGCAAAGACGTGAAAATAAGAGGTATTTGTCCAACATTTCAGTTATTCGGCACGCTTTTCCAACATACTCATGTTGGATTTTTTCTTCTTGTTTTTTTTTTTGAAATTCACATTTTCACTCACAATCACATTCTTTCACATTCACAATCAAAATTTTATGGTGGGTCCTCTGTAAGAAACGGTTCGAAGCTGTACCGCTACCATTTACTTACTACATCCACTCCTCAAGTACACTAAAATGAACACTGAAAGCCTCATCCACTTGGTCATGTTATGGAGAAACGCGTTGTAGTTATCACCGCCCATGTAATGTTGTTATCAATCATTAGATCGTTATCACCCTCGTTCTATTGTTCTCTCTAAGTAGCTAGTATGTATATGTAAATGTCATTCAAGTCTAGAGTCTAGAGAGGCTGCTCACTCTGTTGACCAGAGTAAGGATATATTATGCGAGGCCAAAGTCTGTCCTTACTGCCGTCCTTGGGGACTAGGTGTCCCTGATGTCCCCGCACAACAAATGCTACAAGATCATTTGAATTTTCCAAGTTTAAAGAGCTCATTTTTCAGAATAGTTATATATATTATCCCCTTAAATTTTCTGATATTATGCATTAAAGTGTGACTATATTTCCTCGGAAAATGGAATAAAAATGTTCAAAAGTTTTTCCCACGAAAATTCGTAATGATTTCAAAAGAATGACAGCATATTCTCTGAGAAAGGAGTATTTTTGAGGACGTAAAAAGAGGATATCAGAATGGTGGAAGAAAAATTGCCAAAGAAGATGCGTAATTGGGTTCCTCTTATGGGAGGAGACGAAAGGTTCGCCTAGTGAAAGGGTAGTGACAGGGGATTTTAGAAGAAATGAAGGAGTGCAAACTCCCCGAGTGGGATGATTGGGGACTTGGGCGGCTGGGTATAGCAGAGCGCTACGAATCACTGTGAAAGCGGCTTTATACAAGCAAAATAGGATTTCATCATGATCGGAAAGTATTAATCAAGTGATCAGCTACACAAGTTGAGATTATAATCTAGTTGGTATTCTTTTGTAGTAATGCAACGTTCAATCTCATCACTCGAAAATATTTGACATAACAGATTCTGCATTTGAGTTCGATGTTTCAAATTTTTGCTGTTTCCAATCAGGATAGAAGAACACATTTTATATGATTCAGGAGATCGTGATTGACCTCACCTATATTGAATAATATTCCCAAAAAATTGCATGCCAAAATTTTAGCCCGTTCTCTGTATCAAAGAGTAATTTTTTTTTTATATATATTGAAATCGAGGAATGTGTTTTTATAAATTCACCGTCGAGGCATTCAATATCATTTAGCCATTATGCTTATACTCCCGGTCATATTCTCGGCTTATGTCCTCGGTTGAAGGCATAGGCCTGGGCTGTTGCACCGTAATTTTTACACGAATAAGAATTATATTTATCGCCAGACTTCCACCAAAATCAAATTATCAAGTTATCAAGTTCAAAGTTCGACTGTATGATACCTACATGTGTTTCCCTTTCAATTCATCGATGAGTTTGCAAAGAGGAATGAACTTGCATAAGCTGCCAAATTCTATTTCTGCTAATATGTTCCTCTAATAGTTAGTTTTAAAAGAAATACCAGCAATTTTGCTATGGATAGCCGTACAATTAATATATGTGGTGTGGGAATTTGTCAATTACTTCTCTTCTCCGGCTATGTTGCTTTGTTGGATCTTCAGGTATTAATTTGCATTTACTATTTCATTGACTTTTCACTTTTCTCATATCATCAAGGAGTTTGTAGAGAAAGCTGTCAGTATAAACCCTAAATGCGGCAATGTCCAATAAAAAAAACTGGGCTTATGTCATTTTCGGATTGCACTGCACGTAACAGAAGGTAGTTCAGAGCTTAAATTTTCCGTAATTTTTAATCGTTTCCAATAGAATCAAAGTCCTCTAGTTGTATTTAGAATTTTCGTTATCGCCTTTAACCATCTATTGCATACATACACATATATTGTCCCTCCTCTAACGTAAGGGCGTATCTCGATTTCCACGTGAGCCCTGATTCACATATAAACCCATGCTTTCTAGAGTTCATGCGGAAATTGAGATACACCCTTACGTCAGAGGAGCGACGATATATAGGTAATTCAACTTATTTTCTTTTTTTTAAAAATTCTGTACGAGCGCAACAATGTTTCTGAATGCATCTATGCAAGCCCAAGGTTGAATTCTATTGGATAAAAATGACGGAACATACTCCAACGTTGCTAAATTAGGTTAAAAACGTGTTTTTTTCGGCAACCCGGGCTGCGTAGGTCGGCTCTGGCGACGCATTTTCGGCGCAGGATTTGGGTTGGTAAGAGTGGTTGTATGGCAATGAAAAAAATATATGCATATGCAGCACACATCATACTTTTTTTAGGTGACAATTACAGGAAATATCAGATGTAAAATGCGTTTTTATCATAAATTGATTTTAAACTGAATAACACATTATATGTGATCTCATGCAACTAACTCTGGCGACGAAAATGACAAATTACATATCGACGGTGAAAGTCGGCAATCACATAACTCGTTTGCGGTGTCTGAAAATCTCCGCCTCTACGTCATTTTTTTAAAGGAGAGCAAATTAACATTATTTCTTGAAGTTTTTGCAGTATTTTCTTCGCATTGAGAAGAAAAATCATGACAGTTTTAAAGAATTGCCGTTGAGTAGTTTTCCATTTAAAAAATAAAGTATGACAGGAAGTCTGCGACGTCGCAAACCGAGTTATGTGATTGCCGACTTGCACCGTCGATATATGTCATTCCATTCAATCGATTGTGGCCAATAAAAATGAACATATGACTAATATTCACCTACAATTTTATTTATTCTGGCAAAAACAGTGTTCTCCAAATATTTAATCCCTGGCAAGGCTGACGTTGCCTTTTCTTCAATGAAATGTACTTACCCATGTTTTTCATGTAACATCTATTTTTAGGGTTTTCACCAAAGTTGCATAGAATCACATATATGTAATTTCGCTTTTTCTTTTTTTTTTCTTTTTTTCTATCAAAGTTGCATGGAACTACAAATATGTAACTACCACTTTTGGGGGCCGTTTCGGGGGAAAAGAGCCTCCTCCCGCCCCCCAAAAAATTGGGACTCTATTTTTTTCATAGATCTTTAAAAAAAAAAAAATTATTTCAAATCCGTGATCCAAAATTAATTCATGCACTAGAGGGTCAATATTTTTCTAATGTCTTCGTCACCTCGTATTCTTAACACGGTATTAAATGTCGCGAGATGACATGTGCAATGAAATAAAAAATTCAAGTAATTTTATAATAGCCTTTCCATCTAATTTAATTATCTTGCATATTAATTTCAAATTGCAGAAAACCTTACTAGTGAGTGCGCACGATGACAACCCTAATTTCAACGTTGATGGATACACTCTTTCTGGAGTTATATACACATCTTTCTCGCTCAGTGTACTCCTCACTCCCTCAGTTATTTCATCCATTGGTCCCCGATTGACGATGTTTATTGGAGCTCTATGCTATTTGTAAGTATAATTCAACCTTTGTCCTAGAATATATCAGAACCGCAATAAAAGTATGTTTTTTGCACACAGGAGATATGATCAATTATTAGACTTTGTAAGATAAAACCACACAAGAATCACGCTAAACACATCCAAAAAGTTCGGGATCCGCGTAATTCTTATCACAAGTTCTCAAATTTCCCTTATCCTGAAGTATTTAATGCTCCGTTGACGGAGACCAGGTTTGTCGAGAGAGTTCAGAAAAAACTGGAATCTGTTTTCAATCTTTCATGCGTATGATTCCAATCGTTAAAAAGCATTTAATTTCGTCTTTTTCTGTTTAAAGAGAAAATGAATGCTTGTAGATGACAGCGGAGACCTCGAATAATAGAGATTGATAACAGTTTGTGATAATGTTAATGAAGTTTGAATCATAAACAAGAAATGCCGTTTTAAAAAAATACATATAAAATCGCGAAATTTTCGAAACTCATGAATTCCTTTACCTTATTTTAGACAAACATTGCATGCTTACTGTATACTTTGATAGACTTCTGTAGCTGCGAGTTGGGACTCAAAAATGACTGTGTGAGTCGCAATTGGACACATTTATGCTAAAAGGAATACTACGTGCAAAGGGTTTTGCGTACAAAATAGTTCCTCTTAGCATAAATACGTCCAATTGCAACTCGCAGCTCGCTACAGCAGAGAGACAGTAGTCTATCAACGCATATGTCCATCTAAATTAAGGCTAAGGAATAAACGAGTCTGAATATTTCTGCGACTTTTTATTCAGATGAAATAATTCACCAGATTTTTTATTTTCGAAGGTTAGGTTTTTTTACGTCCATATATGTGGGTATATGACTTGAAATGCTATCCATTTATCGGTACATCTAGTGTGTGATGGAACTATTTTTGGGGCAAAGTTTGAGCTTCGGAATGAGCAAGATAGTTCTTATAAAATCTGAGCAAGATAGTTCTTATAAAATCTTGGCAAAAACTAAGTCTTCCAACGATGCAGATCATCCATGCTGACTCGGAGTGATGAAATTCAGATAAATCAACATATTTTTCCTTCTCTTTCATTGTATTTTATTTGAAAACGGTTGATTATAATTTTACTTTCATAGAGCCCCTCCTGTGGCAATGTTCCTAGAGAATAGTTGGCTTCTATACGCAGCCGTCTCACTTAATGGCATTGGTGGAGCTCTAACGTGGACTGCGAGTTCAAATTATTTGGTACTGAACTCTACCGAACAAACACTTGCACGAAACATGGCTTTGTTTTGGTTCTTTTTCGCATGCGGGTGAGTGATACCTTCTACTCTTGTCAGATTAAGAGGAATTGATTGGGTATTCAATTTTGGGAGCACAATCATTGATGTGAACATATGAGCATTTCACCGTATATGTAAATGTTTTTACTAGATCGATAAACAAGTAAATTGATATACAATAATTGATTTCCTGGTCTCCCACATATATAGCCTTTTTTTTTGAACGACAGTAGTAATAGGCTAGAAAATATAGCCTAGTTGCAGATCGTCGCGAAATTAGTTGCCCAAGTATCTAAATAGATCTTGCGTTTATACATTTCATTGGACCGTGTTTAGCCGAAAAGAACCAAGCCACATCTGCTATCCTCAAATTTAATGGAGAAGTTTAATTTTTTTCAAGAGAACGTTTATGCAGATGTTTGGTTAAAGTTTTAAGGAATTTGCTTCCTGCTATGCAGATAATTCGATGGAATTTGCGAAGAAAATCCGCACAATCGTTTTCACCAAAAATATTAAATTGCCCAGCTATAGGGATAGGTAATATCTGTTGAGGAATGGTTCCGTCCTGCGTAACAAGGTCCAATTCCCCGAGAAAATTCAGTAATTTAATCCGCAACTGACCTTTTATCAGCAGGGCGCTTAAAATAATCAATTTTACTACAGTGCCTAGTCGCAAATTTAGACTTAAAAAAATTGAAAATAGCTTTAGTCGTATCAAAGGAATGAGTCACAATTACACAAGCTAGTCGCACTTTTAAAAATACTGTGTTATAGTAAATGTTCATCTAGGTTTGAAAAAAAAACTGGTAGGACTGTTAAATTTGTTTAAATAATATATAGTATGTCACAAAAGTTGCATCACCAATTCTTGTAACAGCGAATTAATAGAGGTAGCAAAATGCCTGCGTACTGTACGAGGTTAAAGATTGTTTGTTAAAATCCTTGAGGCGACCCCTCCGAGCAAATTACGTTAAAAATTTGCTGACCTACAGCAGTTTAGAGGCGACGGGCTCATGTACTTCCAAAACATGTTTGACCCTTTTTTCAGACAAAGTAGGCAAAACTTTCTCCGGGCTAAAGAGGCCCGAAGAGTACTTTTAGAAGGAGTACTTTTTCTATCCATGGTGGAGAATTGGTAATATTACAGTATTCCCTGGAGCGTATTTAGTAAACTTTCAATTAGCAAGGAGCTCGATATCTTTAAACAGCGCAAAGTTGCCAGTAGTCCTTGTAATATTCGCCCACGGCGGTCAAAGTTACCAAACTATCAAACTTTCGGACAATTATTTCTAAAGAATCGGCACTTAGTTAGGAAAAACGCAACATTGCACATTTTGGTATGCATTTGAGAGTTTGTTGTTGTAAAAAAAGAAAAGTTTGAGACTAACTTTTTGAACTTGTAAAAACTTGTAACTAGTATATATGCACACTTGGATTTTCAATTTTTTGTCGAGTTACTTCTGTTTTCTCCCACCAAACGTTCAAAACTCCCTCTGGGACAAATCGGACTCGTCGCTTAAAAGCCAGTGTGAATCATTTTTTCGGCCGAATTCGTCACTTTTCTCACGAAAGAACGTAATTAAATTTCAATGTTGCCAAATTCCCCAGCACAAATTGTAATGGAACCAGAAAGATTTTAGAAATTTCATATCGAAAAGTTCATTTATTTTCCTCTACAATCTCATGCAAAAATCAGACAAGTTTGGAACAAAAATTGCACACGTACATTTTTATAAAATATTGAATTGTTTGAGTCAATTTTGCAACCTTGGAATCGAGTTACGTTTCTTCGCTCAGCCCAGGAAACGACGAATGGGCCTGTTGCATGCAAGAGATACAGCCGTGCGAATAGACTTTTTAGTGGTTAAATGACACGAAAATTACGATGCTCACATTAAAAGAGTCTGAAATACACCTCTTATTGCGAAATTTGCGTTGTCAGGAACGCGCTTTTTCAAATTTCCCGCGTCTGGGGGCAGTTTTCTAACGAAAACAATTAACGGCAACTCGCGGCTATTTCCGGTCAACTAAAACTGACAACATAACCTAAAAATCGGAGCTCGTGAAATGAAATGTAGAAGGATTGCGTTGGATATTTAAAAGTTGATCGATTTGGTTACTGCATAAAGCGTATATGGACCACTATAAGAGATCACGTTGGGTTTGTAAACAAACTGAAGGAAAAAATAACAACAACAACGACGACTCGACATCTTCCGGAAATCACCGAGCCCGCCGTTTGCTCGTTTCCGGTGATTAGAAAACTGCCCCCAGACGCGGGAAATTTGAAAAAGCGCGTTCTTAACAACGGAAATTGCGCAGTAAGGAGTGTATTTCAGACTTTTTTAATGTGACCATTGTAATTTTCGTGTCATTTAACCTCTAAAAAGTCTAATCGCGCGGCTATATCTCTTGCATGCAACAGGCCCATTGTATCGTGAGGTCACGTTAGAGACCTATTAACATTATCTTTCGGCAAGTACATACAACCTGCGTTTTGCTAATTTGGTTTGCTCAAACGAGGGTTGATGAAAATACTTTTTTGACACATTATGCTATATGTATAATTTTGGAAAGGGAAAAAGTAGATCCCTGCAAGCTCTCATTAAGATCCAAACAATGTAACTTTTCATAATAATCATTTTCATTCTAATCTAACTTTTTCATTGTCAGATCTTTTCCGGGCAACCTGTTCACATACATCGCATTCAAAAGTGTGACGGTAAAGATTGATGAATCCACAAGGCACCTTGTCTTATTAGTGATGACTGGATTAATGGCTGTAGGAGCTTTTTCGTACCTATTTCTCAGAGATGTTCATGAAAGTAGGAAAAAATCAAATGCTGACACGCCTTTGCAAGCATTGAAAAAGACTTCAGACATAGCATTATCAAGGAATACAGCTGTGCTTCTTTTAGCTTTTGGATACTTAGGTATGAAAAAAAAACCACTTTTTGATGAAAATTTCTATACTNGGTTCGATTGACAGAGGAGTGGGGAACGGTCAGACGTAGGGGAAAGGTTCAGGCTGAACCGTTCAGCACAGCGCAGCGTCAGTCACCGGGTGGGGAAGAGAGTCCGGGAGGGGACACTTCCCCTCGAGTGAAATAGAAAAAGGCAGAATCCTTCGAAGTTTATATTAATGATATTAATGATGTTGGGGTCATCTCTTAAGTATGTAACACTGTGGAATGATTTGCTGTCCTTTTCAGCGTTATTCAACGAAATCGAGTAATTTTTATCGACATTTAACCTACCATGGCGCCTTTTTGTAAGTAGGTATCACGCTCGGCTTTTTGGTCACCTTCTTGACCCTTTCCCTCCCTTGTACCTGTAAGGCACTCGTAAGACAACCTGTGTTCCAACTCCCCTCCCCCATTTTTATGAGAATTATGGAGAAAGCTTGAAATATTATCTTCATAAAAAAATCACTTTCATCTCTTTAAAGTTGGAGGCTTTACGAAAGACTGGGTTTGACTCCCTTTTCCCTCCTTATAAGACCCAAAGACGCAACCCCCTGTATATAGCCTATGTCATACCGAAACGCCGCCAAGATGGGACATTGCTGTTAAATGAAGAGATATCCACATTAAACCCATCGGATCATCTTTGAAATCTCCTTTTGATCAGTCTCTTTGTACGTGTTGAGGGATACGGAAAGGAGCATAGGTACGTTACGAAATCGTTACGATGGGAGGAGGGTTCGAAAATGCCGAAAATATGCGTCAAGTACGTTAGGGATGGTCCCTAAGGGATGATATGAATACGGAGACCAAGATAACTCCTACTCTTGAACATTAATTCTTTTTTGTTTTTTCTGAAAAGGTTCCAAAATTTCCTGCGCTTCCCCTATCGCAGGTCTTTTCAGACCGACAGCAAAAGCCTAGCGTGTTATGCGATGTATCGATTGAAATGCCATTCAAACCTAAGAAAAAAGATCGATTATTAGGGTGTTCGTAACGAAAACCATAATAATCGATTCTTTACCATAACTTCAAATGGATACCGGACGATTTCAACAGATGCTTCAGTATCGATAGTCGATTATCACGCTTCGCCACTGACCAACAGGACCCCACAGACCACAGTTTGAAAGCTATTGAAAGAGCTTGATGCAAAAACGGCTTTTTTCGCCCCCCCTCTGGAAGTTCTTCAGACTTTGTTTATTGATTACTCATACTTGAGCGCTTCTTTTCCCAAATTTTCAGACCCCCAAAAAATTTTGGGGGGGTGCTAGGGGGGGGTGGAAGTCAAAACCTGTAAACCTCGATATCTCTTGAACAAAGAAAGATATCGAGGTCCGGTTTGGACGAAAAATCGTCTAAAATTGCATACTTTAAGATTCTAAAGGTCAAAATCCCGATATCACATTTTTAAGTCAACATATGTGCTTTTTTCCAGTTTTTAGGTCTAGAAAATTTCATTTAAACGAAAAATTTACAAAGATCTTAATTTTTTGTTTGAACCAAAACCAGTTTTTTAAATTGTTCGTCTTTTTCCGCATCCAAAAAGTGGTCCATTAAGCTGGGGAATCAAACGGTTCCGGAGTTATGATCGATTGAAGTTTTCGCTCAACGCGCGCCGACCGATTTTCGCGTGCAAAAAAGTCGGATTTGACTGTTATTAGATCATATTGAATGTTCAAACTGAGCAAAATGCTTTATTAGGGACTCTTGAGGGTCGCTGAGTTCAGAAATTACAGATACTTCCAAAAAATTCACGTTTTTTAAATTGCAGCTTCGGACAGGACCACTGAGCGGCCGGTCGGCGCTCAGTGGGCCTCTAAAATAGCGCTGCGGAGCTGTAATTTTAAAAACGTAAATTATTTGGAAGTATCTGTAATTTCTGAACTCAGCGACCCTCAAGAGTCCCTAATAAAGCATTTTGCTCAGTTTGAACATTCAATCTGATCTAATAACAGTCAAATCCGACTTTTTTGCACGCGAAAATCGGTCGGCGCGCGTTGAGCGAAAACTTCAATCGATCATAACTCCGGAACCGTTTGATTCCCCAGTTTAATGGACCACTTGTTGGATGCGGAAAAAGACGAACAATTTAAAAAACTGGTTTTGGTTCAAACAAAAAATTGAGATCTTTGTAAATTTTTCGTTTAAAAGAAATTTTCTAGACCTAAAAACTGGAAAAAAGCACATATGTTGACTTAAAAATGTGATATCGGGATTTTGACCTTTAGAATCTTAAAGTATGCAATTTTAGACGATTTTTCGTCCAAACCGGACCTCGATATCTTTCTTTGTTCAAGAGATATCGAGGTTCACAGGTTTTGACTTCCACCCCCCCTAGCACCCCCCCAAAATTGTTTGGGGGTCTGAAAATTTGGGAAAAGAAGCGCTCAAGTATGAGTAATCAATAGACAAAGTCTGAAGAACTTCCAGAGGGGGGGCGAAAAAAGCCGTTTTTGCATCAAGCTCTTTTCATTATCTCTGTTTTCAATTTGTCAGGATTAAATTTGTCTTTCATCTCCGGCATCTATGGATCTTCCATTGGTTTCACATTACAGATTGGAGAGGGTGTTAAGAGACTCGTTCCTCTGTCTGCGGTTTTGGCCGGCTGCGGAGAGGTTTCAGGTATTTGTTTAATATTAATCTAAGATTTTTGAACTTTTAAACACTCGATTTTATGTCACGGAGTGAGCAAATTTTTTAAATCAAACTATAAATTATTTTTATATACGTTCTATTGAATAGGTACTTGAAATTTGTATTACATCAAAGAGCAATCGGACAAACGTGCGTGTGAGAGCTAAGGTCATACAATACAGCAGAAGTAAGCAAATACAGTTAAAGTTGCACTTGCAATCTGGGATCTGGGGAATAAGCGTTTAAATGAATATTATTAATTAAGACTGACTGTGGAAGCTGGATTCGTGCGTATTTTTCATCAAATATTACTGTAAATGATTTTTCTCTCCTGTCTTGGTTTTTACTTTCACTTTAAAAAGTAAAAGATAAAAAATGAAGGCTTCCAGTAAACCATGCCTGTGCACGTAACACCGAGGCTTTACAAAATTCACATTTTTGGAAAAGTAGCCTCAATCCACAGAGACATAACGTCGCACTGTGGATCGAGTCTATAGGAAAAGTCGGACAAAATCTGGAAACCTTGGAAGCTAATATTTACAAAAATATGAAACAAAAAAAGTTGGAAAAGCGTTCTAATGGGTTTTTCGTAGAATTTTCTTTCAAAAACACCCCTTCACACAGAGGTCGTGACTAAATAAACATACAAATTTGAAATTTTAGCAAACAAATTCATATCCGATCTCTTCTATTAGCTCGTCCCACTGTGCGGCGTAACTCGATTTCCTCGTGAGCCCATTTATTGCTTGCAACATAGTTCATTTTAGCATAAACACGTCCAATTCTCAGTGAAGAGATTTCTATGGAGTTCAACTGAGAGATCAAATTTTAAGATTTCTGCGAAAAACCCTTCTCGGTGTCCTAAAGAATGATATAATTTTTATTGTTTTTTATGTTAAAAAAGATTTTATTTTTCATGAAATTTTGCCATGCTGGCTCTGTTGTAAATAACCGAATAACTCTGAGATTTTATTTATCAAGGCCCCTCCTCTCTTCTGTTGGACAACCACATTTAGACTAATTTTTGTATGAATGATGCATTATGTTTCTCAGATAAGTAATTAAAATTGTTCAGGGTTAAATTAAAGTCATTAGGATAATGCAGATGTTAAACATTTATTGTCTAATTAAAATTATCCATTGTCTCTTTTTCAGGAGGGATACTGGGAAAAATTTTTGGGAAAGTAAATATATTTCGGATCAACATATTTTTTGTTGCTGCTGTGATTATCAACTGTGTCTGTTATTTGATGATATTTTTATGTTTACCTGCGGATGCAAACTTTGGTAACACATATGAAAAAGCTTTTATTGAACCACGGTGAGTATTTTGAAAGGTTTTTTCTCATTAAAATGGTGCGCATTTTTTCTTTTCCCCCCTCTAGAATGAAATCCCTCTTTTTTTTCAAACGAATTAATCTCCAAATTTAATGTATTCTTTCCTTGTCCTAACTTTTAATTTTGCACTGCCTTAAAGTGACCCCTACTTTTTAAATTTTTGAATTCTAAACTATATTTGATCTCTCTTCTAAGGTGTTAATTGCTAAGTTGTTAAAAGCACCAGATAAACGTAATGTATCTATCAACCTATCCATCGCCGGATTTACCTACTTGCCGCCCATGGGCCCGCCTGTATTTTGGCGCCCTCTTCTCATTCATTTTGAAACATCAATAAAAACCATCAAGTTATCGTGCCGGAGGGAGAAGGGTGCATATGTATGACGCGTTCACTCGTGTTGGACACATTTTTTGCGTAAGCCCTGTCAACACTACTAGCAAAAGTTCAGTTCCGTAAATCTATCTCTGTGTGGACAAGGCCTTTCATTTGTAAGAAATGAACTAAAAAATTAAGAAAGAAGAAGCATATAGGTGGTTTAATAATTTTAACTTCCACCGCCGCACCGCGCTGACCACATTGTGTTTGGCGCAATGTGTGAAGTATTCATGTAGTCTTGTAGGCAGTGTGTGTTTCACGCCGCGCCGACCGCTGTTGCATCGCATCGCACTGTCTTTGGAGCAATGCGTGAAGTATTCATGCAGTCGTGTAGGCGCTAATATGTGTTCATGCCGACCGCCGCACGGTGGATCGAGTCAATGGTAGAGGTCGGTCATGGGCCAAAANTGCTTACGGTCCCATTCGCCGAAAGTAACGTGAAAAATAAACTATCAAGGATCCTATTTTCAATAGTTATGAAAAAGTGTGTCAAAGTCGTATTAAAACTCGTTATTCGGCTGAAATATGATAAAAAATGGAATCTACGACGAAAAATACACGAGGTAAGAGTAATTTGCTCTATTCTAAGGGTGGAAAATCTCTGTAATCAGAGAAAATAAGACGCGTGATGCGCGATGACCGACCCCTCCCATTGACTCGATCCACCGTGCGCCGCGCCGAGGGCTTCTCTTTTTCATCTCAAGTCCTCGTCATCATTTTATCTCTGCGCCGCGCCGCTCCAGGCCAAGTTACGTGTTTGGTTTCTCTCTTAACTCAACTAATTAAAGGTGCGCAGTCTTTTGTATCATCGAAATACGACAAAATTAAAAATTAATGAACTCTCAGGAAATGAGAGATTTTGTCACCTTTTCTTGTTTGTAATTTTATTCTGAATCCGATTTTTTTGTACCTGCATTTAAAAAAATTGCAAATTTTGCCGCCCCCTAATTTTGCCGCCATGAGCCGCGGTCCATGTGACCACCCCCTTAATCCGGCCCTGAGCCTGTCTACCATTTCTTATTTTTATATAAGAAATTGAATTCTGAAGTCTGTGCGAAGCAAACGACTCACGTACAAACGATAAATCTTTCAAATTTTCAGACCCTGGCTCTTGTTACTGGTGGCTTACTTCCTTGGAGTAGGTGACAGTTTGCTTAACATTCAGATCTACACTTTAGTAGGGTCTCTATATCCTAACGATAGTGCTCCTGCCATCGGTGTCTTCAAGATTTTACGAGTAAGTCCCAGATTCAAATTCTTCTCAAAAAGATCAATTTTAAGGTACCTACCATCTCGGTTATTTTTTCGGAAAAATATTTTGCCCCTGCAAATTATTCATGTGGCTGAGGAAATGATATATTTTAAGAGTTGTGTATTTTCATCCTCTCGTATAGTACATTTGACATTCAAGTCATCGATCAACTCAATTTTATGATTTTTGAAATTTTGGGATCGTGTACATAGAAGGGTACGTAATAGTGAATAGGGAAAAAATGTTTGACTTTTACTAATAGAATAAGGCAATGATCGTTGGATAGAGCTGTTTGCATCACTGCTCGATGTATTTGAAATTTGCCTCTAGAAAACTTCCAAGTACATAAAGAACATAGAAATTTTCGTTCATGTTTATTTTTTTTACAGAAAATTGGACTTAGTTCTATACATACGATTATTAAGTACAATTCTTCGTATTCTATTGAAAAATCCGACTAGCTTTGGGGTAGTATGCAGCTCATTTTTTTTTGGTCGAAGTATAATGTAATATGAAAAAAAGCAATGTGAAATGTAGTCGGATTCCTTTTGATAAAACCATCCAAGAAAAAATGCTGAGAAAGATAACACTAGAATATTGGCCCAAATATTTTAGTAACGGAATGGTAGATTGGTGCTATACGCGCCTAATCCAAAACGGTCATCAAAGCCAAAGATATCAAAAGTCAGAATCAGAGTAAAAGCTGAAAATTCGACCAGACAAACCCTTGAAATAGTTTCATTTCGGTGTAATTACAAAACAATTATTATTAAAATTTCAGAGTGTCTTCACCGCCGCTAGTTTCTACTATAGCCGCTACTTACCCCTGCCAACTCAACTGCTGATTTTGACGATTTTTGGAGCCCTGGGTATGATTACATTCAATGTAATGAACGTAACCTATGAACGGAGAAAAGTAGCGGACAAATGTTGATGATTTGAATTTCTGTCATGCCCATTGTAACTTTTAAGCCAATTTAAAGTTTAAGTCATCTAAGTTATGAACATGCATGGAGCAAATGTTATCATTCAGTTCATCAATTAAATTTTCATTCGCAATCGTATCTTAAATTAATAAAGAAAAAAATCTGCCCTTTCACGAGAACATTTTTATTTATTTATTAATTTTATTTTAATTTATATTTAGACATGTGTACAAGCGAAACCCATAAGTGGGACTACGACACAAGTCAAGAGGAGCCCACCCCCCACCATCAACTAACAATTATTTACAGTAAAATAAGCTAAATAACGTCATAAAAAGCACATACATAGAAGTTGATCCTACAACGCGCTTTTGCGTTTGCCACACCCAAATTCCACATTTGCCAATCTTTTCATGCAAAAAGCATGTTCATTGAAAAATTCTATTTGCCTAACAAAAATTCTTGAAGATCGTAAAATGCCCTAGCTAGCAGAAAATTTCGTAATAGAGAAAAGCTATTTTTCCGTCGAAGAGCTGTTCCTTGATACTCCAGGGCAGAGCATTTACCATCTGGATACTTGAAAATTTGAAAACTTGCTCTGATCTTTTCAGCCAATTGTTTTCTTCTTTTTGATGTCTCTATGTCTTCTGTTATAGTTATGAGAAGATAAGAGCTCAGAGAGAGACACCAGTCCTTTTTATTTTTTCAAATTTAATACGTTTGGAAGATCAGCTTAAATAAAAGTTCTTGAGATCATAAATTGAATAAACGAGGGATAGGGAACACTATCACTATGCGACTTTTATTGAAGAACAGGTAGTACATCGAAAGATTTTTAGCAAATCCCGTCAACAAAACAAACATAATTGCTCTGATAGGAAATCAAATGATATCTAATGGATGTGAAGTTGAGAACACCAAAGGAGATGCTGATATGGACGTTGTTAAAGAAGGAGTCAAATCATACTCTTACATTCCTGTCAATGTCAACGGAGCCACCGATATCAATTTGCAAAAGCTGTAAAAGCTCATTCATTCTAGATGTGAAAATTTCAATTTAATATTATTTTTTTTTCATTTCGGTGTAAAATTAATTGTTTAATTGCGAAATGCACATAACGGCCGACGAGGGGTCATTCACAGAAGATGACCGAAATCATGGGCTCATTTTAACCTCGTGTTACACAGCAACAAAGTGTCGCAACATATTGTGTGAGCACTCATTTATGCGTAAGTTGCATTTTCTTTTAAAAAGGTTCTCAGCTTTTCCTGAGAAAACCCAATATTTTTGGTTAAAAGTGATGATAACTGCCGAATAACACGATGTTTTGTAAAATTGTCGGAATTTAATGCTCTTTTCCGTTCTCTGTAACTAGAGAACGAATTATCGTAGAGTGTTGTGCGACTACTCATTTTAAAGCATATTTATTATACTTTCAAAAGAGTTCTCTGCATTTTTTGCGGAAACCCGATACTTTTCTTCAAAAATGGAAAAATACTTATCTAAAAAAAACCGCAAATTTTTTAGTGCATTTTAGCGTTTTGGGGCCATTTCCCTCCTTCCGGTCATCGGATCGTGTCGAACTTTTAGTATGTTGTTTAGGTACTATAACTAGAGAGATTCCCGCAAAAAAACCTATTCTTGCAATTTATTCCGGGTCAATTTTTTTTATATATATTGAGATCGAGGAAAGCGTTTTTCTAAATTAACCATCGAAGCAGTCAAGATCATTTAGCCATGATGCTTATATTCCCGGTTATATTCTCAGCTTATGTTCTCGGTTAAAGGCGTAGGCCTGCGCTGTAGCACCGTAATTTTTTCACGAATGAGAATTATATTTATCGCCAGACTTCTGCTAAAATCAAATTATCAAGTTATCAAGTTCAAAGTTCGACTGTGTGATACCTACATGTGATCCCCCTTTCAATTCATCGATGAGTTTGCAAAGAGGAATGAACTTATGTATAATCTGTCAAATTCTATGTCTGCCCTCAAAATGTTCCTCTAATAGTTAGTTTTAAAAGAATTACCTGCAATTTTGCTATGGATAGCCGTACAATTAATATATGTGGTGTGGGAATTTGTCAATTACTACTCTTCTCCGGCTATTTTGCTTTGTTGGATCTTCAGGTATTAATTTGCGTTTACTGTTTCATTGATTTTTCACTTATCTCTTATCATCAAAGAGTTTGTAGTGAAAGCTGTCAGTATAAACCCTGAATGCGGCAATGTCCAATAAAAAAAAAAAAAAAACTGGGTTTACGTCATTTTCGGATTGCACTGCACGTACCAGAAGGTACTTCAGACCTTAAGTTTTCCGTAATTTTTAATCGTTTCCAACAGAATCAAAGCCCTTTAAATTAGAATTTTCGTTATCGCCTTTAATAATTTTCTAATGCCTTCGTCACTTCGTATTCTTCACATTATGTTGAATGTCGCGAGATGACTTTTGCAATTAAGTAAAAAATTTAGGTAATTTTATAATAGCCTTTTTAACTAATTAAATGATCTTGCGCATCAATTTCCAATTGCAGAAAACCTTATTAGCGAGTGCGCACGATGACAACCCTAATTTCAACGTTGATGGATACACTCTTTCCGGAGTTATATACACATCTTTCTCGCTCAGTGTACTCCTCACTCCCTCAGTTATTTCATCCATTGGTCCCCGATTGACGATGTTTATTGGAGCTCTATGCTATTTGTAAGTGTATTTCAACCTTCGTCCTAGAATATATCAGAACCGCAATGAAAGTACGTTTTTTGCACACAGGAGATATGATCAATTATTAGACTTTGTAAGATAAAACCACACAAGAATCACGCTGAACACATCCAAAAAGTCCGGGATCCGCGTAATTCTGATCACAAGTTCTCAAATTTCCCGCATCCTGAAGTACTTAATGCTCCGTTGACGGAGACCAGGTTTGTCTAGAGAGGTCAGAAAAAACTGGAATCTGTTTTCAATCTTTCATGCGTATGATTCCAATCGTTCTAAGCATTTAATATCATCTTTTGCCATTTAAAGAGAAAATGAATGCTTTCAGATGAAAGAGGAGACCTTGTAAAAGCGAGATTGATAACAGTTTGTGACAAGGTTATTGAGGTTTGATTTATAACCAGGGAATGTCGTTTTGATGAAATATAAAACCGCGAAACTTTCAAAACTCATGAATTTCTCTACCTTATCTTAGACGAACATTCACATTGCATGCAATGCATACTTTGATAGGCCTCTGTAGCTGCGAATTGGGACTCGAGAGTGACTTCGTGAGTTGCAATTGGACACATTTATGCCAAAAGGAACTATGTGCATAGGGTTTTGCGTGCAACATAGTTCCTTTTAGCATAAATACGTCCAATTGCAACTCGCAGCTCGCTGCAGCAGATAGGCAGGAGTCTATCAACGCATATGCCCATCTAAAATAAGGCAAAGGAATAAGCGAGTCTTAACATTTCTGCGACTTTTCATTCAAGTAAAATAATTTGCGAAATTTTTTATTTTCTATAGTTAGGTTTTCTTACATCCATAATACGTGGGCATATGGCTTGAAAGTCTGTCCATTTATCCGTACATCTTGTGTGCTACAGAACTATTTTAGGGCACAGTTTGAGCTTCAGAATGAGCAAGTTAGTTCGTATAAAACAAAAGCTAAAACGAATTCTTCCGACGATGCAGATCATCCATACTGACTCAGAATGACGATTTTCAGATGAATCAACATATTATTCATTCTCTTTCTTTGTATTTTATTTGAAAATATTTGAACGGTTGATTATAATTTTAATTTCACAGAGCCCCTCCCGTGGCAATGTTCCTAGAGAATAGTTGGTTTCTATACGTAGCCGTTTCACTTAAGGGCATTGGTGGAGCTCTAACGTGGACTGCAAGTTCAAATTATTTGGTACTGAACTCTACCGAACAAACACTTGCACGAAACATGGCATTGTTTTGGTTCTTTTTCGCATGCGGGTGAGTGATACCTTCTACTCTTGTCAAATTAAGAGGAATTGATTGGGTATTCAATTTCGCATGGGAGCACATCATTGATGTGAACATAAGAGTATTTTACCGCATATAATATAAATGTTTCTACTAAATCGATAAACAAGTACATTTCAAAATTTAAGGTGATTTCCTCCGACGTAAATAGTCTAGTTGCAGATCATCGAAATTAATTAACTGAGTATCTAAATAGATCTCGCATATACTTTTAAGTGGACCGCGTCTAGCCGAAAGAACCAAGCCACATCTACTATCGTCAAATTTAATGGAGAAATTTAATTTTTTTCAAGAGTACGTTTATGCAGATTTATGTTTAAAGTTTTAGGGAATTTTCTCCGTGCTATGCAGATAATTCGATGGAATTTGTAAAGAAAATCCGCAAAATCGTTTTCACCAAAAAAATTAAATTACCCAGCTAAGGTGATAATATCGGTTGTGAAGTGGTTCCGTCCTGCTGAACACGGTCCAATTCCCCAAGAAAAACTCAGCAATATGATCCGCTACGAATCAACTAATAGCAGGAGCGTTTAAAATAATCAATTCTACGACACTACCTAGTCGCAAATTTAGACGTAAAAAATTGGAAAATAGCTTAGTCGTATCAAAGAAATGAGTCACAATTACACATGCTAGTCGCTTTTAAAAATACTGTGGTATAGTGAATGCTCATCTAGGTATGAAATACATTTGGGTGACCTTTGAATTTTTTTTATTATGTGTCACAAAAGTTTCATCGCCATTTCTTGTAACAGCAAATTAATAAAGGTATAGCAAAAGGCCTGCGGATTGTGCGAGCTCAAAGATCGTATGTTTAAATTTCTGCAGCAACCGCTCCACGTAGAAAGAGTACTTTTTCTATCCAAGGAAAATTGGTAATATGAAAGTAGTGGCTGTAGCGTATTTGGTAAAATTTTAAATCAGTAAGTAGCTCGACATCTTTATACAGCGCAGGGTTGAAATTGAGATCGCCAAAAGTCCTTGTATTCTTCAACCACGGCGGTCAATGTTACCAAACTTTTCAAACTTTTGGACGATTATTTCTGTACAATCAGCACTTAGTTAGGAAAAAAACAACACTGCACAATTCAGAATGTTTTTGAGAGTGTGTTGTTGTAAAAAAAAGAACATGCTTGACACCAACTTTGTGAAATTGTAAAAACTTGTAACGCGTATGTACACTCGGATTTTCAATTATTTGTCCTGTCACTCGTACATTTTTGTAAAATATTGAATTGTTTGAGTCAATTTTGCAACCTTGGAATCGAGTTACGTTTCTTTGTCCAGCCCAGGAAACGACGAATTCTATTGTGAGGTCACGTTAGAGACCTATTAACATTACAATGGGCCTGTTGCAAACTTTAGCAAGAGCAAAACTAAGAGTTGTTTCTTATAGATAATGCCTTAAAAATCACGATGAGCGCATCGGCAAACTCTGAAATGCACTCATAACTTCACAAACTGCGTAAGAAATTTGCGGTTTTTTGAGCTTCCCGCTTCAAAAACGATACTACGGCACAGGTGAACATTTTGTAAGAGGAGTCGTTCCATCGTCGGCAATAATCATCATAGCCGACGCCAATCCGCCAAAACACGTTTGGTGGGACGAGATAACACCTGAACTGGATTAGACCAGATAACAATCGGTGTATTAACGTTCATACTTTCCACGCCCGAATTGATTGACCTTGAACTCACCTTGAATTACGCGCGGAACTGTGTGCAAGCGTCGGCCATGATGAATATCGCCGACGATGGAGCGACTTCTCTAACAAAATGTTCACCTATGCCGTAGTATCGTTTTCGAAGCGGGAAGCTTAAAAAAACGCAAATTTCTTACGCAGATTGTGAAGTTATGAGTGCATTTCAAACTTTGCCGATGCGCTCATCGTGATTTTTGAGGCATTATCTATAAGAAACAACTCTTATTTTTGCTCTAGCAAAAGTTTGCAACAGGCCCATTCGGCAAGTACTACCTGCGTTTTTAATTTGGTTTGCTCAAACGAGGGTCGGTGAAAAGATTTTTTAGACACACTATGCTATATATATTTTGAAAAAGGGAAAAAGTAGATTCCTACAAGCTCTCATTTAAGATCTAAACAATGTAAATTTTCATAATAATCATTTTCATTCTAATCATTCTTTTTCATTGTCAGATATTTTCCGGGCAACCTGTTCACATACTTCGCATTCAAAAGTGTGACGGTAAAAATTGATGAATCCACAAGGCACCTCGTCTTATTCGTGATGGCCGGATTCATAGCTGTAGGAGCTTTTGCGCACCTGTTTCTCAGAGATGTTCAAGAAAGTAGGAAAAAATCAAATGCTGACACGCCTTTGCAAGCATTGAAAAGGACTTCAAACATAGCATTATCAAGGAATACAGCTGTGCTTCTTTTAGCTTTTGGATACGTAGGTATGGAAAAAACCACTTCTTGATGAAGATCACTGTATTTCTTATGCATATGTAGCAAGCTTACTCTCTTATGTTGGGGTCATCTCTTAAGTATGTAACACTTAAGAATTTTTGCTGTCCTAATCAGCGTTACTTAACGATTTTGAGTAATTTTTCTCAACATTTTCCCTACCATTGCGCCCTTTTGCAAGTAGGTATCACGCACGGAATTTTGGTCAACTTCTTGATACCTTCCCTCCCCTATATGGCACCCGTAAAAAAACCTCTCACTATCCACTACGAATTAGTAGCGATGACCTGACCCAACTTCCCTCCGCCATGTTTATAAATGACGGAGAAAACTTGAAATATCATCTTCATCAAAAACTAATTTGTATCTTTTTAAAGTGGGAGGCTTACGAAAAGCTGGACCTGCCTCCCTTTCCATATTTTCAAATTGTCATTGGTGGATATTGGGTTTGATTTCCATCCTTAAAATTTTCGATATGAAGTAACTTTATATACATTTTTTTTTTTAATGAAAATATTATTTTATTAGAAAAACAGATAAATTTTTAAAACATGACAAGTCATTTCTAAGAGATGGCATCGATATTAATATCATTTAGCCGTAGTGGTGTTGAAAGAAACTGTACAAAAATGAATAAAAGATTGAAGAAAACCAAGAAAGAAGCACGCAATCATTGGCATTTTTACATCGACCTTTTTGAGTCAAATGCGGCCAATTTTGTGCGTTTGGGTGTGCGTGCACCACGCTGCAGCACAGTAAAAGCACAAAATATAAAAGAAAAATATAAGTACTTTGGAAGTTATTAAATTTGACACGGAGTCACCTTAATATTTACAAAACACACAACACATTTTCCTTTACATATTTTTTTCCATCGATTTAAATGAGAATAATCCACGCAGAGTGTACAAACATTCCAAAATCACGAGTTGAAAAATGCTGACTCCGCGAGTTTAAATATTAGAACCGAACACAGAGCGAAGCGGCCTACAAACCTAAGTGGATACTTCACGCATTGCGCAATGCTTGAAGTATCCACTTAGGTTTGTAGGCGTCAATGCACGTTTTGCGTCGACCGCCCTCTCGGCGCGCCGCGCCGCAGCGAGCCACGGCGCCATAAGCAACTATTTCACAATAGAGGTGTTGCACAGTATCATACGAAATTGAAGGCGCTCCAGCATGTTAAAGGATGGCAGGCATCCTTTAAGCGTACGAAGCTTTCCTCGAAAAATAAATCAAGATACTGCGGCACGAAAAGAGAGCTGTAGTCCAAAAACTCAGTAAGTGATAGCATCCGTATTTAATGACGTTTAGCATAATTTTTGAATGTCATTACAGAAAAAAAAGTGACTCAATTTAGGCAGAAACATCCTTGAGTATGCAGGCAAGAAGAATTTATTTTAAATCAAGACGAAAGTAGCTGAATGAAAGTGGGTTTCTATTTGATGCGAGTGACTTTTCTTTTTATGTAAGCATATTTTCTTAAACAAACATTATTTTCTTTATTCATTCATGAGGAAATTCTCTTAGCGGTAAATTCGAGCTTAGATCTGCTTGAATCAAGTCACTTTTTCCTCTTAAGAAGTTCTGAAATCATGCTAAACGTTCTTGAATACTGATACTAGGACTTACATGTATTCATATGTGGACTTATTAACTTTGGATCTCAATTGGTAAGTGGACCAAAACTCTCCTGCCGAAAAAACGCGTGGACGTAAACTGCTAGAAAAACAGGTGCGTGGACAAAAAATCGTTGTCAAATGTCCTATAACCCCGTAATTATCGATTCTTCGCCATAACTTCAAATGGGTACAGGATGATTTCAATGGATGCCTCAATGTCGATAGTCAATTATCACGCATCGCCACTGACAAACAGGACCCCACAGACCACAGTTTAAAAGCTATTGGACTTTTCATTATTTCTGTTTTCAATTTGTCAGGCTTGAATATGTCTTTCATCTCCGGCATCTATGGATCTTCCATTGGTTTCACATTACAGATTGGAGAGGGTGTTAAGAGACTCGTTCCACTGTCTGGAGTTTTTGCCGGCTGCGGAGAAGTCTCAGGTATTTGTTCAAAATTAATCTAAGATTTTTGAACTTTTAACTAATCTACGGTTTTACGTCATGGAGTGAGTAGATTTTTCAAATCAAACTGTATAATGTTTTGAAGTTCAATAGAATACTTAAGATTTTTATTACATCAAAGAGCAACCAGACAAACGTGCGAGTGAGCGAAGGTCATACAATGCACCAGAATTAAGCAAATACAGTTGAATTTGCACTTGCAATCTGGGAAAAAAACGTTTAAATGAAAGTGTTTATTTAAGACTGACTTTGAAAGCTGGATTCGTATTTATTTTTTATCAAACAAATATTACTGTTTTTGATTTTTCCTTCTAATTTTGGTTATTATTTTCACTTAAAGAAGTAAATGGTAAAAAATGAAGGCTTCCAGTTGACCACGTATGTATACGTAATACTGAGGCATTACAAAATTCACATTTTTGGAAAAGTAACCACAATCCACAGAGACATAACATCGCACAGTGGATCCAGTCAATGAGAAAGGTCGGACCAAAATTTGAAAACTTAAGATGCTTTCAACTCCGTTCACACCAAATTTTGAGGTTCTAAAACTGGTTCCATTGGTTTCCTTGTAAAATTTCCTTTGGAAAGCATCCCTTGAACTGTAAAATATCACGAAATAAACATCAAAATTCGCAGTTTTAGTCATAAAATTCATGTCCAACCTCTCCGATTGATTCGGTCCACTGTGCGTCGCTCCTCTAGCGTAACGGCGCACACTAGACCGAGTCAATAGGAGAGGTCGGACAAAATCTGGAAACCTTGGAAGCTAATATTTACAAAAATATGAAACAAAAAAAGTTGGAAAAGCGTTCTAATGGGTTTTTCGTAGAATTTTCTTTCAAAAACACCCCTTCACGCAGAGGTCGGGACGAAATAAACATACAAATTTGAAATTTTAGCAAACAAATTCATATCCGATCTCTTCTATTAGCTCGTCCCACTTTGCGGCGTACTCGATTTCCGGATGAGCCCCAGGTAGCTTGAATTCATATGTAAAACCGGGCTCACGAGGAAATTGAGATACGCCCTTGTGCCAGAGGAGCGAGGATAATTGGATACATTTATCCTAAGAGGTACTATGTGCATAGGGATTGCTTGCAACATAGTTCCTTTTAGCATAAACACGTCCAATTCTCAGTGAAGTGATCTCTATGGAGTTCAACGGAGAGATCAAATTTTAAGATTTCTGCGAAAAACCCTTCTCAGTGTCCTAAAGAATGATATGTAAGTGGATTGGATGATTGTTTTTTTCTTAACAACGTTTTTTGAACCGCAATCTAACTATAAACCCTGTTTCACGTGAAATTTTTTAAAATTTTCGCTCCGAAAGGTTTGTAACGTAATCCTCTACGCTTTGACCGGGGTATGGCATGAAACGTAAGAAAGAAATGAAAGATCGGAAATTTCACGAGGCTGTGAAGTATCTCATATTTTCCAAGGCCTCGAGTATGCAACTCGCACTCAAACACACAAAAATAGAAGAAAGACACAGTTTTTACATTTTGCGAAACATGAAAGGAAACCGGTATTTTTCAATATCTTTCATAAACATGAAACATTTCCCGGGAAATTTCAAGATTTTATTTTTCATGAAATTTTGCAATCCTGGCTCAATTATGAATAACCGAATAACTCTGACATTTCATTAATGAAGGACCCTCTTCTCTTGCTCAACCACATTTAGACTAATTTTTGTATGAATGAAGCATTATATTTCTCAGATAAGTAATTAAAATCGTTTAGGGTTACACTAAAGTCATTAGGATAATGCATGATGTTAAGCATTCATTGTCTAATTAATAATCCATTGTCTCTTTTCCAGGTGGGATATTGGGAAGAATTTTTGGAAAAGTAAATGTATTTCGGATCAATGTATTTTTTGTTGCTGCTGTGATTCTCAACTGTATCTGTTATTTGATGATATTTTTAAGTTTACCTGCTGATGCAAACTTTGGGAACACATACGAAAAAGCTTTCATTGAACCACGGTGAGTATTTTTGAAAGGGTTTTTCTCATTAAAATGGTGCGCATTTTTTTCCCCCCTGTAGACAGCAATAGTTATTTTTATATGAGAAATTTAATTCTGAAGCCTGTGCGAAGCAAACGACTCACGTGTAAACGATAAATCTTTCAAATTTTCAGACCCTGGCTCTTGTTACTGGTGGCTTACTTCCTTGGAGTAGGTGACAGTTTGCTTAACATTCAGATGTTGACTTTAGTAGGGTCTCTATATCCTCACGATAGTGCTCCTGCCTTCGGTGTCTTCAAGATTTCACGAGTAAGTTCCACAGTCAAATTCTTCTCAAAAAGATCAATTTTAAGGTACCTACCATCTTGGTTATTTTTTCGGAAAAATATTTTGCCCCTGCAAATTATTCATGTGGCCGAGGAAATTATATCTTTTAAGAAATGTAGTTATTAGTTGTGTATTTTCATCCTCTCTTATAGTACATTTGACATTCAAGTCATCGATCAACTCAATTATATGATTTTGAAATTTTGGGATCGTGCACATTTGAAGCGTACGTGATAGTAAGCAGTAAAAAAATGTTTGACTTTTACTAATAGAATGAGGCAAAGAGCGTCGGATAGAGCTGTTCGCGTCACTGCTCGAAGTATTTGAAATATGTCTCTAGGAAACTTTCAAATATATGTGGAAAAGAACTTGAACGTTCAAATTTTCATTCGTGTATATTTCTTTTATAGAGAATTGGACTTGATTCTATATATACGACTTTGAGGTACAATTCTTCGTAATCTATTGATAAATCCTACTAGTTTTGGGTCATTATGCTGCTCAGTCTTTTTTGGTTTAAGAAATAAAACATGAAAAAAATAGGCAATTTGAAATGTAATCGGACTCCTTTTGATAAGACCATCCAAGTAAAAATGCAGAGAAAAATAACACTAAAATATTGGTCCAAATAATTTAGTAACAGAATGGTAGGTTAGGGCTGTATCCCCAAAATCCAAAACGGACATCAATTCCAAAATTATCAAAAGTTAGAATCAGAGGAGAAGAGCTGAAAATTCGACAAGACGAACCCTTGAAATATTTTCCTCTCGGTTTAATTACAATCAATTATTATTAAAATTTCAGAGTGTCTTCACCGCCGCTAGTTACTACTATAGCCGCTACTTACCCCTGCCGACTCAACTGCTGATTTTGACGATTTTTGGAGTCCTGGGTATGATTACATTCAATGTAATGAACGTCACACATGAACGGAGAAAATCAGCGGACAAATGTTGATGGTTTGAATTTCTGTCAAGCCCATTGTATCTTTATAGCCAATTAAAAGCTAAGTCGTCTCAGTTATGAACATACATGGAGCAAATGTTATCCTTCAGTTCATCAATTATATTTTAATTTGTAATCGTATCTTCAATTAATAGAGAAAAAAATCTTCCCTTTCACGAGAACATTTTTATTTATTTATTTAATTACTTATTTATTTTATCTTAATTTATATTTATAGACATTTTTACAAGAGAGACCCGTAATTGGGACTTTGACACATGTTAAGAGCCCCCCCTCATCCCCACCTAACAATTATTTACTGTAAAATAAGAAAGAACAAATTATACCAAAAACATACGATAGCTCTGCCGTTTGAATTCATCATTTAAAAGTAGGNTTTAGGGGGAGTTTTTTAGGATGGGCCGGAGTGGCTACCGCCACCTAGAATAAATAATTTCATAAAAATCATGTACATACATAAAAGTCGCTCCGACAACGCGCTTTTGCGTTCTGCCACTCCCAAATTCCACATTTGCCAATCTTTTCATGCAAAAAGCATGTTCATTGCAAAAATTCTATTGGCCTAACAAAAATTCTTGAAGATCATAAAATGCCCTAACTAGCAGAAAATTTCGTAATAGAGAGAAGCTATTTTTCCGTCGAAGAGCTGTTCCTTGATACTCCAGGGCAGAGCATTTACCATCTGGATACTTGAAAACTTGCAAACTTGCTGTGATCTTTTCAGCCAATTTTTTTTCTTCTTTTTGATGTCTTTATGTCTTCTTTTATAGTTATGAGACGATAAGAGATCAGAGATCGAGACACCAGTCCTTTTTATTTTTTTCAAATTTAATACGTTTTGAAGATCAGCTTAAATAAAAGTTCTTGAGATCATAAATTGAATAAACGAGGGATAGGGAACACTATCACTATGGGACTTTTATTGAAGAACCGGTAGTACATCAAAAGATTTTTACCTCTTCGAATAAACTGTTTTCAAACACACCCTGGATACAACTAATCGTGCTCTATGGATGTGCAGGTTGCATTTCGACGTAATTGAAGGCGCTTCGTTGTTTCCGCACTGACCTGTGCAACAGGTTCCTGCTGGCATAGCTATCAAGACTTTAGTGCTACGATTAACATTGAATATTAGATAAAACTCCAAGAGGATAGATAAGCCTTCCGCGTTGGTTTCCTCTTCGGCGTTATCATTTGGTCTGTGTATTTTTCGACGAAAAAGAAGATAAAACATGAGCAGAAAAGAAATATTCTTGACTAGTGTTCTTTTTTATTCCAATTTCTACAAAATATTTTTGCAAAAAAATAGAAGGGGATAAGATAAAAGTGTAGGAGGAGCTGCTCATACAACTTCAAACGGGCAGTTTGAGAGTATTTCAGTTTTTCCAAACATCGTCAAAATTTTAATGACCTTTTCACTGGAAGAAAAAGTAGCTTGGATCTGGAGTCCAGACTCTTGAAAACAATGACAAGAAAAAATACTCTTGATTCAATCGTATATTTGCTTGAATCAAAAGGAAATCGGCTTAAATTAAGAGGCTAAGTTTTCGGTTTACGCAAAAATCCGATTGAATCAAGGGTATTTTTTCTAGTCAATGTTTTTAAGAGTCTGGACTCTAAATCCAAGCTACTTTTTATTCCAGTGTTTTTTTGTCCAAACATTTTTAAGCGCATAGATTTTATATTTTCATCAGAGTGCTCACCCGTTTTCTGAATATTGGTTAATTTCAATGGATTAGAATGTAAGTCTGATAATTTTAATTGATCAATTAATTTGCTACGTCTTTTTGAAGGATTACAAATTAAATTTAATTTTCACATTAACGCCAGCTTCAAGGATCTCGGTTCTAAAAAGTTACAAGATCAATCTAGAGCAGCGGCGTGGCGTGATTTGCCATAGATTGATTGTTATGCCATTTAAGCCTATGGAAAAGGATCGATAAACAGGGTGTTCGCAGCGAACACCTTAACAATCGATTCTTTACCGTAGGTTTAAATGACAGAACAATCGATACATCGCAATTCACGCCACGCCATTGATCTAGAGGATTGATAGAGCTATCAACAAGTGCTTCTCTAATAAATTTTCTAATTTTCATGCAATGGTGCTTCCTGCTTTTTTCTTTAAAATATTCAGGCATTTTAAAGAAATGTTAGGGAAAAGAATGATGATGATTTGTATTTTTGCCTTGATTACCCGTTTATGGTTTTTAGTGTTTTTTATCTTAAAGACAAGTATGACTAATGCCAAACGGCGGGCAGCTTGATTCCGTAGAGGATTAAAGATCCTACTCAGAAATGATAACGCACTTAAGAATTGCACCTCATTGACAGTAAGTCGAGTTCCTAGCTTAAATTCTCATTATTTCCCAGAGAAATATATCAGTCTAAACTGAGTTCATGCGCATACATTACACTCCATGTGTTTCTTTTTTATGACGCATTTCTCTTTATTTCATGACGCAGATGGAGTAATGTTAAAACAAATTAAGCGCCTTGCAAATTCTGTAACCTTCCCCTAAATCAGCGAACTGTTAATTTTGATTTGACACAAGCTATTTTGTTATGAATAGACAAACAGTTAATATATGTGCTATCGGGTTCTGCTCATTCACTCTATTCTCTGGTTACTTTGCTCTGGCAGATATTCAGGTTCTGTATCTACATTTTTAATTATGAAAATACACATTATTCTGTTTCATTTTCTCCCTTGATTATTCCTCGTCATGTTGAATGAAATGCTAAATTTGACCAACTTAAAATAACTCTAGCTGCTTCAGCTCGCTACGCTCGCTTGTGCCGGTAGCTGTATCGGTAGCATGAAGGACGCCGCATGAGCCTTTTGACGTTGCCAATTTTCTTTCGATAAAAACCGAAATTACTGGGAAATTTTTCAATATTTTTTTCCAAAATTCTCAGATAATTTTGTTCACAATTTAATCTAAAATATCAGAAAATTTCAAGGAAAAATAAGCACAACTTTTCCTAAAAACACATGTTTAATCCGGGAAAATTTGGCAACTCTAGAATGCACATACGGCGTTTTTCCTTAGCACAACAGTATACAAGGCCCCTCTTCTTAGTTTATCTTTATTGAATACCTATTTCAGAAAACCTTATTAGTGAGTGCGCACGATGACAACACTAATTTCAACGTTGATGGCTACACTCTTGCAGGAGTTACATACTCTTCTTTTGCAATCAGTTTATTCCTCGTTCCTTCAATTATTTCACTCATTGGCCCGCGATTGACAATGTTCATTGGAGCTGCATGCTATGTGTGAGTATACAAAATGAGCCTACACTCAAAAAAAGGTATGACTCTGAGACCCATAAAAAATGGCTCGGACATCCATAATTTCTAACCAAAGTGACTTACCGTCTGCAGTATGACTTTCTGAGCCATACTTTAATGGTCGTGAACCTGTAAGCATGGCTCCACGAACTATATTCTATGGCTCCATGATCCATAACTCGGCCGGTAAGTCACTCTTCCCATACTTATTTTTTGAGTGTATCTAACAACTCGATACTAATAGGTTAATGGTACAAGATACCAGGACTACGTTTCACGAAATTGCAGAAATATTTGTAGACGAGTTCTAATATTACAAACCATGAAGAAGAGTTTTTTTTTTAATACGTGGCTAAAATTGCGTTCTTTCTCAATTTGGAGCACTAGATGAAATACAACGCTTTTTAAGGGTAAACGTGCCTAAAAATCTTCAGCTTTTCTTGAAGAATATGATTCAAAATCGAGGAACTTGTCCTCCACATTTAGCTATCCATATCCAAGATAAGTGAAACGTAAGTACGCTCTTCCCGACCCTTTCAGACGGAACTCACAATCAGCTTTCGACTCCCGCTGGTAGAGCTATGGCGCAAAGTTTGTATTTCAACAATATCACAGTCTTATAGTCGAAAGCAAATAAGACCGCCTGCTGTTGATAAAACGAATTAATTCAGCGCAAGCAAATAATTTAAGAATGAATATTCATTTGTTTTAATGAGGTAATTGGTTGTCTATTTTTTCAAGTAAGACAGAAAAGTAAGACAGAAAACACCTCTAGTGGCGGGAGTCAAAAGCCAAGTTCTGACTGAAAGAGTCGCAAAGAGCATACCTGCGTTTCACTTACCTTGATCCATATGAACTATGAATGTAATATAATATTATGATATAATAATAATGTAATATAATAATATATATGAATCCAAATAAATAAATAAATCTAATACATGACATGTAGGATTTTTCATCAACCACGGGCAGCATAACGCTTTTCGAAGGACTGCAAATCTAATTGAGTATTTACCAGATTATTCTTTTTTCCTTTTTTTCAAACGTTTAAAGTCATGCGCTGCGTGCAAGCAATATTTTTTTTACTGCTATGTTTGATATCTTAAAAATTTGACGTTCAAAATATGATACCCTTGGTGTCTTGAGGATGTTTTGCAAATTGTTTACATTGGCATTGTCTCAATAATTTTCATCAAGACTCTGACCGTTTGTCTTTTGATTTGCCAGAGCTCCTCCAATAACAATTTTACTAGAGAATAGTTGGTTACTCTACATAGCAGGATCCCTCAATGGAATCGGTGCCGCTCTAATGGTTACTGCAACTTCAACTTACATAGTATTGAACTCAACCGAGGAAACGCTTGCACGAAACTCGGCTTTATGGTGGTTCCTTTATCAGTGCGGGTATGTTAACGATCTTAGAGGAAACTTAGATCAGCAGGTCGGACACTTACGAAAAAATTTCAGATAGCTCGCCAAAATTTGCGACACAAAATTGTGCCGTAGGATCTAAATTGCATGGTGCATCCTGCATGTGTGCATTCGAAAAGTTGCCTATTTATCTTCTTGGGTGCGAGACTAAACTCCTTACCTGTTTTTAAAATCCATGTGTAAATTGGACTAAATTTTGAAATTAGGAACTTTATTAATTTTGGTTGTCTAAAAACAACGTAAGTGCCTTTAGTTTCCCCGGACACATAAGTGTTTTTGAGATAAGCCAGAAATAGTAATTTCTAATCGCAAAATCTGGTCTAATTGATATGAAATTTTGACCCAGAGTAATAGCAGTGTATACGATATCACAAAAGGTATAACAAGTTTTAGCAAAACAATTCATATCCATTTATAAAGATAGACGTGTCCTTGTGGATCCACTTTTTGCTGCACTGACGAATTTGAGCCTTCACATTTATTAGTCTCCTCTCCTCAAAACCCACATAATACATCAATAAAACGACGCAACTGACCAAATGCATGACTTCATCTCATTTTACTCTGTATTGGCCCGTCTATAAAGAAAAACCTTCAACAATCGATGGGGTTGGAGCCCTGACATCGAAATTTGAGAGGAGGCCATCAATTTTTCGTGTTCTTTTTCTTTGTCTCAATGTCAAGCCCTAAAATATACCTTTATTCTTCAGGCAGTTTCCAGGCAATCTATTCACATACCTTACATTCAAAAATGTAACCTTGAAAATAGATGAGACAACCCGTCATCATGTCTTATTTGTGCTGACTGGAATCATGGCTACAGGAGCTTTGATGCATTTATTTCTAAGAGAGGTGCACGGAGAAGGAAAGGAACCACCTGCTACCCCGTGGCAAGCATTGAGGAAGACCTGGGATATAGCTCTATCTCGAAATACAGCTATTCTTTTTGCAGCTTTTGGATATTGTGGTACTGGAGGATGACATTTTTTTATGTTAATGGCCTTTGATTTTATGGCCTCTCTGTACATTAGGTCCACGCTGGCTCAAGTCTAAAACAATTGCTTTTTTTCAGAGGCGGATCCAGCAATTTGGCAACACCGGATTTCCTCCATTTAAACCTACGTAAAATAATCGACTTTTGACGGTGCACTTGGCCCCTCCAAGAATCGATACATTTCTATAGGTTTAAATGGAGTAAATCCGGTGTTGCCAAGTTGCTAGATCCCCTAATGCTTTTTTGACGGATGGATCTTAAATCGGCTTTAACTTCTTTAAATTATTATTGGCTAAAAAGTATCTTAAAATTTTATAATCTTTAAAAAATTTTATCCGCATGTACTTTTTTCCGTTCCAGAGCTTTCCTAAAAAATATTTCATTTATAATTTGTATGACCTCTACAACTGCGTTAACAGGTCGCGAGAATACAGTGCAAGGGTAGCAAGGGTAGAAAGCACCCCGTAACCTCTCATGTCTATCTGTCGAGATCCTTGTTCATTTATCTCGTTGTGCATTTTTATACTAAAGTTATGTGACCATTTTCTCATGATGCTCAGGTTTCTTGGTGCACATCGGAACGAATTTTACAGAGAAATCCTAAAGAAGCAAATCATATTCTGTAATTTAAACATTGGCGGATCCAGCAAATTGGCAACACTGTCATTTCTCTATTTAAACCTATAGAAATGTATCGATTCTTGGAGAGGCCAGGTGCTCCTGCAAAAATCGATTATTTAGCATAGGTTTAAATGGAGAAAATGGTGTTGCCGAATTGCTGGATCCGCCTTTGAATATAAAGTCATAGGAGTAACGTGCAACGCATAACGGCTGAGGCGCGAAGCGCGCGCTGAAATGGGTTTGACCACAAGGCGGTCAGGGGGTGCAAGTCCTCTAGTCTAAAAAAAAAAAACGATAATTTCATCATTCTTGGCTAATTTATACTAGTATGAACTAATCCTTGCACTTTGTTGTGAACAGTCGCTATAGTTTTAGCAATGGTTTATTTAATCATCATTAATGGCTTCTCAGGTCTACACATGTCTTTCATCTCCGATATATGTGGATCTATATTCAATTATAACATTTTTCCAGGTTTACACATGTCTTTCATCGTGGGCATCTATGGATCTAGCATTGGGTTCACATTACAAATTGGAGAAGGTGTTAAAAGACTCGTTCCCTTGTCTGCAATTTTGATTGGATGCGGAGAAGTGTCGGGTACTGGCTTAATTCATCATGAGACTTGTAAAATTTTGGAAAGATAGCTTATAGACAGGCAAAGTTTTTACACACACGTTTAAAGACATGAAGTGTGCAAAACAATTAGGTAATAGATCGAAATTCTTCAAATGTGTAGGTGTGAATTCAAGGGGGCAGACCCTCCGAGATTTTTATCCGCATCGCACACGTATGAAGTGCTCGCCACCCTTTTTTTGTTGTTTTTTTTCCTTTGGTCCCACGACCATAATTTCAATTAATATTATAGTATTTCATCATGTTTCTTCAATATATCAAATTTGATTTTTGAAATCATGCCTCAAATACCTAAATATGATTGTCCTGTTTCAGTTTAGCAGGTTGCTCAAGTGCAATGATTTTTAGACATTTAAACAAATAAATTTGTTTGGCCTCCTATTTTTTTGCTTGGAAGAGCTCGGGAAAAATAGTTAGTTCGTTGAACGACGATCAGCTACTAGGCTGAGGTACTAGGTCAAAGACCGGGAAATCGCCTTCAATTTTGAGATTTAATTATTGTTCGAAGACCCTTAAAGACTACATAACGAATAAGTAGTTCCTGTCATACTTCATTTTTTAAATGAAAAACTACTCAACGTCGATTCTTGAAAACTTCCTTGTTTTTTCTTCTCCGTCCGAAAGAAACTCCATAAAAATCTTAAGAAATTATGTTGATTTTTTCACATTGAAAAAAATAAAATGAGAGTGGAGATTTTTAAACACCGCGCAAACGAGATACAAGGTCTCATAGTTTCACAGTCGACATTCGAATTGAAAGACATTTAAGATTAACAATGAACACGGTCTAAAAATAAAGATTAGAGTACCTGAGAATAAACTTTTGGGTGAATTGTGAATTAATTATATATGTATCTTACCTATGAATATTTCGATGATTATGACACATATTTATTGTTTGACCGTGCTTACTCTATTTCGCTCCTCTTTTTGTAGGTGGAGTTCTGGTACAAATTTTTGGGAACGTGAAGATACGTCGGATTAACGTATTTTTTGTTTTAGCTGTAATCCTTAATTGTTTCTTCTATTTGATGGTTTTTTTGAGCTTACCCAGTAACGCGAATTTTGGAAATACGAATCAAAAATCTATTATTGAACCGAGGTAGGCCCTTTTGCATTTTGTATCATGTGGCGTGAGAGTTGCATCTTTTGTGAGTGAGTTGAAACAGCAATTATAGAAAATTTGTCACGTCAAGAAGTCATTCCTGGCCAAGCAATCTTAATTAAGGATTGATAATTAATATCTGGATCTTAACTTTAACACGTCCGATATTGACAAAGATATTGTTAAAAGGAAAAAACAAAAACAACAAAGGATTGTCGGAAGGCAAGACACATTTGAGTGTCGATAAATGTCGTATAGAGAGCGTTCATTAATTACAATATACAACGTTCATTAAATCTAAGAGTAGGGAGATTCAGTACCAGCGTTAATTGACACTCTTTATTGGTAAGAAAACACGCAAAATCCAAAATGTATCTTCCTCATTTCTTTGACGATACATATAACTATATCGTTAAAAATACTTCAAATTGTATCCAGCCATTTATTCAAACTCTGTGCCGTACTACCCTTTTTAAAGCGGCAAGCTCAAAAAGAATGCTCATTTCTAATGCAGATTGTGAAAATAGGGATACATTTCAGACTTTGTTGATGAGCTAATTGTAATTTTTGAAACATTTTCTACGGAGAAAACAACCCTTACTCTTGCTCTAGCAAAATTTTGCAACGGTTATAAGACATTGCGTCAACGATTTTATGTCCGCGCACCTGTTTTTTCCAGTAATTTACGTTCACGCGTTTTTTTACGTTCACGCGTTGAGACCCAAAGTTAATTGGCCCACATGTAAATACAAACGACAATTGCTCACGACGTTTTTGGATGAAAATGTATAATGTCTTGGAAGAATGAGAGTTTGCTTGTTTTTTTGTTTTGTCTGTTTGGTCCAACGGAGAATAATATATGGTTGAGAGTTTTGGTAAAAATGGGGGAGCGTAAATTCCATGATACAAAATTCACTAAAACTCTCTACACCTCTTTGGTGTTACAGGACTTACTTATCTTTCAAGAAATTCCCACCTTGTTATACCTGAACCGAATAAACCTCTATATTTGCCTCAGCTAAAGGCTCTTAGATTTTTCCTGTGTACAATAAGTATTTTGATTTATTTTGCGAGGAAAGATCTGTACTTTTAAAGGATGCCTATCATTCTTAATACGTTCAATTTCATATAATACTGTGCAACACCTCTGTTGTGAAGTGGTTGCTTCAGGCGCCGCCGCACGGCGGGCGGGCGGCGAGAGCGAAACGCGCTTTGGCGCCTACAAACCTAAGTGGATACTTCAAGCATTGTGCAATGCGTGAAGTATCCACTTAGGTTTGTAGGCGCCAGTGAGTCTCTCGCGCTGGCAGCACGCCGCTCCACTCTGTTAGGCTCTAATATTTATATACTCGCATAGTCAGCGTTTTTTAACTCATGATTTTGACATGTTTGCACACTCTGCATTGATTATTATCATTTAAATTGATGGGAAAAAAATATGTATTAATTTATCAAAGGAGAATAATAATATAATGTGTGTTTTTTAAATATTGGTGGTTCCGTGTCAAAAATGATTTCCAAAGCACTTTAATTTTTTGTTTTACATTTTGTGCTTATATTGTGCTGCAGCGATTGAAAACAATCATTTGAACTTCCAGTCATTTCAAGAACAAAATATTTCAAATATAAATCGAATTTGCATCATACCTATTTAAGGAGGAGTGAGGCATTTCTATGTGATCAGTTCATTGGACTCCAGCAAGCACAGGGAAAACATAGGTAAAGAGAACTTGTTGCGGCATGATTATCATTGGATGGTGGCCTTATATTTGATAGATATTTATATGTTTCAGGATATGGCTCTTACTACTCGCGAGTTATTCGTTTGGATTGGGTGACAGTTTTCTTAACATTCAGTTTTATTCTTTAATTGGATCTCTTCATCCTACGGATAGTGCATCTGGATTCAGTATCTTCAAAATCGTGAGGGTGAGTTTTTCCACTTAAACTATTTTCCAGGCCATGTACGTAGGGTATTTCATTCGGCAATTTGCAAAGAATAAAGAAAAAAAGAAAGAAAACTATAATAACTATAACAATTATTATGGAAAAATATTCCAATCGCGACATTGTTCAGGTTGTTATTGTTGCCTTATTTTGACTGAAAATACTTGCAACTATTCGTAAAATCATAGAGTTAACGGCGGGGTTCTGGTGTAATACGCGTATACAGGATGTCAAAAAATTTCATAGAAATGAAATGCTTGATCATTCAAAAAAGATAAATTAAGAAAAAAAAATTGATTGAAAACAAACATGTAATGACCTTTTTTTAGTGCTGATATTGAGCTAAACTTTTATTGAAATTTTTTCAAAGAATAAAATGAAATGAAAAAACCTCCCAAATAACTTCTACTTTGACGTATTCGGAGGCTGAGATCTCTAGATAAGTTTATTTTCTTCTTCGTTTTTACTCTCTTCCTTCAATCGAATCAGTCGTTTTTTTCATTGGAACTAAAATTTGCTCCTATAATTTTCAAGATTATGTAAAAATTCTCCAACGATTAAGTCAGAATTGATCTTCGATGAAACGGAATATCGGCGATCTAGTGGCTTAGCGTGCATTGCGATACATCGATCGATGTCATTTAAACCTATGAAGAAGGATCGATGAACAGGGTGTTCGCAACGAACACCTTAATAATCGATTCTTTACTATAGCTCCGGATAGGGAAATATCGATAATCGATCATTCACCCTTCGCCACTGCAGCGATCTTTATGATAGTTCAAAGGAGTAAGGTCTTGCTTCATACCACACCATTCTAAATGACAAATACCCAGAAAAAGCGGCGCAATAACCGAACTTTAAACTTTTTCAATTGAATTATTATTTTCTTTATTTCAGACTGCTTTCACAGCTGCTAGTTTCTACTACGGCCGCTACCTACCTTTGCCAACTCTACTCCTCGTTTTAGCGATTTTCGGTGCTCTTGGAATGATAGCTTTTAACGTAGTGAGCGTCATCCATGAACGGAAAAAACCAGCAGACAAACATTAAAAGCTTCGATTGAATGATTTTCATTTAGAGTCACGTATTTTCAGAAAATTCATCATTTAATACAATCTGAATTAATCTAAATGGACAGGAAGCAGTTTCCTACAGGTTCAATCAATACAGTAGCAGGTATATAGGCAGGTAGGCGGCAAGTTCAGGCAGTATCAATTTGATTCTTTCGTATTATGCTCTGCGTATTGATCAGTGGCGTGGCGTGAATTGCGATATATCGATTGTTCTGTCATTTAAACCTATGTTAAAGAATCGATTATTGAGGTGTTCGCTGCGAACACCCTGTTTATCGATCCTTTTCCATAGGTTTAAATGGCATAACAATCGATATATCGCAAAACACGCCACGCCACTGGTATTGATCTGATAAAATTGAATTAAATTATTAAATTAGCAAGACAGTAGGACAAATGTATGCCGTCAGCAGTTATTCAAAGGATGTGCAAAAGCATGGGGATTTTTTTTGTCATTTGTCTGGCATTCAGCCGTTGGTTGAGCTAATTCGGAGACAAAAAACCTCACGTATACATTTGTACATATTCTACAGCACACCTTAGCTACTGAAATTCAGAATTAAAAGTTCTCTCTCCTCCTCGGAATTCTTTCCGTCTAAACTTTGGCACATGCAAAAATTTTTCTAGGAATGTTCAAGAACTATCGCTAAGTCATACTCCCGTCAAAGCTTTTCCAACATATGCCGTCAAAACTGTCTATTATGTATAAGTTGTGATTTTTGCTTGTATTCAAAAAGGAGGCGCACTTTTCGGCACTGCACATAATCATAACATAACGGTGGCAAGTCATTTTTCCTAAAACTTTTTTCCTACTGCAATTTTTCCTGATACTTTTTTCCTACTCGCTTTTTGTCCCATTACAGTTAGTCCTACGAGTGAGATGTGCTGCTGGATTTTTTCCTAGGGGCATTTGTCCTAAATTCAATTTTAAAACTAGGGGATCGAGAAAGTAAAAAAACAACATAGGTACCTCACAATTTAAAGTTGTGGCCGCATGCCCGTAAGTACTAGAGCTTCATCCTCCTCCTTATATTGAGGGTATAGAAGGCTCAGCGTGTGATGTCTCCTGTTTACGCGCTTTTATTCGGCTCGCTGAGAAAACTTTACTCTCTCTAAAAAATTTCCCTCTACTCTACTCATGTTTACGTTTCAATTATTATTGGATTATTAGGACAAACACCCGTAGGAAAAAAGCCAGTGGGACATCTCACTCGTAGGACTTACTGTAATGGGACAAAAAAGAAGTAGGAAAAAAGTATTAGGAAAACCTGATGTAGGAAAAAAAATTTTAGGAAAAATGACCTAGCACCTAACACAACATAATCAATAACACTAACATAATCAATTTCAGGATGAAATTGGCAATTCGGCCACGCCTACTTCAAGGGGCTAAGCCTCTACATCGAGTCAAGGATTCGATCTCATCCGAAATCCGAGCCAAATACCGCCCTTGAGAGAGGAAAAAGTAGCTCGAGAAATGTACTTTGATCCTTGATTTGAAGAGTTCAAAATGATTCTAAAATGACACTGGATCGATCTAAAGACCTGATAGAACTGAGTGCTTCTCGTATGTACACTCGAATTCTCATACACTAACGCTACCTACTTTTTCCCCTAAAAATAATCGGACATGGTAACGTGATTCAGCAGAGGATTGCACATCCAATTTAAAGATGATATATAACACACTTAAAAATTGAATGAAATTGGCATTCAGTCGAGTTAGTAGCTTAAATTTATATCACTGTACTAATTCCCTGATAAATCTTTCAGTCTAAACTGAGCTCATCCGAACATATTACACTCCATGTGTTTCTCTTTCGAGTGATCATAAAAGAGGCAGACAGAATAATGTAAAATATTAAGTGTCTTGAAAATTCTGCTACCTTCCTCTAAATTTTCATCGAATCGTTACTTTGAAGCGTTGAACTTTACTTTTGATTCAATACAGGCTATTTCGTCATGATAAGTCAAACAGTCAATATATGTGCTATCGGAATCTGTGCGTTCACTCTCAACTCTGGTTACTTTGCTCTAACAGATATTCAGGTTCTGTATCTACATCTATACCTGTAAAAATACACATTCATATCCATGTTTAATTTTTTCCCTGAAATTATTCTTGTCATCTCAAATGGTATGCTGAATTTACAGTAAACTTAAAATAACATTATATCATTGCATGTGTTTAATTTTCCGTTCTAGCTGTTTCATCTTTTCCCCGAATGTTTCATTCCTGTTACTGTTGAATATGAGACTCCTGAATATATGTGGAAAATGTATTACTGTTCAAATCAGTTTTCATATCGTGATCATATGTTAGTCATTCTGTACAGACATCAGTGCATTATTTCAATAAATGGATAACGATCAGGTGCAGATCAGGTGCAAAACCACCCATTCTTTACTGAATTTGAACACCTTTGCGTACACATCCCAATGGGCATACTTCATTAATTCCAGAGTTCAACTGAACGTATTCCTGATGAACGGAACAATAGACGAGTGAGAAAAATTGGGTGTGCTCCAAAAAGCTGCATATCAAAATATTTGAAAATGACCACGATTTCCTTTGGGGAAATGGACAAGCGGGGTTCTACATTCGTTGAAACGGAACTGGGCGCCAACTGCATGCGACTCTCATGAGCCGTGGGCATGTGACAAGAGCGTTATGGACAGGGCTCACGAGTTAAATTCACCACGGGCGACTGCGGCTGCGACGGTTGCTGACGTCACTGGTGCCTTATAATTCCCATCCGTTCTTACAGCCGCCGCGCCGTCTGACGAACACACCGCCCTTCTTTCACAACTGTCCGTGTGTTCCGTAATGCGTGGTGTGTTTTGCGATGTATCGATTGATCTGCCACTTAATCCTATGGAAAAGTACCGATCAACAGGGTATTCGCAACAAACACCTTAATAATCGATTATTTACCGTAGCTTCAAATAGGGAAGTATCGACTTATCGCAAAGCACGCTGCACCTCTACTGCTATCATCTCGAGAGTAACATCACAGCCCGGATCCAGCACGCCTGCTTGCCGGTGCGGTGATAACCCGCCAGTGTTCGTAACTCACAGGCGCCAACGCGCCAAATGCGCCTAAAAAATGAAGGCTCTGCGCCAACGTCGTGGCCCCTAAAAATTTCCCCCTAGAAATCTGAGTTTACATATCAGGTGATTATTCGTTTTCAGCACTACAATAAGTGAAAGCTTTTTCTATTCTTCACAATTTCATCCTTTGTGCTTTTGTCTTCCCCAAGTTACAGCTACTTACTAGTTCTGTTACGAAAACATCTTGCATCTAACTTTTCACTAAATGTGCCGTAATATATAGGCAAAAAGTCAATTTGGCCCCTAAAAATTATTTAATGGCGCCTAAAAATCGCGGGCTTGGTGCGCCACTTGGCTCCTAAAATTCAAAGGTGAGTTTCGAACACTGTAACCCGCGCTGATTCGGATAAGAACCGGGTGGAAATCCAACGAGGGGGGGGGTGGTTTCAAATTCTCACCGTTGGGTCCACGTTGATTTTCTGACGAATACTCAAATAACTGCTGAATGAACCAAATGGCATAGCTCTTATGGAACACCATACTTACGGTTCATCGGACCATTTTTTTTCTCTCTAAGTATGTGCCTTCTATTCTCCGTAATATGCGGTCAATCATCAACGTATTCTTATAAACTTCCTTAAATTTATAGAACCAATGCCGAATTTGAAACAATTTTATACGCTGAATTTGTTTCCATTCAATAATTTTAACCAAGACCTTCATAAGTGGATGCAAAAATAACTCGTTACATCAATGTTAAAGTTTAATTTTTACATGGAAATCCATGCATTATTTCAACATTGACAGTGCTTCCATTCTAACTGCAAACATAATGTAACAGGCCACCTATCGTCAAATCTGGTTGCAATAACTGAAAAAAACTAAAAAAAACTTCACCTCTTATTTTTGAAACTTGTATTTTTCGCAGCTTGCGTTATTTGCCTGTCAAAGTTCCCAGATGTCAATCGCTTTGTTTTACACTATACGGTATTTTATTCAGCCTTATAATTGGACGTATTTCTGCCAAACGGAACTATGTGCTTTAAAGTATGAGCCCTGAGACCCATACGGATATATGCATAACAGGGCTCACGTCATAATGCACATAGTTCCGTTTGGCAGAAATACGTCCAATTGTAATATATATTTTGAAATTGTATTGTGCATACATGCGCCATTATATCCCAAAGTATTTGTGTGTGAGTGCGAGCAATGCAATACAAGTATACTAGGGTGTACTTACTAAGTATACTCACCTTCTAATTTTATCCTCATTGAACACCTATTTTAGAAACCTTTACTACTAAGCGCGCATGATGACAACCCTGATTTTAACGTCGATGGATACACTCTCGCAGGTGTGTTATACTCTTCTCTTGCAATCAGTTTAATCCTCGTCCCTTCAGTTATTTCACTCATCGGCCTCCGATTGGCATTATTTATTGGAACTGCATGCTACATGTAAGTATAGGTGAACCTCCATTAACAACACAATACACGGTATAATGAAACTATGTGCTAGAACTAAATTACACAAAATTTAAAAAGAAGAAAGATAATTCCAATACAAGGGTATTTACTTTTGTATTGGAGACTCAGGTACGCTATTCTTTTAAGCCTTCGGTTGAAATGACGTTGCAAATGAAAAAATGTTCAGCAAGTTCATGGTAAATTTTTCAAATACTTCGAGTTCCTACTTTTTTTTGCTATGTCGATGGCAATGTGCGTACCTTAAATTGCGATGTTGTAAGTCTCCGCTCACGTTTTATTTTTTCAGAGGAAAACTAACCATCAGTTCGTTTTGGAATTTTCTCTGAATTTTCTTCATTCATTCTAAAAAAGAAAATCGCACAAAATCGCGAGGAAGCGTTTTGATTAGTTTTAGTCGAAGAAAATAAACCATGAATTGAGAAGAAGTTCTCCGCATTTAGCCATATTTTACTGACACAGGGTTATTCAAAAGTCACGCACCACTCACCATAACTTTAGTTCTAATTATGTTATCGATTTGCGGTTTATGACGTTTTTCCCCATATTGAGGGGGAAACTTTTTTAGGAACATTCCAGTTGTTGATCCCCTCGGGAGGAGGAGGGCGGAGGGCTACTAAAAAATTTGAAATGGCCATCCCCCTCATGGCCAGTGGTGCGTGACTTTTGAATAACCCTGAACATCACACGTAGGTTTTTTGATTAACTAGGGGTAAAATAGCGCTTTTTAACTACTGCAAACATGTTTCAGCACTACCCTAGATATGACTCTTATTTCTTGTTCAAAAATTTAAGCACGTCATGTACCTACATACAGGCAAATTGTTTTATTGCTCTATGTGATAACTGAAAGTTCCATTTTTAAATTTTAATACCGTAGTGTCTTGAGGGTGTTTTACAAAATACTTGCATTCACATTGTCTCAATAATTTTCACCAAGTCTCCGGCTGTGTGTCTTTTGATTCGCCAGAGCTCCTCCAGTAACAATTTTATTAGAGAACAGTTGGTTACTCTACATAGCCGGATCGCTAAATGGAATCGGCACCGCTCTAGTGGCTACTGCAACTTCAACTTACTTAGTATTGAACTCAACTGAGGAAACGCTTGCACGAAATACGGCTTTATGGTGGTTCTTTTTTCAAGGCGGGTACGTCATGACATTTTCATTATTCGATTTTAGAGGAAATTATTCATATTTTCTTAATAAAAAAGGAATCTTATTATCTGATTCTCTATTAGCACATACATCTCTTTAAAACAACGTTTTTGAAATGTGGCAGAAACACGCTTTTCGGTTTTTAAGATGTTTAAATTGACACAAATAGGACACTGTGGGAAGTTCTAAAACCTTGGTTGATTCTGCTTGATAACCACTTTAAAGCTTTCGGTGACACATATTTTAAAAAAACGAATCCTAAGATTTATATCAGTCTCTCCTTGCCTCCAATAAACCGCACATAAAAATTTGATTAAAAGATGCAACTGACCAATCGCATGACCTCATTTTGTTTTATTCTTATCTTTGGCTGTCCCTAAACAGAAATTTTCAACAATCGAACTGCTGGAGACCTGATATTAACTTTGAAAGGCTGCTTTTAAGTTTTCGTTTTTCTTTTTTTTTAAATTCTTCGTATGAATGTAAAGCTCTAAACACAATATACCTTTATTCCTTAGGCTATTTCCGGGCAATCTATTCACATACCTTACATTCAAAAATTTAACCTTGAAAATAGATGAGGCTACGCGTCATCTTGTTTTATTCGTGCTGACTGGAATAATGGTTACGGGAGCTTTGATGGTTTTGTTGCTGAGAGAGGTTCAACGAAAAGAAAAGGAACCAGCTGATCCCGCGTGGCAAGCATTGAGGAGGACTTGGGATATAGCTCTTTCAAAAAATACGGCTATTCTTCTTGCGGCTTATGGATATACTGGTAGCGTAGGATGGAATGTTTTATGAAAGTTTTCGGTCTCTGTTATACCTTAGATGCACACTGACCTAAGTCTACACCAACCGTTTTTTTTTGAAGTGCCGAATGGACCTTAAATCGTCATTAACGCCTTCGAATTAGCATTAAGTGAATAGTCTCTTAAAATTTTGTAGTCTTTGAAAAGCTTGATTCCAAATTTACTTTGTTCCCTTAAGGGCTCTCCTGGAAAATAATGCATATTTAAACTTACGCATGGACTCTTCGACTGATAAAAGGATGAGTGAAAGAAATGAAGGAGCAAAAGTTACCCGGAAACCCCTTGTCTATAGGGTGTTTTTTCATCAAGTTGAGCGTTTTAATTCTCGAGTTTTATTACTATCTTCTCGCAGTGGTCAAGTTCCTCAGTTCGCGTGGAAATTAGTTTCGGAATGAAACCCTGAGGAAACATAACCTAAAAGGAACGAAAATTTGAGCATTTTTATTAATATCAACCTCGTCAAAAACACAGGGTCCGTCTCAAGTCTAAAATTTTTAAAACCCTCCAGTGTTCGTTATTTTGTCTTTAGATATACGATAAGAGGGGCGTTCGATACGTAAGTATCCCTCTCCCCCTCTAAAACCTATAAAAATGGACCAATATTAAAGAGCTTGGGTTGTTTTACATGCATTTAAATGGAGGGGAAAATAGTGTTGCCAAATTTCATGCCACTGGCAGAGAGTACATAAAAATATTGAAACATCGAACGCATTCAGCTCCTGATGGGATGCCTTTTAGTGGAGTAATTATTTGAAGAATACTGAAGGGATAAGACAATGTAAGTTAATACTTGCATTTTTTCTAAAAATTTTCTATACTCTTAGCAATGGTATATATAATTATGACATTTTTCCAGGTTTACATATGTCTTTCATTACCGGTATCTATGGATCTAGCATTGGGTTCACATTACAAATTGGAGAGGGTGTTAAGAGACTCGTTCCCTTGTCTGCAGTTTTGACTGGATGCGGAGAAGTGTCGGGTACTGATTTAATTCATCATGAGGATTTTAAAATGTTGTACATTTTGCAGTTTATAGACATTAAGTTGCAAAACAATTGTGATGTATAATTTCTTAAAAATGTGCGGATTTGAAATCCTTGAACACAAATATTTTTAGTGTCTAGGTATATTAGCCCCATGTTAGATGATCATGAGTGACAAAATACGGTCACAAATTCTGGAGCTGCACTGAAAAAAATTCTTGGCGTTTTTACCAAGGTCCGTTGGTACCTTTACCATCTCACTTTTTTTTACCAATGATCGGTAACTTTACGCAGACAGACTGGTAAGCTTACCTAGAAACCGGTATTTTTACTGTTTTTTCAGGTAAGAATACCACTTTATCGGTAATCAATTCCCGGTAACTTTGCCATTTTATCTCGGTAATTCTACCACAGTCGATAAAAAATTTTGGCGCGTTTACCGGGGTCCAGTAAAATACCGAGAAAGTCAATAATTTCACCGAGATTTCTCGGTAAAATTACCAATTCCATAATTGGGAATTTTACCAAGAAAAAACTGGGACCGAATATAACCCTGAATTCTTAGTAATTTTACCCTTTTCTTAGTAAATACACCGAGATTTTTTTTTTCAGTGATGCCAATAGCGAGCATTCTATGATGAAGGAGGGAGAATCCCCGAGATCAGTGGCGTGGCGTGCTTTGCGATATATCGATTGATCGGCCATTTAAACCTATGGTAAAGGATCGATAAACAGGGTTTTCGCAGCGAACACCTTAATAATCGATTTTTACCATGGGTTTAAATGGTATAACAATCGTTATATCGCAATTCACGCCACGCCACTGCCCGAGATCCCTCATCTTAACGCCAATGTGAGTTGCTCACCACTCATATCTTCGTCGTTTCCTGTACTCGTTTCGGCTTTAATGGCCGTTCCTTTAATAAATAATATCAACCTCAGAATATGTCTTATTATCATAAATTTTATTTTTGAAATAACGCTTCAGATAAAATATGATTGTACTCCTTGAGTCGAGGCACTCGCTCGAATACAACGATTTTCAGCCATGAAGGTGATTCGATGGACGCCATATTTTGTGTCAGAATGGCATGCGATATATCGCATCAATTGGTTCCATTTTTTCAACTGTTTGTCATTTTTCACAAAATTCTGTTATCAGGAGACTTAACCACTCACTTACCGATTTTAACGAAGAAATTCAACGTAATAAAGGCGTGGTTTTTTTAGAGAGAAAACATCGCATTCGATACTGATATCGAAACTGCACTCGAATGCGAAATTTTCTCTCTAAAAAAAACCACGCCTTTATTACGTTGAATTTCTTTGTTAAAATTGGTTAGTGAGTGCTTTAGTCTCCTGACAACAGAATTGCGATCTCAAAATTGGAGAAAAATGACGAGTAGCTGAAAAAATGGAACCAATTGATGCGATATATCGCATGCCGTTCTGACACAAAATATGGCGTCCATCGAATCACCTTAAACAAAGAATATTCAAGCGGCCACCTGTGTTGCTTTGAATGTAGGAAATAATCGGGGAAAATATCGGGCAAAATAATGATGGAAGTAGAGGGTATACATTTATTGAATTCACCGACGCGTTTCCTACGTACTTCTTAAAACAATTGTTCAGCTGAATTTAAAAATTATGAGTAAAGATTAGGAATGATGGTCTAACATTACAGATTAAAATACCTGTAAATAAACTTTAGGATGACTGGCAAATTGACTGTATCTTACCTACGAATATTTTTCTTCAACAGAATTCACAACTAATCTAGGGTATGGTATTGAATCCACCCAGGATATTATTTTGACACATATTCCTAATCTGGCGGTTTACGCTCTTCCCTTCTCTTTTCAGGTGGAGTTCTTGTGAGAATTTTTGGGAACGTGAAGATATTTCGGATTAACGTATTTATTGTTCTGGCTGTGATCCTCAATTGTATTTTCTATTTGATAGTTTTTTTGAGCTTACCTGCTGATGCAAATTTTGGAAATACGAATCAAAAATCTATTATTGAACCGAGGTAGGCATTTACTACTAAATTTTCTACTATTTATCATGTGGTGGTAGAGTTGTCAACTTTCTTTTGTGTTTTGGAATCACAAAATCACAACTTTAGAATTTTTGTCAAGTCAAAGAAACGTTTTTCGTTGGTTAATTCTCATTGAGGATTAAAAGTAGACATCAGGATTCCTCTAAATTTAAATATTTTATGTAAAATACTGATATAATCACTTTCGAAAACATTTTTGGCATACATGCGTGTAGAAGAGTCCGTATTCAGAATAAATTGTGGAGTTTCCAGACAAACCCTAACGCGCGTAAAGAAAATTTCGGTTTGCCATAATTTGTCAATAATTATCGGAAGTTTTCTTGACTATTTACAGTTTGTCCTAACGTTTTAGGGTAATTTGACAATAATAATAATAGTTAAAATACGCGACGACCTTATAAATAAAATTGCACCAACTTCAATATTTCAGTAGGTAATTCATCCTAATGGTATCAAAATAATTTTGATTTTGTATTGAGTTATAATGATTAACGAACTCTTTCAAATCAGGCGTTCGCTCTTTCTGCTGGAGGTCCCAGTAATCATCGCAGCACCGCCAAATTGTGTCAGTTACGTGACCAACAAAGTGTAACTGACACTTGAAATTGTGGAATAAAAGATGACAGAAAAGAAAAAACGTGGCAAGTCTTGTGCTATGAGGTAGAATTGGTGCAACCTTAAAAGTTGTCCAAACTACCTCTTTTCAATCTAATTATCTTATATTGAGGATTTAAGGGGTCGGAGCATACACGTGTCAAAATCACTAGTTTTTTTTAAAAATGAGGTTCCTCTAATGAATCCAACTTATCACCAGTTACAGTTTGTAAATAAATATAAACTTCAGTCAACAATTTGATGACATTATAGAAACTCCTGGATACATCTGGCGAGTTATAAACATTGCACTAATTGTTAACAGCCGAAATGTGATGCCAGTTGTGGTGACAAAACACTGATGGCTATTCTCGCATATAAATTAAAAATTAAATTTAATATTGTGATTCTCGTGAGCATAAGAAACCCTTTTAAGAAAATATTTTCAGAGAATCCATGATCATTACTATTATGTTGCCAAAAATTCCTCTCCTCATATGGCGAGGAAAGGAGAATACCTAACGCTACATGATTCTCATTTGAAGAGGGGCCTCATACTCATGATAGGTCTTTCAATGTTTCAGGATATGGCTCTTACTACTTGCGAGTTATTTTTTTGGATTGGGTGACAGTTTCCAAAACATTCAGTCTTACGCTTTAGTAGGATCTCTTCATCCTACCGATAGTGCTTCCGCATTCAGTGTCTTTAAAATCGTGAGAGTAAGTTTTTTCCACTTACGTCCTTTTTCAGACCAAGGAATTAGGTTGTTTCATTTGAAAAATTGCCGCGAGACACGATTTACAGCAAACTATTCTGAGCGACAGTTATTTGCTCTTTTTTTACTGGAAATATTTGCATTTATTCGATAAATTTTAGGGTTAATTGCAGGGATCTAGTGTAAAACGCGTATTCAAAATGGGTAATAACGTTTTTCAAGAAAAAATTCAACCTTCCGCTTATGGAAGAAAGAGTAATTTTCTTGGGTTAAATTGCCTGCCTAACGCCACTATGACAGTCTTAGTAATATGAAAATATGGCAACCTCAATCTTGACGCACAGCTCAAGCTGTACACTTTTAACAACACAGTGTGGGAAAGAAAAAATGCTCGATTGAGTAGTCTGCAAAAACCGTTGTAGTGCGCAATTTGACTCACGTATGGTTTTGTTTTTCTCATGACAGGGCAATTCAAAGTTCCCGTAACCAATGGATATCAAAAACGTTAATATCTTAACTAGAAGTTGATTTCAGAAGTTTTCGTTGCGTGAGTCGTGTTCTGCATGAAATTCTGTTGAAGAGTCGTGTATCAGAGTGCGCAAATTCTCAACTTGTTTAATGGTCCATTCGATCTGAAAAAGCGAACATAGAAAACTTTTCTAACTTTTCTCAGAAAAAATGTTTTATCGGGAAAAACGATGCAACGTTGGACTGCTCATACGGCGTCGAAACATAACATGGGCCTTTTAAGCCCCATTGTTTGATGCCGCGATTATCATACGGCGAGTCAAATAAGCGCGCCAAACACGGTGCGGTCGGCGTCAAACTCATATCAGCGCCTGCGAGACTGCAGGAATACTTCATGCATTGCGCCAAACAGTGCCGTCCGCGTCAACCGTATGTTAGCGCCTACAAGACTGCATGAATACTTCTCGCATTGCACCGAACGTAATGCGAGAGTTATCTGCGGTAACTATTACGATCGATTACGGGTATAGACACATTGCTGCTAGATGGATTGGAGGCGCAGCACACTATGACTCGACACTCGACCGCGCCCCTTCCCTGGCTTGCGCTACGCTAAAATCGCTACAAAACTAGGTCCACGCGTCATTTCTTTTGACGGTCCCTGCCCGGTTTCTACCCCCAATTAAAGGGTAAAATGCATCTTAATTGCAACGATTCAGAAACTCGGACGATGTTCAAACGATGCAGCGATTCTGAAACTTGAATTGCATAAAATGAATTTTGGTTTAATAAAAGGAAAATAGATCGAACGAACATATCGCGTTGAAAATTTTTGTGATTATATTTTAAATCACTCCGGATGTGTCTCGGAATCTTAAAAAAAAAAAAAAAAAAAAACTGCTTGTAGCTCTTTAAAAACGGTGTTCAAAAATAAGACATGAAAAGTGGTGCATGACGTTGCAATCAAAGGTAAATACGCATTCTTTCACGTGCACCCGTCGGCTTTTGAATCTATTCATCTATGAAATAAATATAAAATGGTTGTTCTACGATTTTTTACGTGTAGTTTTTTTCAGCGGTTGGCGGCCGCGAAGCGCAGCGGCCCCAGACCCCTAGTTAATATATAATAGACTACTAGACAAGGTACGAATTTAAGCATTATGATACATGTTTCTTAACCAGAATTTCACTTAAAACACGATTCGTGCAACGAAAATTACTGAAACCAACTCCTAACGGAGATATTAACATTTTTATTTCACATTGGTTTCGAATAATTTGAACTGCCCGCTCACAAGAAACTCAAAGCTCTACGTGAGTCAAAAACGCGCACTACAACGGTTTCAGCATGCTTCTCAATCGAGCAATGTTCATTTCCTACCATGTGTTTTTCAAACTGTAAGTGATTTGTTATAGCTGAGCCAAAACGTCAAGATTGAAGTTGCCAGATTTTTTTTTATCGTAGAGACGTTCATGATAACGTTTAGCGCGCGACGTGAATCACGTAGAGCATTGAGTTTTCATGAGCGGGTGGTTTCAATTCACGCACCAAGAATCATTAAATATCTTCGGAAGGAGTTAATTTCGGTAATTTTCGTTGTGCGCATCGTGTTTTACGTGAAATTTTGGGGAAGAAACATGCATCAGAATGCGGAAATTCGGACCTTGTCATATGGTCCATTCCATTGCAGTGTTTTTAAAAATTAAATAACCTCCCAAATATAAGACCTAGTGAAGAGTGGCATTTGAGAAGACTTTGATTCTTGTCCGGGTGTGAAAATCATTTGGGCGCGTTTAAGTGCTAAACCCTGTAAAGGAATCTACGAGTATTTTTTTCCCAGTAGAAGTTCAGTGAAAACTAAGAGAGTCACTAACGTCCAAACCAAAATTCGTTTGTAATCTATTCTCTCAGATTCATCGCTTTTTCACTGGAAGTACTCCTAATTTTTAAAAGCATTTAGGAACATCACTGAAATCAATATCGAACTACGATACAACGCGAGATGGAGGCCTTGCTTCATATTACACCATTAGAGATAAAAAATACTAAAACAGAGGCTCAGAAAATGAATCTAACATTTTTATAGAAATATTCTCTTCTTTATTTCAGGCTGCTTTCTCAGCCGCTAGCTTCTACTTCGGCCGGTACTTGCCTCTCTCAACTCAACTGCTCCTCTTGACGATTTTCGGTACTCTGGGAATGATAACTTTCAACATTGTACACGTGGCCCACGAACAAAAGAAATCAGGGGAAAGACATTAAGTGCTTCCATTTTATGTTTTTTGCTTAAAGTCACGTAATTTTAGAAAACTTAAATATCTTACTTCATATGAATGGACAGGAAACATGCCTCCTTATAAAGCTCCTACGTTGATATTTTGTATTATACTTGAGTGATGACCTAAGATGATTTAAGTTAAAATTTGTATTTCGAAAGACCTTAGTATAAATTAGAACTATCAGTAGGTATTAAAAAAACCGGTAACCCAATCGAAACATTATGAAGTTAATCTTCTCACTTTAATTAGAAATAATCCGCTGGTAAAACGTATGTATAAGATCTTTCCGGAAATACTTCAAAAATGCTTTTCGCAAACTATTTTGTCAAGAATTACACAGCATTGGGTTAATTAGAAAGCTTCGATAGCGGCTGTCTTACAAGAATAGAGACAAGCTATGTTCGTGAATTCCGGGGGTCCGTAGCATGGCTATTTTTGGCAAAGCTACATGGTAAATCGGCGATTTTGTGCGTGCTGTAACATATTTAGATTTAGAAAAGGTAACGCTAGGTATGCAATTGTGCAACAGCTGGTACAAATCTCGAAGACTAGCAGCATATCAATGGCCAATTAAAATAAAAAATATGTTCCTCCGATTGTGAATTCAGGCACTAGTATCCGGCCATGTTACATGTTTTTTTTTTTTTTTTTTTTTTTTTTTTTTTTTTTTTTTTTTTTTTTTTTAAATAAATTTCCTCACTCACTCTGAGGTGTCCACTAACTTCCTTCCAAAAACTAATTAAACTTAAATGGGGATTTATAAACGTTGCTAGCAGATGCGAATGTTTCGATTTTTGGCATCGATTCAATTTTGTCACCCTAAAACAACATAATGAGGCAATTCAAATTAAATTTCTTCACTTTCAGCGCAGAAATAATGTTTATTCACGATTGAAAGAAAAACAGCGATGCACAAGTAAATTTTGAAATATTTGTAGCGTTCACGTTTAAATTAGTGAACGCCTACGTAGCGCATATCCGCTCATGTGTCGGTCGCGTTGCTTGTGGCGAAAAATGAAGGCGTTCTAATTTTTCTTACACCAATGTTGACGCGCTTCAGCGCCTCTCTCGTCGTGATAGTTCGTCATTCTTTCTGACGTGAGGGAGTCTCTCAATTTCGACGTGAGCTCTGCTTTCCATAAAACTCTATGCTTTAGGGGACTCATGGGGGAAGGGAGATACGCTCTTACGTCGGAGGAGCGACGAATTCTGCTGGTAGGCAATTTTCTAGACAGGGCACTGCTAAAAAAAATGCCTTTGCATATGGATGGAATGGGCGGTTAAAGGGAGCATTAGCGACTGGTTGTTTTCCTTTGGATCAGATGTAAGTATATAATTTTTGATTAACATGGTGGTTTTAAACTTTGGTGCAAATACTTAAAATTATACTTACTCAATTGGTATTTCCTTTCAATTTTACCCGGAAGAAATCATCTCACTTGGGTTTTCCTTTTGCATGTAACAGATTCATACTATCTACAGCCTTTGAATTAGGTTCAGTTCCCATGAACTACCACACACGCGCTTGTTACATTACAGGCAAAAGCAAGGGGATATTCTTTCATTCGTTTTGAATTCAGCAGTTAGTTAAACTAAATTAGAGACAAAAAATCTCATGTATGAATTTTTATATTTCCTCCAGCGCAATTAAATTACTGAAATACAAATTAACAGTTCTTTCTCATCCTCAGAATTTCTTCCGTCTAAATCTTGACACCAGAATTTTTTTTTGAATTTTCGAGAACTTCCACCAAGGTTCCCGCTCAAGTAACTTTTGTGACAACTCCATAATTGATAAAACTACAAATAATGTGATTTGTGATGTTTGCCTATATTCAAAGAGAAAGCGTACTTTTTACCAGCTCATTACAATCAATTTCAGGCTTAGATTGTGGATTCAGCCACGTTTGCTTCATACGGCCAAGCCTCTCATTAGATTCAAGGATTCGATCTCCTCTGAAATCTGAGCCAAATACCGCCCTCGGGAGAGAGAAAAGTAGCTCGAGCATCGTACTTTACTGGGATGACTGTTCTTTTGCACGGATGAATCGTGTAGTTACTGATAATGTTACATAAAACGGTCATCATTTGTAACTGAGCAAATCGCATACCTAGAAAAAATCAATGAATCGTAGTTGAGATTTAGAACAATCTATTTAAATTCCCATTGTTTCAATAGGACTACTACTATTATTATTATCCTCCAAGAAGAAAGGTAGGCACTTTTGTAAGTATGTAAGTGAACTTGGTTACCTTTTGATGATCGATATTCGATTGAGCTTATCAAACTGATTTGAAATGTAGGAAAAATACTACGGATGTTTGATAGGTCCCTCATAGTCAATTGTAGAAGTGACTGATGATTGATGATCGGTAAAGTAATGATGATTGTAAATTGCAAAATTTCAGTTGGATAGAAATGAGGTTAAGCCAACTAGAGCAAGAAAATCATCATGATTTTTTGCAAATGTTTGCTTAAATTAATTGGCTCTTGAATTTGAACAATTAGTTTTTATCAGCTCTTTCAAAACTTCTCACGAAACACTCATTGATTTGATTCAGGAATGATCTCTTTTTTTTTTTTTTTTTTTTTTTTTTTTTTAAATATTTTGATTACAGTCCATATTAATGAAATGAAAACTTTGTTCAACATCTCATATTGAGGAGAAAAATTAATATCTTACCAATGCATATTCTGGGTCCATCGCCAAAAGGAAGATAAGTATAAGGTGTAATTGATTGTTTCTCTATGAACCTTTCAGGTATGAACTTTTCAGGCTCCGGGAAATATGCAGGATCATGATGAAGGCCATAAACAGGAATGAAGACATAAGTGCCTTTTTCAACGATGACGGAGGAATCTGGTATACGGAACGACTCTGTGCACTGTCTTTGCATTATACCAATAGGTGGATATTTTCTCAGCGTTTCTGGAGTAAATAAAGCAAAAAACACGAAGTTTTCAATAACTAAAACAGTTTAATTTTTTGGTATTTTTCGCCAATTTCAGAATAAATCCCTCGATTGAAAAAAATATCATTCTGAAAAATATAGAGGTCATTTGGATTACATTTTGCAATAAGGAACCACTATCTCGGGCTATTTCATAAAAACGTTTATCCGCAAAGGGAAACCAATGGCACATATGTTGTTTCTAAAATAAGCTAGAAATAGTGGTTCCTTAGTGCAAAATGTAATCCATTTTATAGACTTCCCACGTCGTCTCAATTGAGGCACTGGATGCGAAAAGGGCACTTCTCGGTTGCCGTATTTCAGAGTTTTCTTTGATATTTCATTGATTGTGAGGAAAGTGAATGCATCCATTTCACTAAAAATTTCACTGAATATTCCTTATGATTCTACAATTTTCAATGGAAAGAATTCTAGCAAAATCACCCATTAAATTCTTTTCAAGGGATTAACTAGCAACAGAGATTCTGAAACACTGCAATCGAGAATTGCCGTTTTCGCATCCAGTGTCTCAATCCCCCAAGAGTAATTCGTTGATTCACAGGCGAAGGAATGTCATTTCATCCCAAGGCTGAAAAATTGACCCAAACAATTAATTTTTTCACCAGAATAAGACTGCGCTGTTCAAAATTTTGCTGTCGTCAGCTTTAACGTTATACCAGAAGAAAATCAGTGAGATTTTGAGTTGAAAATGTCCATTTTCCAAGTAAAAATACAATCTGTGGGTGAAAATTTAGCAACGTTAAAATGCATCTAGTTTTTGGCTATGCTATATTCTTACAAACCTACTATATAAAATATTAAATGTTGCGAGTCAGTATGAGAGTTGCAAAAGTGAACTGTGTAGAGGATTGGTCATAATACCTGTAAGAGACTGGAGTTTTGAGATCGATTGAAAAAAAAAAACTATTTTCTTACATATTTTAAAGAGTCCCTTGCGAATCTTAAGGGATGGATATATGCTAAGCACTTTAGGTCAATTGCTTATCCGCCTGTAACAGGAAATCTCAACTGACCGTATTCTTGGTGCGTTTTTGTTAATTAAATATTATGAAATATTACGAACAATTTGTTATGCAGCTTTTTCTAGTATCATAGACGGCAGTGATTATCGACAATTTTCAAGTGTAAATCTCATCGAATACGCAAGCATTTAATGAAATCAATGCTGATAAAAATACGGATTTATATTGGGTACTTTTTCAAAGTCCTGTGTCATGCTGTTCTCATTAAACTCTTTGGTATTCTAGTTCAAAATTATTTTATCAGTAAGTAATTGCGATACCTACTTCCTCCTAGTATACGTACATATTTGATAGAAAACTGATGCGATACTTGCCTGAGATAACTGCATCTAAATAAACGAGTTCTTTCGTAGCCTCGAAAGTCAAAACTCCTCCGTTAGTTTCTTTCACGGAATCCACTTCATTTCTGAGCTTCTCATAGATACCTGGATGCAACGCTAATTCATAGAGACAGTAGATGAGTGTGTTGATATTTGTCTCATAGCCACCCGCGAAAAACACATACGCGTTTGCCGCAACAACAGTGTCCGTAAATAAAGGTTCTGAAACCAAGAACCGTGTACATTTGCTCTCAATATCGTTATTTAAAACATTTAGCTTAAATTTTGTGCAGTTCCCTATAGGTTTAAGTCACTGCATATCGTAGATAAGAAAAGGTTTTACCTCGGAATATATTTTTAAAAAAGCCTAAAAACTCACTGCATATTTAAAACTAGTTCATTTAAAAACTTTGACATTTGTGTCACGGACCTCTGCTGTCTCAGAACACGTTTCCGTGCGCTCTGCCTATAGCAGCTGAGCTTCAAGACACGACAAATTCCACCATTTATAAAATATTTGGAGTGGAAATAGTCTCAAAGTCTTTATGCTTTATTTTTTTGACGTTTTTACTCAAAAGTAATTTATTGAGCCGAAAGTTGCTTACTGAGGTTTTTTTTATGTTAATCAAATAAATCGTGTTAACAGAAAGAAAGGAAGATTTTGCGACCGTTGATTACTCGGACGAGCTCCGTAAATATCACTATGTAGTTAGTTTATTTATCTGGATTAATTTCAACATTAGAGATCTGGAAGAGAAGCATCTGTGCTCTTGGCTCGTACGTCCCTGAATTATGTATTGGCTAATTTTGCACTCTACAACTACAACATAGAACCAAGTCATTAAAAGCTAAAAAAAAGACGATTCCTGCTGCAAATTACACTTTTAAAGCAGAAATAAACCATCACAGCTCTTGTCATATACTGAAATGAATAATTTTTAATAAAAACTTTCTTTGTAAGTAAGCAATAAAAATGAATTTTAAAGCAAGCACTCCTTGTTTCCCATAAAAATACTGGCTTCTTTTCTTCATCATTCAATTCAAATCGTCCTATTTATACATATTTTGAAGAGTTTTAAAGCGGCTGGACTGATGAATACTACCAGGATTGTATTCCCTTTGAAATTAATTTTAAATACATGTAAATACCCTTAAAAGTAATGGTAGAATTGAATTTATTGATTTTTCTAATAACGGATCTGTGAATTGTTTTTTCTAACTCTTATACCTGGAATGTTTCCATTAGAAGCTGTTTGTTCCCGCTTCTCAGAAGCCTGAGTTTTAAGAACTTGATGACCATTCATCTGTAATCGATTCCTCTCCTCTGCTTGTAAATCAATTATTAACCTTAGAAAATCATTCCTCTGCTGTCCACTTGACTTCCGGGACTCAACCGCCTCTTTTAATACAATTTTGAAAAATTGGTCAGCTGTTCTCTGCAAAAAGATCCACTAAATTAAAGCTGGAATTTGACTTATAAAACCAAAAATTACACTAAAAGTTCCTTGAAAGTATTGAAGATTTCTTTCAAATAAGACGTCTCAATATTTAGTTTTGTATGATGAATTGAAAGCTCCGCGGACTGCAAATTCGTAAAAAAAAATAAATAAAAAAATTAAAGACCTTATCTATGTTATACAGCTACAAGCAAAATCTTGGAAGCACTATTTCTGTCGAGCTGCCGGACCGATAAGGATGATCTTTATATGTATGTCATCTGTAGTAGATGTGGATGTGCAAAAAATTATGAAACCCCGAACTTTTAATGTTGTAGAGCTTTTCAAGCTCATGTCACTTAAGTCCAATGTTAATAGCGTGAGAGATATGTCGTTTCCGCTAGAAACGTCAAGGTGTGGGATTCTACCTGAGTGACTCGAATAAACAATAAAACAATGGAAAAGCTCGTGAAGGGCTCCTCATTTGAAGAGTTGAGGAACGGTGCATCGCTCAGGGTTCAAGGTTCAAGGTCGAAGGTATAAGGTTTAACTCAATTTTTCCTGCATTCCTCCGGCTTCGATTTGTGGCATTGGTCAATTTACTTGATTGCTGAGTCTCTATTAATATTTACAGAAGATACAAAGTGAGAAGGCAGGCGCTGCGTCGCGTCGGGACGGACCAAATATTATTAACTCTCAACGGTCGAAATCCGATTTTTTTTTAATTAAGTATTTAAAATGACATAATAATTGGAAATTTCTCCAGTAAGTGGACTGTGCAATTATGTACATCCAGCTATTCCTCATCATTTACAAATCTGAGTGTTACGTCAAAAATTTTGAAATCGATGCAGCTTGAACACAAAATGGTGTATTAAAATGGAAGAACAATTTTGCCTATACATATGCGTGTAGGGCTCGCGAAGCGGGCCTGAGGGCGCGAGGCGCCCTCCCGGGGTTGGGCCGCGTAGCGGTCAGGGGGCACGGCCCCCTAGTTAAAAAATAAATAAAAAATTAAAAAATTAATTCAAATACCCATAGCTACATTGATCAAATACAGCCCTACATTAGTGCCATAATAGAGATTTTATGAATATACGCGTATTACAAGAAGGCAGATCGAACGTTCAGCGATTAAAGAGTGCCTATTCATCTTGCTTAGAACCGTGAACATTTTCTGATTTAAGAATTTGTGGTAATTCTTGCCTGTCCAATCTTCCTGATGAATAATGATTAATATTGTCCAGAGGAAATAATACGCTATTACCTCCACATCGGAAGAATGAAAGGTGATGAGGAATGTAGAGCATTTTATTTATAGGGTGAAAATCAAATAGGATGCCTTGGACCCTGCGGTAATGCCCTCGGCAGATGAACATAACAAAACCACGACGTTTACCAAGGCGCTTGAATGCAACTATTCGTGCTCAATGAATGTGCGTGTTGCGTGTGAGAATAACTGAAGGCGTAAGGCAGTAGAGCTTCTATGCTCTACTGTTTCTATGGCTGCATGTCAAAATATTACCCCAAAAGGGCGTAGGAAAAATGATCAGGGCAATAAGGAGCTATCTTTGGGGTCCTTATTGGCTATCCAGGCTGTACCGTTTTAAAACTTTTAGTATTATTTTAAAATTGTCACATTTTTGCCATCTCAGCGATTTTTTTTCAATCTCGCCCTTGGCTAATTCCTTCTGCCCACTTATTCTGTGCATCTCTGTGCATTTAAATCTCTCTGAATGTTACTTTCATCGATTTTTAACCTTTTTCAAGTTCATATAAAGTACCTCACCCTCTAAGCTGTATCTAAACGCATGCTTGCCTTAATGCCTTATATAGGTTAAAAAAGATTAGTTTCCTATCATAATCTATTAATGGAAATATGAAAAAATACTAAAACTGTGATACGAATTGTAAATAATAGGATAGTAGAATAGTTCTGGAGTCTCACTGTTCTGCGGGGAGATCAAGACCCTCAGTATTGCATTAATACTCATGAAGTTCAATTTTTTTAATTCAATGACATGTTTGAAATTTTTTACGCCTTGATTTTGCCGCAGAATAGTGTAAAGTTTTGAACTCGGCACTATTCTATGACTTAAGAGTGAAACTGTAAAAATGCATTACGTCGATTTGAGGCGCTCAGACTTCCTGACATACTTTATTTTTAACATGGAAAACTACAGAACATCCTTTTTTGAAAATGATTTATCCTCTCCTCATGAAGAATGTTCTGTGAAAACTTTAAGCCATGACGTTGGTTCGATAGTTGACGTTGACGTTTGGTTGCGACGTTGGTTAAAAAGTAAAATAGGAGCGGAGATTTCAAAACGCACCGCAACCGAGATACACATTTTCGCAGTTTCATCTCTCAAATCATGTTATTATTTAAGGTGATTCGATGGACGCCATATTTTGTGTCAGAACGATATGCGACATATCGCATCGATTGGTTCCATTTTTTCAGCTTCTCGTCATTCTCCGAATTTTAAGATCGCAATTCTGCTGTCAAGATATTAAGACAAGTTTACGTAGTAAAGGCGTGGTTTTTTTAGAGGAAAAATATCGCATTCGATACTAATATCGAAACTGTACTCGAATGCAATACTTCTCCTCTAAAAAAACCACGCCTTTATTAATTATGTTGAATTTGTTTGTCAAAATTGGTACGTGAATTCTTCAGTCTCTTGACTACAGAATTGCGATCTCAAAATTCGAGAACAATGACGAGTAGTTGATAAAATGGAGCCAATCGATGCGTTATATCGCATGTCGCTCAGACACAAAATATAGTGTCCATCGAATCACCTTCATGGCCACTCGTCAAAATGGCGTCAAAATGGAAGCTCAAAGTGAATCGAGAAATACGATCTGTTCGCGATTGTTGATCGAAAAAGAGTCGCGCTGCTCTATTTTGAGTTGCAACATTCATCAATCGCATCAAGTCCCGACTTACTGCCTGCATAGAAGATTAAATTCCCAACCAATTCCGATCAAAGTAGACATGCTGATGACTGGTGGTCACCATCTACCATCAAATTTTGACGGGCCGCACTTTTTTGTTCAAAGTAAGATCAGAATGGAGTGCCACAGTGCCACCATTCATCATTTCCTGCCACAGGAAACATTTCTGCCAAGTTTTCATTTTAAAATGAAGCAAATTAATGAGTTTAAGACTGATGACTCCCGACACTTTGATCGTAATTGGTTCGGGAATTTGATCGTCTATGGAGGGCTTTAGAGCCACTTATTGTTGAAATTGATTCATTTTGAGCTTCCATTTGGCGCCATATTGACGAGTGAAGGCAGCGCTAATGGCTCCTTGGTTTGAGTCGAAGAATCATTTTGTAGTGAATAGTCACCCCATGAGACGTGAGTCGAAGAACAGGGATAAGCGACGGGCAAAGAGTGCGAAGGAGATTCCTCAATCGGGTCCGAAAACACGGGGTGACGATTCGCCGCCACATCCGATCGAATTCGGAGTCCTCATCCCGGATCGTGTTGCAACGGATGCCGAAAACGCATGCACCCGTGACGTCAGTCATGTACTTGGCCATGAGCCGCTTCACGTCCTGGACGTCTTTCCCGTCGCAAGCGCCATCGATCGCGTTGCTCAGATATTTGTTCACCTCTTCCGCGCAGTCCGTCATTATGCCGTACATTGACCGCAGCTTCGCCGGGCTGAAAGTTGGTGTCAATTTCGCGCGGATGTTCTTCCATCTGTGGTAATTTGAGAACAAACAAATCATAAAAAAAAAATAAAAAAAAATTACGAAAATTTTTTTAAAAAAAATTAAAAGCGCACCCCAAAATCACTTGACGGGCATAAGGAGACCAGTGGTGAGGCGTGAGTGATCGATTATCGATACTTCTCCATTTGAAGCTATAGTAAAGAATCGATTATTAAGGTGTTCGCTGCGAATATCTTGTCAATCGATCCTTTCCCATAGCTTTAAATGGCAAATAAATCGATATATCGCAAAGCACGCCGCGCCACTGAAGGAGATCATTGTTATGGTTTTCCGTACAAATTTTGAATGAAATTGAACAAATAGATTTTGAGATATAGCTGCACACAAAAAAAGGGTATGCCTAGCGGACGAATTCCAATTAATTGTGATAGTGCCCCAATAAATTTCGCTAGCACCCCAATAAATTAGGGTACTAACCCAAATGTTGCGGTGCCACCACAAGTAATTGTAAATGCGCATATGATTCAACAAGTAAGGATATTGTACCTCAATTTTTGGGGATAACTCCTAACAATTTTTTCCATGTCATACAAAGGAGTTATCATCATTCCACCGGAGTCGGATGAATGAGACTATATTATGCAATATGGAACTGTACATTGAGGTAAAAATGAGACTGATAATGAGCCACTAAAAATATCACTGGCTCATTTTTGGAATAACATGTCGATGGTGAAACTACCAGACCACGTCTCGTTTGCGGCGTTTAAAAATGTTCGCTTCCATTCTACATTTTAAAGGAGAACAAATCAATATCAATCATGAAAGTTTTCACAGAAAATTCTTCGCAGGGAGGGTAAAAATCACGGAGGTTTTCAAGAATCAACATTGAATAGTTTCCTAATTAAAGAATAAAGTATGGCAGAAAGTCTGCAACGTCGCAAACCGAAATACGCGCTGTAGTAGTTTCACTGTCAATATGTTATTACTTTCCATCTACAGATAGGTGCTTTTATAGATGAGTACCTCATGCCAAAATGCAGTCCAATTTTCAAATTATTGACTTGTACTCTAAACATAAAAAAGCAGGTAAGGGTCGAATTTATTATATTCCAAAAAAACTGAGGAATCATATCACACTCTGTAACACTCGATCATGAGAGTAAAACGGTAATGCATAATCGCATAAATCGCGAGGCGCGAAGTGCTTCAAGGTTTGGACCGCGAAGCGGTCAGGGGACGTAGCCGACTATAGTAAAGTATTAAAATTACATGAAATAACAAACCTTTGTCCGGATAAATTTACAAGATGGCATTTCAAAGGATCTAGGTGCTCATTCAAAAGTTTTGCGTCGTGCCGATCATGGAAGTGTGAGAAATTTTCAACGAGAACGGATTTAATTAAAACTGGATCTCGGAGCAATAGGATGGGTTTAGTAAAATGGTAAAAACCACCAAATCGAAGACCATCGAGTTCGTTGTACAATCTCCGACAGAGCACACCAAAATGAATCCGTTGAAGGACTGCATCTTTGGTATTGCCAAACAGCAAAGAGAACTCCTTCGGCTGCGCCACTCCAAGTTTCTCCCAGTAAGTAAATTTTTTCCTCGAAATGTACACAAAACTGGATACGAGACCGAACACAAGTATCATCAAACTTGCCACTGATAATAAAACTCCGGATAAGGTAAAGAATGATGTCATGATGCCAAAATGTATTCACTGCTACGTGAAGAGCAAAATAAGATTGAAAGAAAAAATCGTATTTATTCCCAGGAAATAAAAGATAATTGAATCCAAAAATAGGTGGGAATGCTGCTCATGCAAATGTATCCTGGTGTAGAGAAAACACTAATTATTTAGAGGCAAGTAATAGCAAACTGGCAATGGAGGTAAAATGTGTCTAAATCACATACATATGCTTGGGAATACGTTTAAACCACTCAAGGTGATCTTGAATCAATCCCTAAGTAGCCTTCGCCGCCAATTTAAGATAAGCCCCCAAAAGTTAAATTAAAAGATAAGCTTGTTGTATTTTCAATATGCTCCCACACTTACATTATTTTGCGCAACTTCTGATAACAGTGTCGAATTTGTTTTTGTGCGAAGGATATGAAGTATATTTCGATTTGCGCTTCTCGTAGAAATCCTGAGTGGCAAGTTGCTCTTCAAGTCTACCTGAAATTCGTTTCGAGCAGAAAAACAGACAAAATTAATAATAGTTCTGATAGAATTTACCACGCTGCGTTTGATTGCAGGATGAGCAAGATAAATTATCCATTAACTCAGAGGATAGATTATGCAATTTTGTAATGTAAATACTTCCTTACTCGTTTGAAATTCAAAGCTTGATTCATCCAAAAGCACTATCCAACACACAGAGCGAAAAGGCACGGAGATTATCAATTAAACACATCGTTTCGCATCAAGCCTGAACCGGGGAAAAGAGGTTTGGACTTTTAACCCTCCATGATACTCGAGGGTAAAACAAAGTTACAATTTCTTTCCTGTTCAAAATATTTACCCTCGATTTTGCTTTATTTTCACAAGAGATATAAATGACAGGTTGAATTCAAATAAACTCCTATAAAAATTGTATTTTCCAAATGCGACTCGGTGCATTTTGATCAAACTCTGTCAAAAACATTATTTGGTCATATTTTAGAGAATCTCTGCACCCATCGCAGAAGTATTTGACGTATTACTTACTTTTTATTCTTGCGTGTCATTGATTGAGAGATACTGCTTTCACACCTTCTCACCTCCCTAGTTTTTTTTTTTTTTTTTTTTTTTTTTTTTTTTTTTTTTTTTTTTTTTTTTTTTTTTTTTTTGGTTTGTATGGGAGGAGAGACAGAGGAGTTATCCATAATGGTGGCTCTGTATTAAAAAAATAGAGATACGAGGGTCAGATTCTAGTTATATGAGTACAAAGGTCAAAAGGTAGCTCAAAAACATCTCCGAAGAGCTAAATCATTTGAAAATCCAGCTGATGGCATGTTTATTTGGAGATACTGAAACAACCTCCGAGTATAAAGACTAAGGGAGGTGTTTGTGTTTGCTCCACATATTTGAAAATAACATTCACCAAAATCATTCTATATGAATCTAGGCTTTAGCGAAGTAAGAAGATATGAGTTTGGCATCCATTCAAAGAAAAGTGATTTGTCATTAACGGAACGGGTTCAGCTGAAGTATCGTTTAAATACACTGTGAAAAAAACAGCCGCGATAAAATCATTGCCAAATTGCAATAAAATGCCGAAAAGAACGTTACGTAATTTATGGACGGTCCCATATATGCATAATCCCTTGTTTCTCAAAAAGAAAGAAAATCTAGCCGGCCAGGTTGGCCTAAAGGCCAGCGCGTCTAGCTCTAGACCACTAGGTCCCAGGTTCGAACCCCGGTGGTGGCGACAAATTTCCGAGGAATTGACGAGTAAAAAAACCTTAACAACTTTAAAAAAAAATAAAAAATAAAAAAATAAAAAAATTAATAAAAGAAAAAAAGATAAGCTACCTACAACCTTTTAACAAGGTGGAGAAATAGTGCTGGGTCCACACCATTTCGTGGGGAAAACAAAGCCAAGAAGTTCCAAAAATTATAATTAGAGTCAAAAATTATATACCTCTCCTCCCCCCTCAGTTTTGTGCTGGTACTCATTAGAGTTCAAGACATTTATTTTTGACTCTAAGTATAATTTTTGGAACTTCTTGGTTTTGTTTTTCCCGCGAAATGGTGTGGACCCAGCACCATTTCTCCACCTTTTTACATACAGGTCGGGCCACCTCTTGGTGTTTGTTTCTCATCTACCTTTTAAATTTTCCTCAGAATGGCAACAAATCTCACAGGCAACAGAACAGGTGACCCACAAAAGCTGAGACCGACCGGAAGAAAATTAACTTCCGTGTCAGACGAAAGAGTGGGTGGTTGGGAACGATACATTTATCATGAAGGAAATACGCAATTGTCGGTATCGGAAAGAGACGACTGAAGGAATAAGGGATGAGGCAATGAGCTTTGTTGTGCTTCGGGATCTCCTTGGCACCCAGTGCTTTGGTCCCCGACGCACAGTGGGTCGAGTCAATTAGAGAGGTCGGACATGAAATTTTTTACTAAAACCGCAAATTTTGATGTTTATTTCGTCACTTTTTAAACTTTAAGGGGTACCTCTAGAAGAAAATTTCACGAGGAAACCAATGGAACCACTTTCAGAACCTCAAAGTTTTGTTTAAGCGGAGTTATAAGCGTTTAAAGTTTCCAAATTTTGTCCGACTCTTCCTGTTGATTCGGTCCAGTGTGCGACGGTTCGGAGCCGTGGGCCCACGCACGGAGGCCCATCGCCGTCCCTCTTCGTGTCTACTTGAGGGACTCCGTGATAACACTCGCGCTTCCACCCTGGGTCAGTGTATCGATACCTTCGCCAGCCAAGGGATTTCCGGCCCGACTTCCAGGTCTGTATTCGGCTTTTTTACTCATTCGTTGTGGAAAATTCCCGATTTTTTTTTTTTTAAATTCAATTTTAAAAAAGGTTTTTTTTTCTTAAACACAAACTGGATTATGAATGCTACAAACTATATGATTAAAACGCACTGGAAAAAAAAAACACATTGGATCTAGAGTCCAGACTCTTGAGAATATTGACAAGAAAAAACACTCTTGATTCAATCGAATTTTTGCTTGAATCATAACGAAATCCGCTTAAATTAAGAGGCTTGGTTCTTGATTTAAGCTGGATTCTGATCGAATCAAGAGTACTTTTCCTTGTCGATGTTCTTAAGAGTCTGGACTCTAGATCCAATGTGGTTTTTTTTTTTTTTTTTTTTTTTTTTTTTTTTTTCCAGTGCTGGTATCTACTAGCTCAAATTGGACATCGACGGTGTAAGTCGGCAATCACCTAACTCGTTTGCGGTGTCTGAAAATCCCCGCCTCTACATTATTTTTTTAAAGGAGAACAAATTGGCATCATCCCTTGAAGTTTTTGCAGAGTTTTCTTCGCACAGAGAGGGAAAATCACAGCAGTTTTAAAGAAGTGCCGTTGGGTAGTTTTCCGATTAAAAAATAAAGTATGACAGGAGATCTGCGACGTCGCAAACCGAGTAATGTGATTGCCTACTTACGCCGTCGATATATAAAGGGCTTGGAGGACAAGGTGCATAAGTGCAGTTTTTGAAAGAAATTGAGATATTTATGAACTCGACTTAAACTAGTTTAAAAGCACATTCTGTGAAAAATTCGGAAGTAAAATCCAACTTTAAAGCATCAACAAGTGAGTTAAAACACGGAAAAAATGACTGTGCGCGGATAACCATCTTGGTTTTGTTAATTAAAAGTTGGTGCCGTATACATGAAAAAATTGATAGAGTAACCAACGGCATTGTATTGTCCACAACGTCTTTAGGTAAATCAATCATTTTCAATTAGTTGCTTCTATAGCTATTACAAATCCGTTCACCGAGGCAAAATTGATAACTGCTCCATCAAGTTGACTCATTGCACCAAAGAGTGCGCTTGCGCTTCACCTATCTTGTTTTTGGTTGATGCTACTCGGTTAAGTGGGCTCATTGTACTACAGAATGAGTTAGTGCAAATTATAAACTTGTTGATTATGAAGGTCACCATTTCAGATATCTCAATTATAGTATTTTGCTAGTAGTCTGCCTCGTCAATTTTTTACGCTTTACCAACATTGAGTCACCAAAGAAAGCAATCAGATATGGGCTGATTAGGGAGAGTATGTTGATAAATTTTCAAGAATTCATATTCAACCCACCTTGTGTGACTGATAAGCGTGTAATAATATGTTCGTGGAGCGTGCTCTTTTTCCCGTCCCTGGCTCGGGCGACGGTAAAGTCGCCATAAAACTATATGACTTCGCGCAATTAATTATTCTTGACTCTGCTCGGTTTTAATGATAATTAAAGGGCATTTATTACAATAATTCAGAGACTCGGACGATGTTAAATTTTTCACTTTTTTTAAAAAAAAAAACGGATCGAAACGAACTAAAATATTCATCAAAACCAAAAATTATTTCATTCTAAAAGTAAAGTATACCTCATATCGTAATTTTTGAGGGGAAAAATAAATCTAACACTGATAGAAGGTAATTATAGGATATTGATGACTTATATTGATGGCGCGGAGCGCCTTCAGGGGGTTGGACCGCGTAGCGGTCAGGGGGCATAGCCCCCTAGTATTTGACTATTTGCCTAGGCATTTGACAAAATGCCTAATTTTACTATTTGCCTGCGACATATCGATTGCAGTGTTTGAAAATTTCTTTCCTCCCCCCCCCTCCCCTTGGCACCAAGTTTTACGAAAATCCGACGAGCAGGAGCTGAGATAGCGGTTTAGGCCACGCCCGCCACCTTGGTTTTTCGAATTTTCGAAATTAGACTAAAAATTCGAATTTAATCGATGGAATGGGAGCCGATGTATCAATTTAGGCTACGTCCGCCGTCTTAAATTTTCAAATTCAGAAAATTCAACTTGAAACACATCATACCCAAAATCTAAGCTCAGATTCGGCTTCCTCGTGAAAAATCGATGCTATTTCATGTATCATATGTTACCATAGCATAAAGAAAAGAGGGTAATCGTAGGCGTAAAGATTCTATCAAAGCCGGCCGGTATGCGGAAGTAGGCACAGAACTCAAACGTTTGAGCTACGCCGCCAGGCGCCGGCGTCAAGCATTTGGTTCGTTTCGTCCGTTTCCGAGAAAACAAACTTCTTCTTACTCATCAGCTGACCCACTCCGAATCATCCATGTTGCCACGTCGGACTGATATGTAGAATCTACACGCCTACGTTAATCTCTTTCCTTCATGATATGGTGACATATGATACATGAAATTGCATCGATTTTTCACGAGGAAGCCGAATCTGAGCTTAGATTTCGGATATTATGCGTTTTAAGTCAAATTCTCTTTTACCTATTTTAAATTACTCAGGAAACTTTGCGGAAACTCATTAGAATAACAGTGTGTATTCTTTTAAAAACGTTGATCAAAAATAAAACATTGACGGTATTTGAATCCATTAATCTCCGACATAACTTGAACACGGTTGTTCTATGACTTTTTACGTATGTTGTTTTCTTCCGCATTGGTTGTCGGCAGCGTAGCGGCCAAGACCCCTGGTACTAATAATTGTTTTCAAAATCAATTTCTTTCTACATTCAAAATTCCAAGGAAACGGCAGAAATTTATCAATTGTTACTATGTTTAAACAATGTTTCTTGTCAATTGTATGCTGTCGTTAGGCTAAACATCCCAGGTTTACCAGTAGGCTAGGCATGCACTAGATTTAACACCATGTCATGGCTTCAGTACTTTAGAGGGGTAATTTTTTTTTTTTCTATTCTACATAATCTCACTTGTTCAAGTAAGTAGCCTGGGCTTATTGTCCAATGCTAGAAGCACTTTAGCCAATCATAAAAATAATCCTAGTTTGAAAATTTTGAATCGATTCTCGACATAAAAAGAAAAAAAGAAAAAATAGATAAATAAAATGCAGTTATAAATAACAACGAAGAGATATTTAATGAAGTATAAAAATAAAATGAAGTAACTGAATTAAAGTAAAAATATAAAAAATTGCAAGAAAGAAAATGAAGTAAGTAACGGTAAAATACAAGGAAGAAAAAAGAATAAATAATCAAAGAAAAATAATATTAAGTAAAGAAAAAACAATAAAGTAAAACATTAAAATTAAGTAAAGAAACAAAGGAAAACAAGCAGTGAACTCCAACACAATGTGTTGATAAGGCGCGTCATTAACTCGCACATATCAACCCCTTTAGTTTTCATTTACAGAGATTTCAAAATAGGCAAACAGCATAAAAAGAGAATTCACGATCCAACACTGCGAGGTCAAAGACGCACCTTGACGAGACCGTGTATTGTGAAAGTAGAAAGCTATTCGATCGAATTTAAGTTTTTTGATCTGCCTCAAGCAAAATCTTATCAGATTCTTGAAGAAAAGTGCTACGGAATAATTTAAGCGAAGAAAGGAAAAATTCTGTCGAACTCCTAGAAGATAAAGTCGATTTAAAGGTATTTTGGGGCTAAAATACCCAAATCACCGGTAGTAAAAATCCCGTTATATTATTGAAAAGAAATTGACTCGATATAAATGCAATTGCATTAAATACGTCTTGATTTTGTTATTTTAAACGTCTTTCCATGCAAAGAAGTTCAACCATGTCGTTGCTTTATTCATTCATGAATTGAAAGTAAGCAATCTACATCCCGAAAATCTACTGATTTGCCGTAAAAAATTGCAGAAACTTGATATACCAGGTCGATGCACCCACTCGTTGAATTTACCAACCAATTTTGTGAGTGCAAATGTGTAAGAATCAATATGCTATAGTCATTTTGGGTGCATTTATTTTTCATGAAACAATAATAATTTCAATCCCGAAAAACCATCAATTTTCCGTATAAAATCGAAAAAATCAAAATATGTCAACTCCCCGACGTGAAAATTAGATTCTACGTATGTAAAATGTAAATACTTATGTATCGATATGCTGAACAGAACTATGTGTGGACAGTCAGAAGCCCGCGGCAACATTAATTCAACAGAAAAACTGTAAAAATTAGATAGGATTTTAGCCGCTTTGCCCGCCTCTCCTCGCTACTTACAACAAACCGTTCTTATACTCATCTCAAAATTTTTCTCAGAGCTTTGGGTTATTATCAGCTTCCATTTAAACTCCGGTTCGATGGCCGAATCGGCTGCCAAAAAAGCAAGCCACTGTTGAGGGGTTCTATGAGAAATTCGTGATATTATCGGCTCTCAGGAAATCACCCCATGGCTAAAATTGGTGGTATAAATGTTTAAGTGCTTAAAATAATCGTATTCAAGAAACTAAGGAATTAAACTATGGAGTCAATTTCTTTTTAATAATATAACGAATTTACTACCGGTGATTTAGCTATTATAGCCCCAGAATACTTTTAAAGCGCCTTTGCGTTCCAGAATCTCGACGGAATTTTTTTTTTTTTTTTTTTTGCTTAAACGATTCAAGAAACATTGTAGTTAAAAATATAAAGATTTTTCGATTTGGACGTATGAAAAATGTTTAACTCGTTCAGGCACACCGTGTATTGTATGGAGTACTGCTGTTATTCGACCGTTGTCTTCAGGTCAAAATTCTTACAAAGAAGCCCCTTGCAAGAGGCAAATTTTTTGTAATTTCTCCCAGTTTTTTCAGCGTTAGGTATATAAATGAATTGTTTGTCAAATTTTGAGGTCAATTATATTTAATTGTAATTTATACTTTCTTTTTTTCCCCTTCATTTTATTTTTCGTATCGAGGAGTCGAGGTTTTGTTGATTTCTTCGGATTTCGATTACTGTAACTTCTCTTCTATTCGGCCGATTTTTATGAATGAGGTCTCTTTTTATTTGTGTTTTAACGGAGAGTAAGGAAAAAATTGCTAAATACATGCGAAACAATTTTTTTTGAAAATTGGATGAATCCTAGCGTGACGGTGAAATGGTTAATGAAGCGTGAGTAATTGGGGTACGGGTATCGGCCGCGTTGGGACCCAAGGCCCATTGTTCTTCGTGACGCCGACGCAGTGATCAGGAGCGTGGGGACGAGAGGGCTTAGTGGACTCCTGTATGAGCCACGTTTAGCAAATGGTCTAATGAGTCTCGAGGCTCATCACAGATTGCACTTACCACTATCCTGGTGGCCCCGGCTATCAGAGCAAGGAGTACCAACTTTTGAAAAGGATAACAGTGTTGTGGAGATATGTCAAAGCAACGTTGTGAACAAAACGGAGTGAGTGAAATTCTCATTCAAGGAGTGCCGAACTGGTCAGCCATCCTCGAATCAGTTCGCTTGCTTCCGCTTATATATGCATATTTTAAATCAGCGCGCCCCATTCTAAGGTTTTTTTAAAAAAAACCAAGAAACGTAGACTCTTGGTATTCATTACACATAAACTAGCGAGCCCCAGAATGAGAAACAAATTTTAATCATTATTATTGACGGATTAGTAAACTTTTTACACGCTTTGGAAAATCTCAGAAGTTCGCGGTAGTCACTTTTCGGTAAGGAACTAGGGGACTCGGTTATTGTATCGAGGGGGGGGGTCGAAACGATCGCAAAGGCGGTATACTACGTATACGCGCCAAAAATTGAAATAAAGTTAATAAATAAAAAAGAAATACTCAAAGAAAAATTATATTATGTAAAGAAAAAAATAAAGTAAAAAATTTAAAATGAAGTAACGAAATAAAATAAAGTAAAAAACTGAAATAATGTTAACAAATAAATAATGAAATACAAAAATTAGAAAAATGAATGAACCAATCTATGTAGATTGAATTTCCTGGTTTTCCGTTCAAATCGAAGCTATTTAGGTACAGGTTTTTTGGTCAGGGTCTCATCATACTGTATAGCTCAATTGTTAGGGTCTTCGGCTAGGGTTAGAAAGGTCCCAGATTCAATCCCCGCGGTAGGCAAAAAAATTTGATAGGTCGGATACGACTACAGCACCTCACAATAAGTACTGTAGTCTCATTTTACTCGATTTCGAAATTTATTTACGCGATTAACCCTTTTCCACCATCCCCTAGCTGCGAACCCCGACGTTGCACACCTTTGTATTCAATTGTTTTAGCTGTACGTTTCACAAGAAAATACTCCTCTTTATGGCTAAAAACACAAAATATTAGGTTCTCATTGCTTTCATGATTGATACACTAAACACCCGGATGGGTCAGTTTGCCATCTTTGAAGGTCTATCTCAGCAACGTTGTGCGGGACGTCTACGGAGGACGGCGCGCCCGCCCAGCAGTGTTGGTGCGAATTGCCATCTTTGATGTCAACGCCTACCTGATCGCAGTTTGAGGTTTCTAACCATCATACATTTGTGGGGGTCTCAGGGGGTTTTTCTCAGGGGTCGAATCTGGGAATCCAAGATCGTAAATGTCACCTACTCTCTGGCTATAAGCACCAAAGATTTTTTTCCGTGAACTTCCTCTCCGCCGTAAAACTCCAAAATATTGAAACTTTAATTACGTATTTATCGAAATAGCAAAAATTGCACGAATGTATGCCTTGCCCTCCAACCCCCTCATATGGTGTTAAAGGTAAAGAAAGTATGATTAACTATATATGTAAATTAGGTACTGTAAGCCTATCGTGAAAGTACCCCGTGTTACAGAGTGGTATAATTGCTTAGTTAGGGTTTTGCTTTAAAAAAAGAAAAATAAAAATTAAAAAAAAGAAAGAGAAAAGTAGTGAGACCTACTTCTTGAAAATATAAAGCATAAGTTCAAAGAGGCATGTAGGCACTTCGTGACGAGACTGCGGTAACATCACTATTAGGCAGGACTTTTAAAGCCGCGCCAAAGAGAAGTAGACATAAATTGGCAAAAATTCAATTTTAGGGGTCTACGGGGAAATTGGACCCTTTAAATTTTGATCTTTTTTCGGATAATGAACTTGAACTGAGCAAAATGATTGTACTCTCAGGTACTTAATAAGTATTCCATAGTTTTTCTCATTCCCTAAAATGTTTTTTTGATCCCACATGCTTCAAATCAAATTCGTGAGAAGATGTTTTAAATTGTTTACCCAGTTTGATACCTATTGTTTTACTGAAGTATTATTAAGAATATATTAAGATATATCCCCTTAGAATTTGTTACATGAGACGTAACCAAAGACATAAAGACGGAGCACTAAAAGCAAAAAATGAAGCTTCTAGAGCTTCTTTTCAATCACCTCTACTATTGGCTAGAGGATTGGCGGCGAAATCGGGACAAGTTTGAATTCAAATGTAGGGCGGGAACTAATAAATAAAATTGCGGAAACAAAGTATTTTAGGTTGATTTTTGCCCAAATTCAGGTACACACTCATATTTTATTAACTTTAGGTTAGTTTCGGTCCGTCGTCGACCGACTGATTTCATTTGGGAGTAACGTAGATCTAGAACTGTAACGGCCTGTTTGAACCTGCAGAACCACCATAAGCAGAAGAAAAACTAACTTTATCTGAGATTACTGCCTGTTACCGAGCAAAAGTAGGTGTAATATATTAGGACGCAGACCGAACTTTCTTAATATAATCGTTTTAAGCATTTAAAACACGTTTCGAAGAAGAAATAAGGAAAAATCAAGAGGACAAGTTCAAATCAAATTTCCGTTTGCCGCCATGGATTCCCGCGCTCATTTACACACTCACACAAACGCGCAGCGCCGAACCTAGCTTCACTTTTTCCCCGTGCTTTTAGTTACGAGCACTCCGTCTTTATGTCTTTGGACGTAACGATACTGCAAAAACACCTATCTCCATTGCAGTGTTTCACAATTTTAGCTCCTCCTTTAATTTTTAATTTCATTTTCCACAGTTATCACTAAGTTTATTTTTACATGCATGTTTATCAGATTATTCAGATTCAAGAGGATGGATTTGTACTACTATCCGACAAGTCCTCCTTGCCTCTCGGTTGTCTTGCTCACTCGAGAGTTGGGCCTTACACCTAACCTCAGAGTCATCGACATAACAGCCGCAGAGCACATGGAGTCGGAATACAGGGAAGTGAGTTCTTGCTTTTACCTTAGTGATTAAACGACAGGTGAAATCCATTACTACTATCGCTTTTAAAAGTAGGAGTACTAAATTTATTTTTGGCATCCTCATTTTGAATGAGAGTTTGAGTCCGTTTTGTAAGGTCCTGATAATGGACCACTAGACAAGGTACGAATTTAAGCGATTTGATACATGTTTCTTAACCAGAATTTCACGTGGAAAACGATTCACACAACGAAAATTACGGAAACCAACTCCTAACGAAGATATTAACGTTTTTATTTCACATTGGTTACGAGGAATTTGAACTGCCCGCTCACAAGAAACTCAAAACTCTACGTGAGTCAAATGGACTGCATTTTGCAATTTGGAACTATAAATTCTGGCTCTTCTGGAAAAACACTTATGTGCATAGAGAAACTAATGGCACATACGTCGTTTTTAAACCGGGCTTGAATTCATAGTTCCAAATTGCAAAATGTTGTCCAAATCGCCCACTACAACGGTTTCAGCAAGCTTTTCAATCGAGCATTGTTCATTTCCCATCATGTCTTGTTCAAACTATTAGCAATTTGCTATAACTGAGCCAAAGCGTCAAGATTAAGGTTGCCAGATTTTTATATCGCAGAGACTGTCATGATAACGTTTAGCGCGCGATGTGAGTCACGTAGAGCATTGAGTTTTCATGAGCGGGTGGTTTGAATTTACGCATAAAGAATCATTAAATATCTTCGTAAGGAGTTGATTTTGGTAATTTTCGTTGTGCGCATCGTATTCTACGTGAAATTTTGGTTACGAAACGTGTATCAAAATGCTGAAATTCGTGCCTTGTCTATTAGTCCATTGTAAATTTGTAATTTTGTAAGGTCCTAACAGAATTGATGATGTATATTTTTGGCTTTCGAAATGTCCTTTGCATGAATTTACTTGGCAAGCTTAATTTTGCTGATATTTAACTCCATCCGATTCAAGTCACTCAAAACTCCTGCATTGCGTCGAGTAGGCAACATTACTATCCGCTGTGAAGTGATAATCTTCTCCGGCGCCAAGACAGCAGTCAGCAAGTAATAATCCATTGGATCAATAGACAAGGTTTTAAATTGAAAACCCTCAATACATGTCTCATTATCAAAATTTTACGTGCAATACGATGGACGCCTTAAATTTTTCCAGATTCGATTCGTAATTTATAAAATAACGGTTTTTGTCCGCGTTAATTTATAGTTCCCGCTCCCAGAAGAGTGGGCGTTTGTGATTGCGTCAAATAGAGCATCAAAGTAAAATTGGTATATTTTACAATGGAGGAATTTTCCTGTGTCCCAGTTTTTTTTTTTTTTTTTTTTTTTTTTTTTTTTTTTTTTTTTTTTAAAAAAAAAGATTAAATACATCTTGTATCAAAAGAGCGGAAGGAAATGTGTGTGATACCGAGCTGTTAACCCAAGTCCTAGCGGGCCGTCTCGACAATAAAAGTCCCGAATTTGAAATTCCAGATCAAATTTAATCCAATGACAATATATAAGTAGCCGAAAAATCATGGAAATCAACTTATAGACTCTTTACCATAACTGAGTGTAAAATCAAAATCCAGGAAGTCAGAGACAAGAGTGAAAATATAAATTTTTACCCATTCAGCAATTTATACCTTAATCTATTTTAAGACTATTGAACTGTATACCTAAAAGTATTTGTCTTTTTTTCTGCATCCAGCTGAATATACAACACACAGTTCCATGTTTGGACGACAGCGGATTCGTTTTAAGTGAAAGGTAGGTACGGCAATTTATATTTTTTCAAACTAATCGCCCTCCAAACTTTGAAATTTCTGGAAGGAAAATGAATGGGTGAAGTAAGGCAAGTTGAATACCAAAGCGTGCATGCAGTGATCTAATCGTAAAGCCGGGCCTATATCAAGACTATAATTGGGGGGAAGGGGGGATAACGGAGGTATGTAGGATTTCGCCCCCTCAAAATCATGTCCAATAAGGAATGGACTAAAGTGACCCAATTCCACACCCGAGTCGCTCGAAACGATTGAATTCAAGAACACCGTGCTCAAACTCACATGCACTCATATATTCATCATGCGAAAGAACTTAAACCAAAATTATGTATAAAAAAATTACATATCATTTAAAAGCGCAAAAAACACTGATTAAAAGAATGCAGACAGTTTTTTAAATCTGTAATCGGAACTAATTGTACACTACAGCAAAATTCTTCAAAACGATGCTGAAACTTAAAGAACACGCTACGATCGTGTTTCCAAATTCGAAAAATATAACTTTTATCAGGAGATATCGGAACTAAAAAATCCACGAGAGAGGGGCTTGAACTTAGAAGATGGATGGATTAAGAAAAATGATTTCTGCTAATTTCAGTTGTGAGACATCAGATTAACGTTATTAAAAACAAAATGCATTTTTGACGGCAAACACTCGCAATCAGTATTATATCGCTAGATTAAGGGGGAGCTGTAGAGGGCTCTATAGAGTGAAATATCCATTGAATTTCACGCCGAAAATTTTCTAATTGTGTACACCTGTGTTTTGAAGTCCCTTCTGAAAATTTCACCACCGAAAATCCATTTCAGTTCTCTAGAATCATAAAATCTTTAAGAAGAATGAGAGTTAGATTTCTACTGTCATTGTGAAAAACACTGAAACCTTTGGATGAGGAAATTTTAAGGGCAAATAAAATGGAACATCGCCGATGCCCCCTTTTCAATAAACTTTTAGCGAACGTCGAGGAAATTTGCGACCTGAAGTATGTGTTTTAAAGGCTGACTTCTAAAAAGAAGCTCCTCATTTTTGTCTTACTGAATTTTAAAATTTAGTGAACTCTTTAACTAGATCTTATTTTTTCTTCTTCTTCTTCCACCTTTTTCAGTCGAGCGATTTTGATCTACCTAGTGGAAACGTATGGAAGAAGCACGTCTCTTTATCCTAGTAATACGAAGCATAGAGCCACCGTTCACCAGATGCTATTCTTCGATCAAGGAACTATTTATCAAAGAATATACGACTATTATATCGTAAGTACAATAAACTATCAGGGTCTTTCAAACTAAATCTGTACGATGTAGCTCCTAAAATAAAATAAATTCAAGGAAAGATGATCAAACAATACGTCTCGTCTCGAGTGGCTCAATTTTAGGGCTCTCTACCTATGCTTTAAAGTCTTTTTTGTTTGTTTGTTTGTTTTTATTCAGAGGCAATGACAGAGGAAGTCTGATGTCACAAGAAATGCATGGCCGGATTGAGGGGATGGCCACATGGGCCGCGGCCCATGGCGGCAAAATGTAGGGAGCGGCAAATTTTGCATACTTTTTGAATGTATGTATCAAAGAAAAGAAGAAAAAATCGGATTCAGAAAATAAATTTCAAACGAAAAAATGCGCGACAAAATCTCTCCATTTCTAAGAGTAAAAGTATATTAAACATCTAATGTTGTCGTCTTTCGGTGATACAAAAGACAACACCGTTAATAGTCAAGTTAATTAAGAGAGAAACCAAACACGCAATTTGACCTTGGGCGGGAGCGGCGCAGAGAGCAATGATGACGAGGACTGAGATGAAAAGGAGAGGAAAAGGCGCGGCGCGGCGGTCGGCATGAAGCGCATAGCGCCTACAAGACTGCATGAATACTTCACGCATTGCGTCAAACACACTGCGGTCAGCAGCAGTCGGCGTGAAACGCATAGCGCGTACAAGACTTCATGAATACTTCACGCATTGCACCAAACACAGGGCGGTCGGCCCAGCGGCAGAAGTTAAAATTGTTAAACCGCGTTTGTGTTTGTTCTTTCATAATTTTTTCGCTCGTTTGTTATGAATGGAGGGCCTTGTCCAAACAGGGATGGGTTTACGGAACTTAACTTTCGCGTAAAGTTCCGTGAATTTTGTTAGTGTTGACAGGGCTTTCACAAAAAATGTGCCCAACACGAGTGAACGCGTCTCATACACCCCTCCCCCACCAGCATGTTCACATAACGAATTAGAAGGGGGCGGAAAAATACAGGCGGCCCTTGGGCGGCAAGTAGGTAAATCCAGCCCTGAGGAAATGAAACAAAAAATAAATGAATGAATAAATATCCCGTCATCTCTTTTAAAAGACAAGGTGAAAGAAAATTCAAGTGGCACTTACGAGTAGGAATAAATAAAATTTAAAAATTAAATACATAAAAATTTTGCACCTAAAGAGACACAGAATCACAGTTAACGATATTTTGTAATACTCATTTTATAAAATATTCCATATTTTGACTCTGAGATCTGTAATGAACATCCGTCAAATGTATTGTGCTGCACAATTATTACGAACATTAACTTATATTTCTAACGCTGATTCAGGAGCCAGTGTTCTTCTCCAGTACACCATTAGATGAGAATAAATTGAAAAAGCTAGAGGATGGCATGGAAGTATTGGATTTAATGCTTGAGAAGAGGAAATGGGCGGCTGGAAGTGACAGAACTATTGCTGATTTCGCTCTTTTCAGCACTGTGTCCGTGGCGAAGGTAAATAGTCTAATGCTTAACTCATTTGGTAACTAAATATTGTAAAAATGTTAGCAACACGTATAATCAATACGACAGTGCAGGTTGGTGCAGAAATAAGTTGATTTACCTCAAATTCTAGACCAAAGCCTCTGAGAGTAACCTCGTAGCACTGCGGAGATAAATATTTGCACTGACATCAATTTCTCTTTTTTTTTATTTTCTAATGATTCCAAACATGTGACCTGCCAATTTAATGTTGAAACTTAATGTGAATTTTTACATTCTAGAGTACACACTTGAAGAGATCCTATTCTCCATGGAGAAAGACAATTGGACTGCATTTTGCATTTTGGAACTATAAATTCTGGCTCTTCTGGAAAAACACGTATGTGCATAGGAGAACTAATGGCACATACGTTGTTTTTAAACCGGACTAGAATCCATAAGTCAAAATTGCAAAATGTGGTCCAATTTAGAATTTATTTCCTAATCTAGATCCTACAGTTTTAAGACATCTAAATCTATCCATAAGATAATTTCTTCCTTTCATAATGACATTGTTTTTTTCCAGACTTTTGGTTTTGATTTTGAGAAATACACAAATATAATGGAATGGCACTCCAAAGTACAAAGCTCGATGGAGGCCTATCAAGATCTGTATCAAGCACCTCTTGAGACGGTTGGTGAGCTATTCCAAAATAAATTAGCTGACATCAATGGCTAATCCTCTCCAAATTTTATTTTAAAGTGGCCTCAGGTTTGGCGATAAAAAAATGAAAAAGCCGTAAAAACTCAATAAGATCCTAACAGGGGCAAAACTTGTTCAATTACACTAACAGGACATCGATGTTGATTGTAAATAAATCGTCATTGCATTTGTCATATTTTGCCCCCTTACGTGTCAATAAAATGTTAAATTTTTCTCCATCCGCCTTTTTATTTGTTTAGCCAGTAAGAACGTTAAAAATGAAACCTATGTTGAATCTGCATTAAGATTTTAAGAGTAAGCATTTTTTTTATTAGTATCATTAAATTGTACTCATATATGTACATTCAAAACTGAATCAAATCATGCGAAATAGGCCGAGAACCAGAAACGCACAAGCTCTGGCTTTCCTGGCTAACAATCGAAGTCAGTGAGCTGATTATTATCATTGATAGACAAAATGACAAGGCAAAGAGAAAATGAAACGATCCTATTGGTGGTAGCAGATGATTGCAATGGACAAAGAAGGTAAAATAATAGACTATAATGGCAACCCACGAAGAAACCCATAGGTATCACACACATCACACCCCCCCCCCCAGTCTACAACAACCAATAAGATCGTTATCTTTTCCTCTGTCTTCTTTATCTATCGTTTTGTCTATCAATTTCAACACCAAGAATACTAAGCTCATAAATTAGACCTACGCCTTTTCCAGATGAGTCAATTCAATTGCATGTTTGGCTGGACCGAAATTAGACCAAAAAGGACCACCACATTCATAACATAGAGTACAAATGTCTTTACAAAACTTCGTTTTCCGCACGAAGGAAAATCACTTCATTCCAAGGTTGCAGAATTGACTCAAACAATTTAATTTTTTACGGGAATATACTTTTGAAATTTTTATCCTAATTTTTTCTGATTTTTGCATAAGATAAAAAAAAATTCGGTGAAACTTTCAGTAAAAAATATCCAAGTTTCCCATGTAAAAATCCAATTTTTCGAGGGAAAATTTGGCAAAATTGAAATGCAATTACGTCCCTTCGCTCGGGAGCCGACAAAATGACCCTGGGTATTTTTACAGCGCGATTTTAATTACGCCCGGCTCTGAATGGTAGCATAATATGCAGTATTTAATCCGCACAACTTCTGTATACAGTTACGGAACAATAGTTGTCCCTTCTCCTTACCAGAGTATCATCCGCGATGCTTCTTTTGAGACCAGAGTGACCTCAACCTTCGCTATGAAAACGCAACTTAAGACTCGGCTTAACGTGACATGTCTGTCAAATGAAGAATACTACGTACAAATGTATGAATGTGCGTATGAGATAAAAATCCCACGAAAGTCGCGACAACTACATCGACGGGTTTCGATAGTTTTTGACGTTGCTGACTTTATGTCATAATTTATATCTTAAAGGGAAAACTACTTAATGTCAATTCTTTAAAACTTCGTGTTTTTTCATCTTTGTGAAAATTTCAAGAGATGATATTGATTTGTTCTCCCGCAAAAAAATAAAATGGGAACGGAGATTTTTGAACATCGCAAACGAGATTCGTGGTCTGAAAGTTTCACTGAAATATAGTATACATGGTCCAGGCTACACAAATCGTACAAAAAGAGGAGGAACCCAGACTTTTTAGATGTACTCATCGTGAGATTTGTGTGATTTTTTTCTGGGAAGATAATTAAATTATTTTTATTTTGTGCTGGTAGCAAACTTATTCTCTCTTCAATAAGTAAGGTCGAATCAGACATTTTAAAGCACCATAATCGGCAAACATGATTTTGTTGTTTCATTGTTGACACGCTTTCCACATCACATAGTAAATGCACCCCAGTTTTGCCGTTAATGCCTTTATTGCACTCAATTTTTACTGCCAGCTCTCATTGTAAATTACATTGATAAGACTAAAACATGGATGAGGAAAAACGTAGCTTTTTCTGACAGCGATGTGCAACTATATTTGCATTCAAGAGTCCTATAACAACGTGGATACAACGATATAAGTGATAGGTGAACAATTGGATGGAAGTTTCAACTTACAAGAGATAAATGTAACATCGTCTCGTGATTTTGCGGCTAAGCGTACCAGTGGCGTGCCGTGAAATGCGATATATCGATTGTTATGTAATTTAAACCTATGGTAAAAAACGGATTATTAAGGTGTTCGCTGCGAACACTCTATATTATCGATCGTTTTCCATAGGTTTAAATGGCATAATAATCGATCTATCGCAATTCACGCCACGCCACTGAAGCGTACAGTCTAAGTGTCGTTCGTTTTTCAAGGTCCTTAAGGAGGTTGTGCTCGAATGAAATGCATCCTTAGTACTTTGCGTTTTGTTCAGCTAGGAAGCGCTAGTGCAAACAGATACACGAAGCACGTCTTCAAACTTAAGGCATCATAAATCACTGTTTACGCATTGTTTTAGTTTCCAGTTGTAAATGAGTGGGATCCTTTATGTAACAGCCTACGACACGCGAATGAATGGGAAAACCCTCGGAGCCTGAAATGTAAAAAGTGTTTACCAACGGACTACACCTCTAGACATAGGGTAAGAAATTAAGCACTATATATATAGCACATGTTTCCTTGTCAAAATCTCACGTGAAAAACGTTGGGCACTTCCAAAGTTTACTCATAACAGCAAAATAACCCTTCGTAGGTAATTTACACCATAAATGCCACATTCAAACTTCAAGACCCATCATAGCACATTTTGGGCAACCTTAACTTCTCTCAAATTTCAAAAATAACAAACACCTCAATGCGCGTTAATGACGGCGCAAAGATACAACTATTCGTGCTTGACGGATGTCCGGGTTGCATCGGCAAAATTGAGGGCGCGATGAAGTGAGACATGAACTTGTAATACTCCGTTTTACACTGCAAATGAGGTGTCGCTCAAAGTCGGGAGAAAATTTAACAAGCTAGGCCGGTCTACGTCTATCGCCTATCTTCAGCTGTGTTGCTATCATAGCTCACCACTACAAGCAAGACAAACAGAGACAAGCACTCTATGAAAATAGAGCAAAAGAACGGACGTGCGTTGATGCCGGCGCAGAGATACAACTATTCGTACTTGATGGATGTCCGTGTTGCGTCTACAAAATCGAAGGCGCGATGGTGTGAAGCGTGAACTCGCAATGCTCTACTCTATGCTGCCAATGTACACTTGCTCAGCAGATTCGGGAGAAAAGTTAAAAAACGAGAACCTGTCCAGAAAATGAAAGTTGAAAAGCCTTTTTTTCTCCCTAAGTTCTGTCTTGAAATCATGACTGAAGGGGAAGGAGGGTGGAGGGTTGCGAGTAAATACCTACGCCTATGAAGTCTATGCCTAAAACCAGCGCAACGTTTAAGAGAGCACGCCCGTACGGTCTGATCTTTTGTACACCCTGTATACAATGACAAGTATTACACTACGATATTAAGAGGAAAACTTCGTGAGCTTACTTGCTCGTAAACACCATAGGAACAGCTTGCTGAAGACAACTCCAGCTATTACGATTGACACGTTAGTACAGATTAACGGATGGTTGTATCAGTCAAGGCACTTACTCGTGATTCTCACTCATGCAAGGTCGCTACGACCTATGACCGCTGGTGCATTTTGCAGGTTAGATAGGGATTCACTCCCACAGCGATAAGTTTCTATAATTCCTTCGAAGTTTCCATAAAAACATACTCGTTTAAAGGGTTAGTTGATCGCCGAGAGTAAAATGCTCTCGGGAAATGTTCTGTCGTGCTATGGAAGAACGCCGCATGAACATTCGAGAGTTGCAAAATTTCCCCAGGTGAAACATGTATTTTTGAAGAAAGTTACTCATATTTTTCCTTGAAATTTTCAGATACATAAGATGAAATTGCGAACAAAGTCGTCTAAAAAATTTAAAGAAAAATATTCCTTAAAAATTTGGAAAATTGTGTAAAAAGAACAAAAATACAATTTTTTTCAGATGAGAAATCAGATATTGTTCATTTTCCTTATAAAGCTTCAACCATTGAAAATACTTTGTCGTGAGGGAAGAGGATGCGGGAAATGAGCGCGCAAGGTTTGACTCACTTCCAACGAAATTGGTATTTTCCACCGGTGATTATCATTCATCACTCATTTCCCCGACGAAAATTAGATTGGGCGTAACTGTTGCACCAGGTTACGATCGAAAAGTCCAAGTCCCGTGCTGCGGGCTCAGTTCTGAGCTCAGTTGTTACGTTCGATTTCAAAGCTGGTGGATATGTTAATTTACTAGAGTTCACTGAAAAAGATAATCGTGTGTGGTGTTAGATGCCGTATGGTAATCATAATCTGCAGAATTGAGTGACACTGAAAGACACCCTGAATGTAATTCCTTTCAGAGCCCATTTTGCTCCCCAACAACTGGAGTAATTTGAGTCCGGAGCGGGTTCTGCTCTTTTGCTTCCAGGACTTTATGTCCACCTACCTTTCGTCCATTAAATAAATGTTCACCGCTATTTATGTCCACTAAACGTTAAGTCCAGTCTTTATTAAGTCCACATGATTTAATGTCCAACCATGAATATGTCCAAAATTGTCCAAATTGTGGACATGTTATGTCCACATTTTTTTTCTTCTCATTTAAATGACAGGAACCGCCTCAAAAATAAATGCTTTCTGCTACTACCTTCATTCTTAACAATATTTCATTCATGAATCATGTCATGAAAGAGAACAGACTCTAAGAGAGATAAAAACATATGTTCATGGGTACAGTGTACGGATATGATAAGATTAAAACCAAAGCGGGAGCGTAGGGAACTCTCCAATGCCAAATTAAACATTTTTCAGTAACAGATGCAGTCAAAATTGAAAGTCCTCTTTGACTAGTTATTTCGTGCGCCTTCAATCTTGTAGGATACTGTGCAACGCCTCTGACGCGAAATAGTTGCTTAAAGCGTTGCGGCGCGGCAGGCGACCTGCGTGACACGCGCATAGGCACCTACAAACCTAACGGGATACTTCACGCGTTGCGCAATGCGTGAAGTATCCCGTAAGGTTTGTAGGCGCCAGTGCGCGTTCTGCGCTGCTAACACGCCGCTCCGCTCTGTGTTAGGCTCTAATATTTAAACTCGCGGAGTCAGCGTTTTTCAACTCATGATTTTGAAATGTTTGCACTCTCTGCATTGATTATTCCCTTTTAAACTGATGAAAAAGAAATATGTGCTACTGGAAAATATAATGTGTTTTTTGTAAATTTAAAAAATGAAAATGAAAAATTTAATGATTCCACGATTAATGATTTAATGATTTCCATTTTCCGTGTCAAATTTAATGATTTCCACAGCATTCAAATTTATTCTTTTATGTTTTGGGCTTTTACTGTGCTGCAGCGTGGTGTAAGCGCAACTAAAAGCTCAAAATTGTACGTATTTGACTCAAGAAGGTTATAAGTTAAAAACAAAAAATTGCGTGCTTTTTAGTTTTTTTTCCTCTTTTATTAATTTTTGTATAGTTTCTTTCATCGCAACTACGGCTCATTGAGATTCAATTTCATTAAAAAAAAAAAAAAAAAAAAAAAAAAAAAAAAAAAAAAAAAAAAAAAAAAAAAAATACATTTAAGGCATATTTTATATCGGAAATTTCAAGGATAGAAATGAAACCAAGTATTTACCAAAGACTATTTGAAAAGATGAATCAAAAGAAGAAATTAACATTTCATTTAAAATATGAGTTACGATAACAACACATCATTCTCTCTTAATTTTCTCATTTCGATATTGTCAATATAATTTTACCCACGGACTAAAATATAACGCTCGAATTTGATTTTAGTGGACTTTACATTTGTGAACTTAACTTAGTGGACGTTTAAGTAATGGACTTAACAATAGTGTGGGCTTTAGAACTGTGGACGTAAAAATTGTGGACGAAAAGTCTGTGGGCGTAAAAAAGTGGACATAAAGTCCGTGTACCGCTCTTTTTGCGAAGCGGAGCTCACTCTGATTATGGAACAGATTTACTACTTATTTGTAACACTCGAGTTTTTGGGAATATAAAATAAGCTCCGGAGTGGAGTGTACCCTGAATTTCTTGCCCAGATTTTAAACCTAGTCTGTTTTGACTAAAATGATGGTGCTGTAGGTGTTGGATCGCTGCAGAGATCGTCTTGTAAATTTCACTCGGTAATTTAATTTTGAGTACCAATCTACGATTTCAAAGGGTGTTTCCTACGATTCCTCCCGAGAGGACCCCAGTCTAGTACCTTTTTAGGCAACCCATCATCCATGAGATTATCAAATTTGCCGCCAAGAAATATTTTCTCTTAAATCAACAATGGTGCCCCATAATTGAATCCACTCATCTGCCTAACCCAAGCGCATTTGCTCTTGTTCCCAGAGAAATTCCGGTTGAATCAAGGTGAAAAAGTCTAGACGGCAAATTCAAGAATCACCATGCTTGAAGCAAGCACTTATCTTTCAGTGTAAGATATTCTAGAGAAAAAATTCCAGAAAAATCATCCATCAGATTCTCTGAGATACGAAGCGATGGAGGTTCTGCTACACTCCAACCGAAAAGTGCTCTCACTGCACCTAATGTCTCAATTTCGCAATTTTTAGAACTAAAACGGATCCCTTCCAAAATGTCGAGAGGGTTAAAAAAAATAATTTAAAAAGAAACAGAAAAGAGAAACGAGAATTGCTCCGAAAAGTGCTCTCACTGCACCTAATGTCTCAATTTCGCAATTTTTAGAACTAAAACGGATCCCTTCCAAAATGTCGAGAGGGTTAAAAAAAATAATTTAAAAAGAAACAGAAAAGAGAAACGAGAATTATACTTTGCGGATAAAAAGAAGTGGATTAGAATTCCCTAAGCCACGTCATAGCCAGTTTGTGGCCTCATCTACATGGAGGTACCAGCTGTGCCGGCCGGCAAAACCGAAGCTGCCGCGCGCCGCACCAATGAGTCACTGACTCACAGCGACGCGCGGTGATTGGTTGACCGGTCGCACACACCCCGCAGATGCCTGCGCCTGCAACCGCTCACGATACCCTATTTTTTGAAAATTGGAATGAAGGAATGCATGCAGCCGAAATGAGAAACTTAAAGCTATCACAAGGGAGGGATGGAGGGGGGCTGCAACTTTTAAGCTACCTCAAAACTTTGAGGAAACAGCTTGGCTCAATATATTTCTTTTAAAAATACAATTTTATTGCTAGAATCAAGATTAAAGTTCTTACTTGCATGGCTTAGATGAGCTTGCAGCAAAGAAATCTCACACCAACTTTACTTTTTCTGACTTTTTCTTGCTTGTCGTTTAAAGCGTTCAGCCCACGTTCAATCTGGGGCTCTCAAACTGGCACTAATTCTTCAATTTGCCAGCCATTTATGCACGAAATTCCTTGGAAATTTCAAAATCTGATCTTTGATGTGTCCCGAACATATCGGTTACCCTCAAAGATTTTCGGGCCGAAAATCTTTGAAAGGCAACGGTCAACGGTTCCATCGATGAGCCTCTTTGTAGCCCCTAGTTTGAACGTAAGCTGGACGCTTCAGTACGCTGCCTTGCTAAGGAAAAACGCCGTATGAACATTCAAGAGTTGCCAAATTTTCTTCGATAAAATGTTGATTTTGGAGTAAAATTATGAATATTTATCCTTGAAATTTTCAGAAACTTTAGGTGAAATTGGGAAAAAAAATATCTAAAAAATTGGAAGGAAAATATTCACAAGTTTTCTAGGAAATTCGTGTTGTATCCATGGAAATTTGGCAACACCTAAAGGCTCATCGGCGTTTTTCCTTAGCACGGCAGCACGGTGGAAGAACCAACCAACGTAATTCGGTCCCAGTGTGCGCCGGAGTGAGGTCAACCTTGGGCGTCCCGGTTGCGTCACGCTAAGCGACATGAGGCTAGATTCACCCGCCTGTGACGTCATCGTCATGGCTGTGAAAGGGCCCGCGCCGGCCGCGGTCCGCTTCCAGCAAGCTTCGTGCTTCCCGATCGTAGATTAGTTTGAATCTGAACCGCAGCCAAGAGAGTCGCCCAGTGCATTCACCTACCGCTTTTATTCTTATCCATTCCAGTTTTAAACCAAAGTAAGTGCTCAGTGTTTACTCCTATTTACCTGAAACTGTGCTTCCTCTGTACCGCCTCGAAAACGCTCCATCGACTCGGTTTTCCCGTGCTAGAAACTCGGAGCTTTCATATTTCACAGAGGTTTCGGGTTCCGGTGTCTGTGTCACTCTAGCTTATCTGTTATTTTGTAAGGTTGGTTTTGATTTTACGGGTCGAGAATGTGTTCCCGGAGTAGACATTCGTTGTCGTGAAAAATCGTGCTTGAAAGCTGTCACCTATAATTTATTATTAAAGGTGTATATACCGGCATGGGCAATATAAACGCTCGATACTCGTTTTACAAGAGGCAAATTCCATTAAAAAAATTTTGATGTTTTTAGAGGGTGCCCCCTCCTCTCCCTCCCCAAATTCTCCTCCGATGTTTAGAACAACAGTCCAAATCCATGTTAACTCAAAAATTGAAAAAATTTTGGCGCATCGAGCGTTTGTTTTGTCCATCCCGATACAAGCAAAAGCAAGTGGATTAAATGTTGGCCCAAATGGTTGAGCCTTGAGAAAATGTCAACTATTGTACTCCAAAAACCGAATTTTAATAAGAGAGGTGGACGATCTTAAACTTTAGAATACTATTATAATGTGTCATGATCATATTAAGTGCATCCTTGGACTTTTCATTGGCCAGCACGCGGCGGTGAAGTTTCAGCTCAACGACGGATGTCACATTTCAGGGCTGAAGTTCAATTTGAGTTTCCAGTGATACCTTCCAAGAGGATATTTTCTACCTCGAATCGTGGTCCTAGTGCAAGGGGGTATCACCGGGAATTAGAGGAAGGGTGGAGGGGGGAGGAGGGGGGTTAAATTGAAAAATTGAGCCAGTTCCAGTGTAATAAAGAACCGTAGAGGAAGGGGGCGTTCAGTTTAAAATAGATCCTTTACTTTTTNGGGGGTTGGGTAACGTAAAACTCAATAGATGAACATGGGTAAAAATTGTGACGATAAGATAACTACGATTATGGCTAACCCCACATATCAGACAAAAAAAGGAGGAAGATTACTTTTTTTTAGCTCCCAATTTTAAACCCACGGTCTGTCAGCATTAATGAATTAAAAATGGATGAATTGGATTCATGGTTCATTTACCTACTCAGTATATGCTCATTTTTAATAAGACGAGAAATGAGCAATTTGGCGAATAAATTTGTATATAAAGGTCTGCTGAAGCAGTTTAAATTTAAATGAGGTTGCCCCAAGCTAATCTTTCACGCCTTATTCTTTCACTAAACTGGTTCGATGTGACTTAAAATGAATTGATTCTTTTGCATACCTATGGATTGGCGGATTTCTGATGAGTGGCATGGGTAAAAAACGGTGCCGAAAAATTTTAGAGGATACGGCTAATATTAGTTTTAATATCAAATTTTCAAAAGTATTATTAACATACTGGCGAACTAGGAATATCTTTTTAAGAGTTCACGCAACTCAGCATCCGATGAAGCCTTAAAATTTTCCTGCCAGAGACTCCTAAGGATTATAAGGATATAGGATAGGGATATAGGGTCCCAGGATTCTTAAGGATATATTATCTCGATTGAATGGACCCATAAAAATTGATAATTCTTTCCGATGGTTGTAACTAAGGTACGTTTCGGAAGTTTCATTTCCGAAATTTTGGTTCCGCATCGCTCAAGCTTGTGCCAGAAGGCCCAGACTGTAATTTCGACATCTTCCTTGGGGGAGAAAAAAAACTTGAAAAAACTGCAAAAAAAACCCTTTGAGACGAAACCACGCGAGAAAATCATTGACCCACCCAGACGTTCACCTTGGTCACGCACCTGCGTTCACGTGCCCTGAGGAAACTGCACCGCGGTCAGGTTCCGTCTCAGCGACCAGACTTCCCCATCCGCCTACTAAAAATTCAAATCATTAGGTTGAGAACAGTTTCTTCTTATTCTGAATCGGAACTGAACCGCAAATATTGAAGGCCGATTGGCCTCTGAATGAGGGTTACTGGTCCTTGTCTGGAGAAACTGCTGGTTTCTATATTTGAAATTGACTCCACTTTGTAAGGATAATCACCACGGCCAGAATCTTTTTGGCCAGTTTACAACCCAATCGGAAATTTGACCTTGGTACAAGCTTAGTATGACATTTTTTCACATTTGAATAGAGTTGCCAAGCTTATGTTGCTAATGTTCCCACAATGTTAGCAGGACATTTATTTTACCTCTGGGACAGGCTTGAGCCCAAAGATTGTGCCAAGGTTAGGTTTGTAAGACTGCTCCAAGCCTATCCTGACAATATTGCCACAATATTGGTGGGACATTATTTTACTTCCGAGACAAACTTGGATATTCAATATTGTGACAATGTTATGTTACTATTATTGCTCCAAGCTTGTTCAGCGGTTATTCTGATCATGATGTTGCCATAGTCTTGATGTTAAAATATTGCCATAGTATTGGCAGGATATTTATTTTACCTCTGAGACAAGCTTGGATTTCCAATCTTCCCTCTGAGGCAAGGTAGGCGATAGATCGCCGTATTACCTGCCGTCCTCGCGGAAGAAATTTTTTAGCGTCGCAATGCCTATAATGTAGGCATACGGAACATTGGAGTGCCGAGGAACTTTCCTAAATCAGCTACTTCCTTGGCTGCTTGCACTGCCTGAAGTATTCGACTTGGATCCCACTTATAATGGGCACTGCCCAGGCGAAACGAGAACCAGCCCCATTGACGGGGCGGCCGCGCGCGGACCGTTGC